CGTCGGCGGGAAAGTTGACCCCGTCTTCGCCTCCGCGGAAGAAGCAAACAAAGTAGTTGTGTTCTACGAGGATTTGTGCAAGGCGAAACCAGAACAAGCGAAAGTGGAAGATTGGGAAGCACTAGTGTCGGACAAGTTCTACGAAGTGCTCGCTACGTCCTGCGATTCGCTCGCGCCCGACCGCGAGACGCTGCACAACGGCCAGTTAGTGGACACAACTTATCAAGAACGGATCCGCTACTTCTTCGTCGCACCGGAGTCCGACGTGAACGGCTTCAAATGCAAGCTGAGCACGCTCATCCAGATTACCCACCAGATGGGCGCCACGTTCAACAACACGAACATGCAGAACATCATGGGCATCAGTACTCCATTCGCCGGCGGCGTCAACACGTCCAACCGCGAACGAACCCCCAGGCGCACAGGGGATTCTTCTACCACCAACAACCAGCAGTCGGGGGATAAGTTTGTCTTGTGTTGGCACTTTTGTAAGTGTACTCCGTGTTCGAATGACACGTGGTATCGCGATGACGGTAGCATCGTTTGCTCTGCGGGATTGCATCCGATGTTGAAGTCCGAGATGTCCAAAGGCCAGTTCAAACGCGTAAAACGCACCCAGATGGGTCGCGTGGGTCTGAAGGACACCGGCTACTTCTCGTGGGTCGACGATGCTACCGGCGAGTACAAGGGAGACAGTCTGAAAAAGTATTTCCCCGACCGCGGTTCCGCTTCATCAAAGAAGGGGAAGGGCAAGAAAGGGAAACAGTCTTCTTCTTCTTCCAAGTCCAATGTCCAGCAAGAAGTGTCTTCTTCCAGCAGTGAGGAGGAGGAAGATGAAAAGGAGAAAAAGAAGAAGAAGTCGAAGTCCATGAAAACTACCCCGGCCACGGGAACAGCCGCTTCCAGCAGTGCTGGGCCGTAGTCGTCTCATCAATCAGTACACAGTATTTTTTGTCCGCAGGACACAAAAGTTTTTGTCAAATCAAGTATTCATTTATCAATAGATTTCAGTTTGATTTTCCATCTATGGATTGTTTGTCAAAAAACGCACCATCAACTACCCACCTGTTTAGAATTTGTTTTTATGCCAAGAATAATCAAAAAATGTCTATCATCCCACTTTCTTCTCTGGAAGCAGAGTCATACTTCTTCCCTATGCACAGGGTCGTAGTTTCTTCTCCGGCCGCGGAGTCGTATTTTCTTCTCTGCATGCAGAGTCGTATTTCCCTTCTGGAAACAGAACACTCTCGCTGAAGTTTCAGCCATTCTTGTTGCAAAGCAACATTGCATCGCCCGTACATTGAATAAATTTCCACGTTTTCCATGAAAAAAAATGAAAAATTAAAAAACATCAACGCCGGAGTTACGCCGATCCGCCGGAGTGTCTCTTCGTCTTCCTGAGTGCGACGAGAAAGTTCACGCACAGTCTTTCAGGAGAGATTCTTCGAGAGACATTTTGCGTCGTTGTTGTTGCTGGTGTCGTCATTCTTTGTCCCACCAGACAGCATGAAGCGTTTTTCGGACTATCTGTGCCCTGCACGGCACTCACAAGATGACGTGTTTCTCCCCCAGTCCGAGTCTGAGGCTACTCCCCAGGAAGAGGCCGACTACAGGAAGAAGTGGGAGCAGATGGTGCAGCGGGTCGAGCAGGATTTACGGAAAAAGTCCCCGTTTGAGCCGATCTCAAACGACTTCCGCTGCGTCGACACAGGGAAGTTATTCTCCACCGACGTGATTGCCGAAATCGACAAGATGAACGCTGCGTCGGCTGCCCGCGACATCGCTCGCAAAAAGCAGATGTGCAGCGAAATCCACGCTTTTCACGGCAAGTACAACGTCGGTTTTCTGGCTACTGCGATGGAAGCAGCAGGCGCGGAGGACCAAGAGTGCGTTGACGAGGTATTAGTACAGGGCGGCACATGCATAGGTGACTGCATGGCGCCCAGTTGTTGGGGACCGCCTTCCTCCAGGAGGAAGCCGTGGTTCGTCACGACAGAACCTCCGTTCAACCTGGACCAGTACAAGACCGGGACCCCGCCCCCCGACTGGCCAGAGGCGCACATAAGAGAGATTTTTGCGCAGACCCAGGAGGAAGTCAACGTCGAGCCCCTCCTCGGTCATCCACGGATCCGCCCCGGTATCACCTACCGACAGGCGAAGAAGGCGAAGTGGAAGCATGTCTGGAGGCGGTTTTGTGTTGAACAAAAAACGAAGATCCGCATGATCGACCCCGCCTGTGCATGCAACGCCCGCAGTGACCTGTCGAAGGGCGTCCCGATGGGGTCGGCGCAGGAGATCCTGGGGTCGTGTGCAGTCCTGAAGGACCCCAGCCTCCGCGACCAGAACTTCGTTTCCTTCACCAAGCGGATTGTGAAGAAAGGTCGCTCCCTCGAGAAGGAATACGAGGACGCCTTTGTGCAGTTCATCGAAGATGGTACGCCAATCCCTTCGCACCTGAAGAAGCCTTCCAAGGAGTACCATGCAGCCGCTGACGCGAACGTCACTGCCGCCGGGGAACCAGATCCCAAGCGGCACAAGATGTTTCCGGCCACGTTGCTCCAGCTTCTCATGCTTGTGATAGATGTACATAAAGCTTACAATACGATTGCGGTGCGTCCGTCTCATCGGAAGTTCAATCGGTTTTGTGTGTACGATTTACAGCAGTCGAAGTACATGTTTTACGAGGCCCTCACCCTTATTTTCGGTAATGTACATTCAGTTGTGTGTTGGGTTCGTATTTCTATGGCCATAAAAGCTGTCATTGTGTTTTTTGTGCAGATTATGCTCAGCGTTTATGTAGACGACTTCGCCTCTCCTGTGCCCGAGTCTGTCGGTGAGAAGGCCAAAGAAGCTGTTTTACATGTTTTTCGGACACTTGTGTTTAGTGTGCATCCAAACAAAGTTAAACTTGCACCTATCACAGAGGTTTTAGGTCTGATTTTCGACCTCGCGGTCGAGGTGCCGGAGTTTTATGTTTCTGTCCAGCGCCAAGAGTCTATCTCCATCATCATCTCCAAGGCTATCGAGGCGTCGCACCTGGCAGGGGACGTTGCTGAGACATTACACGGAAAAGTAATGCTCTGCTTATCATCCTTGGTCGACAGACGTTACAGCCCGCTCCTCAAGCCCCTGGCACAGTACGTGCACCACCCCACCCAGCACGGGAAGCCACTGTCTCCCAAGCTGGTCCAGTGTTTGGAGAACGTGCGGACTATTCTCGCGGCTGGCATCCGCAAGCGAGCACAGTTCGAGGTCCCCACAGCGGACAATGTCATGTTGTACACGGACGCCTCGTACAGTCACGGCTCCGGTTGGCTTTCTGCGATTCTCGCGATCGGTACATCACTGTTTGCCAGAAGGATCCGGGTCGAGGAAGCGGACCTTCCCGACACCATCCCGAAGTCGCATCCGATTTCCTACCTGGAAGTCGTGGCGCCGGTGCTCGCGGTGAACGAGTTCAAGTCCAAGTTGCAAGAGAAGTCGCATTTTCGGCTCAGCGTCGACAACGACAGCGCTAAGTGCGCCCTGCTGAACCAGAACTCCCCTCTGCAGCACATGGCGACGCAGGCGCTGTTCTTCTGGTCGTTGTGCAGTACGTTCTGTCTGTCCCCGTGGGTCGACCGAGTCCCCACCGGGTTCAATCCAGCAGATGTTCCGACGCGTTCGCGGTTTTTGTATTTCGTTGTGAACAACTTCCCAGGCGCGTTCCAAGAACTTTCCGCCTTCTCGGAAGAGACATCGAAGTTGTTGCATCCGGCTCTCCACATGTCAAGTCCAGATCTTTTCGGGGTGTTGCCAGGAGTAACTCTCGACCATTATTTTGACGCTAGTACATGGTGCAAAAAGTCAGACAAGTTTTTGAAAGATGATGATGTTTCCATGGTAGATCACGTGTTAGAGTTGTCTCAGTAGTTTCATACATTCTTTTTTCGCTCGATTATTCTGCCGCACGGCTGAGTGCCACATTCTTGTGCGTTGCGCTGTTCGACCTAGGCTATCGGTTCGCTCCGCGATACCATACATAGCCTTTGGATACATTCGGGTCTCCTGTGTATCGGTTGATGAGTTCTCGTCTTCCGAGCGCGCTTTATGCCCAGGAGCTGTCGGCACGAGTTCTCGTGCGACAAAATTCTCACCCGCAGCTTCATTCGTGAAGCTCTTTCCGCTCGGACTAAGGGTCACAGCGCATTTGCGAGTTTGAGATCGAGAGATCAGTAAAAGCAGTAATTTTTCATTTTTTCCGGGAAATTTGCAAGGGGGAAGGCTAGCCATTTTTCCAAAATTGGCCTAAGTTTTTTTTTCGTCTTACCCATCTGCGCCCGCTACCCACCCGTCCTCAGCCGTAAAAACAGTAATTTTTCATTTTTTCCGGGCAATTTGCAAGGGGAACGCTGGCCATTTTCCCAAAATTGGCCTAAGTTTTCTTTTCGTCTTGCCCACCTGCGCCCGCTACCCACCCGTCCTCAGCCGTAAAAACAGCAAGTTTTAATTTTTTCCGAGCAATTCGCTGGCAATTTTTCCGAAATCGGTTCTAATCGAGAACATCAGGAAAAAATAAAGAGCAGTGAAGATGACGAAGGCAAGCGCAAACCCAAGTTTGAAGCAGGAGCAGCTTGTTTTGACTGAGTCACGACCTTTGCTAGACAAGTGTCGGATGAACAACTACGAAGAAGATCATTAAGTGCGTGTGCCTGTGATCCAAAATGGATTCGGTTTACCGATCATTGGTCTCTATAAATCTTCATCCAAATAAATCACAAGACGATCTGGATCTGAGGTGGATCTTGAAAATAAAAGTGATTTCAATTTCACGGTGCAACCGAATTGGAAGTTGGTACACATCAAGAAGATCACGTCTGAGTAAAATATCCTGATCCTCATCGAGAGTTCATGGGAAGTTAGTACAAAATATCACCAAATTGATTCCATCTGGCAACCCGAGCACGTCTTGGTCCTGTTGTAATGGATTGCAATCGACGTCGGACTCGGAGCAGCTACGTGTAAAACAAAAACGACACAGTGACAGTCTTATTGTGACGGTACAGCAGGTAGCTACTTTTGACACGGTATTTTGATAGAATTACTTTCAAACTTAAACTTTCTTTTTCCCATGGATGCGAGCGCAATTATGATTTAAGCCCAAAACTTGACAAATTTTCATTTTGAAAAGCGCTTGAACATTTATATTTATTTCAGGAACGAGCAGAAACAAAGCGGAGCAGCTACTTGTAGATACTTCTTCCCGAAAAGTGGATTTGCTCAACACAAACAATGATGCTTCAACTCCTGCTCTGGGCCCCCAGCATGGTGCTCATCGCGTTCTTCTTGTCCCTCGGCCACGACCTTGTGTATCCTGAGTAAAAGCGTCCCCACCCCAGAGTTGTCATGCAGATTTTCAGTCACAGGAAGATTTGTAATGCGCATCTCCACGAGAGCAATTTTCAATTGTGTTTTGGACTTTCTAATGCCCTAAACAGGATGAGTAGATGGATTTGCGTTGCGGCTGTACTTGCTAAAAAACTGCACTTTACAATACAGAGACGAACTTGTCACGCTTGATTCCCAAAACTTCTCGACTTGTGTTGCGAGATCCCCATCTTGACTCTGGGGTGGGGACGTTTTTGCTCAGGATATTGTGGCGGGTATAATCACGACGGCGGGAGTTCTTGTCCTAGTTGCAGTCTTCAAGAACCAGGCGCGGTTCGTTTCTAGTACGGAAGTAGAGGACATTTTTCGGCAAACGTGGTGCGGAGACGGAAAACGTGGTGAAGGAGAAGGAAACGGTGGTGGAAAAAATAACGGTAGCATATGGATTGCAAAAATGTCTGGGTCTGGAAACCTGTGATGCAAGGAAGGGAAGAGCGAGCACTCTGTGATGCGCTGCCCAGCATGACAAGTTTTTCCGTGGTTCTGAGTTGCGTACTCCGCATAAGAAGCCGCGTTTTTGTATGACAGAGAAGAGGACCTCTTCGCGGGCACGCAATACAGAGTTTAGAGTCATGCCAGACTAGCATGACAAGTCTCAGAATCTTCCAGACCCAGACACTTTTGCATTTGATATAGCAGCGGAATAAACGGTAGCAGCGGAAACGGTGGTGGACACGCTAGCGGCGGAAATAACGGTGGCGGTGAAGACTGTGGTGGCGGTGAAGACTGTGGCGGCGGAAACGGTTTCACCCCCACGCCGATCAATGCTGACAGGTACTATGAGGGCAACGAGCGCACAAACGGGCGAACCGTCAGACAGATCGTTGCGAACCTGCGTGGCGTTATGATGGGTGCAAACCCAAACGCTGCAAAAGTAGATGAGCGAGGGCATCGACAAAGTCAAAGCGGCCTGCCGGCTTGTAGCATTGTGTACCTTGCGGGCGACTCTTGGATGGATGTCTCGCACTATCTACGTGGAAACAGACGAAAGGAAGCACGGCAACCTGCCAAATACCTACGACAAGTTTATGCCGTACCTGAAGCCAGACGTGCTGTATTATCTCTCGAAATTATTCCACGACAGCACCACGACCACCGACAGTAGAGATGTTGACAAGAACAGCTCGTCCACCTCGTCCTGGCACTACACCCAATGCGTGATGGCTGCGCAAGCGGGCTCAATCTTGCGAGGCCGCACGGTGCCCGGCGGTCCAAACGTGCTCGCAAACGACGTCGCGATTCGGGACACCGTATCAAATGTAAAAATGTCTGGGTCTGGAAGATTAGAACTTGTCATGCTAAATCTGAATGATGCAAAAATCAAAATCTGTGTTGCGTGAGTGCCAAAAGCTGGCCGCTTTTGACCAAGGTGAGAGGGAGTTTCTCATGCAGGAAAGGCATGATAGAGACCTCAAAGAATCTGTCATGCTGGGTCTCGCATTCCAGACCTCACGCGTCATGGAAAACCTGCATCACAAATCTTGCACTCTTCCAGACCCAGACACTTTTGCATTTGATACACCGTGACGGAGCACGACCGCATCGTGGTGCACGTCTCGGGGAATGACATGAACAGCATTTTTAAGCAAGTTTTGCGCGGCAAGGGTTGCGTAGCGATCGTCAAATATCCTGTGTAAAAACGTCCCCACCCCATAGTCAAGTTGGTAAATCTGCAACACAAATCTCCAAGTTTTGGGAGTTTTGCATGACAAGTTTCCATCTGTAGCGTCGTGCTGTTTAGCAAGGGCAGCCGCATGAGAAAGCCAGCCTCTCATTCTGTTTACAGCATTACAAAGTCCAAAACACGATTGGAAATGCCTCTCATGCAGATCCATATTACAAATGTTCCTGTCAATGCACATTTGCATGACAACTCTGGGGTGGGGATGTTTTTACCCAGGATATCAAAGGAATTGTGACTGGGTCTTTGAAGCAAGAAACGATCGAGGCACTTAGAATCCTGTGGCAGGAAAATTTTCCGAGATACCTGAAATTTTTGACCGAGAACAAAAAGCCGAGGGAGATCATCGTGCTCTCACAACCCATCACGCGCCCTGGCTACGTGAAGCGCCTCGTCTCCCGCAAGGTTCCCGGAGGCCGAAACATACCGTCATTTCTCCTGTCGGGCTTGTTTTGGGCTGTGAATCAGTTCTTCAGCGGCTTGCACCTCGACGGCTTTCCGGTGTTGCGGGATACAGTGAACGAAATTCAGAATGGAAACCCCGAACTGCAAGGGATTCGAATCTATCCACTGCAAAAGTTACTAGCACCGCGCTGCTCGTACTGTAGCCTGTCGCCAAGACACCTAGACAGCCATATGTCGAGGGCCTTTTCCGGCCAGTGTCTTTGATTTCGGTCTTTGGGAAAGTATTTGAGATTCTTCTGGATAGGAGACTCAACATTTTTTTGGAAGGTCATTCCTGGGACGGCCCAAAAGTGCTTCCAAAATTGAGCGAGCCTGTGCTGCCGATTAACTCGGTGGCCTACAGGCTAGCTTTCTTCAAAGAGATGAGCGCGGCGAAGATTCTCAGCCACCTGTTCACCAGCCACAAGACACCAAGCGGAGAAAGCATCAAGAAAAAATGGTTACTGTTGAATGACAATGAGGCAGGGTTCGATGTAGTTAGGCATTTGACAACGATAGAAATAATGAAGGAACTGAAGGTGCCGGAAGACATCACTTTTGCAACACTGGACTGGATGCATGGAAGAAAATTGAAGATAAAAACAGGAAAAAACACATGGAATCTTTCTCCTGGCATGCCCCAAGGCTCGCCGTATAGTGGTGGAGTCTTTAACGTGCATAATATGCGGATGTTGCAGATTATGAGTATAGAGAATGCGCCACCATATGGCGAACAAAATCAGTATAGTGATGATAATTCACAACAGGGCGTCGGGGAGAAGGAGGAGGCGGATAATGTGAAGAAGAAGCTGGTGGAGACTGGGAGGAAGTTTTACATTTTTTTCGAAGAAAGCAAAGCAGTAGCAATTTACTTCGAGGAGGGTAAGAACCAAAAAACGGTAGAGGAGGGCCACGCGGGGAGGAGCCTGGGCTTTTTCTTCGACGGCACCTGGACCATGGATAGTCATTTTGCGGAAACGATGCAGAAGGGGAGAGTTGAAATATCTACGGTGTCCTCGATACGGAATTTGAAATTCTCGAAGCGGGTGGATATTTTTAGAGCCCTGGTATACTCTGCTTTTAGTTCTAATTCTGTGCCCCAGTATAAATATTTTCGTCAAAATAACTGCCAAAAAATATCAGTTGAGGTGGCAAAGGGCCTGAAGACTATCGCATACCTACCGGCGCACTGTCCGAGTGCAGTCTTGTACCACGCCGCGGGGATGCCGGACATCCAGAGCGAGATTATCGCGAACTCAATGCTGATTTTTTGGAAAGGAGTAGCTGTAGGCTCCTGGGAGAGGGGGAACAAGGAGGAATTACTCAAAAAGTATCCGAACATTTTTAGCAAACAAGAAACAGTACAGCACTACTTTGAGTTCCACCACCACGCGCCCTACATTGACTTGATGCAGATCGCGGCCTACAAGTTCTTTGCCCTCTTTCAGGCAGTACAGGTCAATCACAAGCTGAGGATAGGGCGGGTTTTCTGGAAAGGAGTAAATCTGGAAGTGAAGGACATGGACAGGATAGGTGAGGAGTACGGGTTTGGACCACTATCAGCTCTGCAGGGTGAGAAGCTTGACCATGCTAGGAGGACGATTGCGAAGGAGCAGGACGCGATGTGTAGGACTTTGATGCGGAACTTTCGAACGGTAATAGTATCAGCAGTCGACGGAACTGTGAACAAAGGCATAAATCTCGGGGCGGGGTCCGGGTTATCGTGGTGGCGGGGCGGCAAGATGCAAGACGATAAATGGATACCGGGTAAAGGTGAGGCTCTACCTAAGCCTATTGTCACAAGTTTTTGCTATATCTTTTCACCACTGCAGGTGCTACTGAAGGTAGATTCATTTGATAGTGAAAGTAGAGGCGCTATTCACCATCTGAAGAAACTCATCCAGGCTATCAGGTGCGAACTATACCCGCAGGGGGAGATACGGGAAGAAATGGTAACTGATTTTTATTTTCTCCAAGACTCCAACTCAGTTGTACAGGCACTCGACGCTTATGGCGATCGCTCGAACCCGGCGGCGCACAAGATTGCTAGGATGCTGGAGGACCTTCGCGACTTGGTGAACGGCAGTGAATTTTCCCCGCCAGAGAACGAAGCGCGGTTTCACTGGTATTGGACACCAGCACACAGCGGTGGCGTACTAAATGACCACGCGGACCGCCTATCGGAAGTAGCAATGGAAGCATGGAACGCGGGGAGGAGGATAAATAGTGATGGAGGGATCAGTAATCACTACAGCAAGCTCCTAACAGTGCCGATCATGCGTCGACTTGTTCTGGACAGGATATTAGGGGATCTTCTAGATAGAAATAAAACAGTGTCCGAAGATTTTAAGAATCGGCGGAAGCTGCTGGGGCCGTTTCGACCAGCAACAGGAATACTCCCATCCAGAGAGGCTGAGATTGTGTATTTCTGGATCTTCTTGGGGATTGCACCCCCCCGGCAGTTGGGTTGTGGTGAAATGTTTTACGAGGAGCAAGTGTTTAGACAAAAGTGTTTGAAGTGTGAAAAAGTTACTGACTGCTGTGTGGATCACGTTTTGTTTCATTGTCAGGAACTGAAAGAGCAGCGAAAGGCTATTTTTGGCCACGACTTCCTACCATCTACGCTGGGGCGGGAATACATTAAAAAACCAAAGTTGGTTCTTAGTTATGTAGTGGCGGCGAAGTTGGTCAATTCCTTCTACTGCGAACAAATCGAGAAACAGCTGCGGAGCAACAAGGTGGCGGAGAATTGGGACAAGCCGGAAAAACACAAAAACAAGATGCGGAATGTAGCGCCGAAGACTGAGACGCAGCAGGATTTTTTGAACAACACGCACCCCTTTCGCCTCATGCGGGATCGAGAAAGGCGGAACGTATTGCACTGGGGACCGACATCGACGTGCGTGGGCGTCAAAACCGAAACAAGTGAGGATGTGTCAGTTTTGGACTGGGTGTCTTTTACGTCGTAAGAGCGAGACTTGACAAGCAGAAGGCTGGACCTGCACTACACAACAGGGCCAGAACATGATGAAGAAGTAGAATCAATTTGCGATGGTGAGGCGGTGAAGCGAAATGGGAGCCACTGCGTGCAGTTCTTGACCGCTATTTGGAGGAGGCGAGGTGAAGAAGATGAGTACAGCTTCGTGCGAGAAGTGTATGCAGTGGCGCTACAGCTTTGACTGAAGTATCTTTAGTACAAGAAAAGAAAACAAACTACTACGAGAGCTCTGTCTTTTTTTTGAGATGCTTTTGACATTTATCGCAGCTATCTTTTTTTAGAGAAAAGCTCAGGCAGATTGCAGCAGGGCAAGATCGTTCGAGTGGGGGCGCTAGGTGGACCGGGACACCGGAACCTGCTCGGGTAAATGATCAAAGAGTGCTTATGTAAATAGCCTGAGCTTGGTATTCTAGAAAGATAGCGAGTAGTGACACTGAAGAGGAAAATTGGAAATATAGGCGCGTAAAATCCATGAAAGCGAGTTGACTGCCACGGACCAAGGATCATCGCGGAGGTGTTCGTCAGCAGACGTGACGATCTAAAGATGAAAGCCAGTAGAATGCTTTCTGCTATTGAAATTCTCTGAGCTGAGATGGGTCTTTTTTTCGGCACCTGGCTCCGTCTTTCCGTATCTTATTGCTACTGTTGTGCATTATCTGCTGCTGTATGAGATCTGCCGTCACTTATGACTAGTGTTTTAGTGTGGCCTCTTTCTTCTCCACTGTTGAAAGATAGACTTGGTCATGAGTATCGCAGTGATTTTGTAGTGATGAGGTGAATCTCAATGGATGTCAGGAAAGGCAAATAAGTAACTTTAGAGAAAGCAAATAGCAAAAAGCATGTCCGGGGAAGAACAACGGGCAAGGCAGCAGCTGCAAGCGGTGGAAGGGACTACTACATGGACGATCACACTCCTGCCGAAACCAGATGACCAGCGAAATCCAGCCGACTATCACACTAGACCAGTGGCACCACGACCACAACTACCACAGCGAGCGTTGCGTCCGCTCCTGCAAATGGATCGGGACGTGCCCAACGTGGCGGGAATTCCGATGGGGGTGCCGTTCAATGCGATTGCGGCGCTACTACTAGGACATGAAGAAGAAGATCAGGAACAGAATGGGGGTGGAGGAGGCCTAGATCATGTTGAAGCTGCAGTGCAAGAAGCAGATGAACGCGCACTACCAGCTTCGAAATTATACATGAGAATCAGGACGCAAAAGAGGAGCAGGCGACTAGCATAACATGAACCACTACCATGAGGAGACGACGAAGGAACAAAGTGCAGCTCTAAGAATACATGTGTTCGACTTTTTCGCAAGTCTGCCTCTAACATAGAATGTGCATATATACAACCATAATCATGAATAGATGGATTGATAGAATTCGACCTCAAAATAATAGATGATTTGTTTCTTCTTTTCTTTCCTTTTGTGCCCGATATATTGTCTTGCTCGGATGGTTTTCTCCTCTCATGTACCTTTGCCTCCTATCTCATTGCTTCTTGTTGCATACATCTTTTGTTCCTAGGATCTTTATTTTCTCCTCACTTCCTTGTTCCCCTTTCCTCCTTCTGACGGGCTCTTGTGTGCGAGTGCGTGCCATTCCCTGCTGATTCCTGTGTGCTGCTTTTGTCTCTCTGGTCTTCCTGTTTTCTTGCCCCCTCTCTAGCTTTCTTTTAGCTTCTTCCCTTATTGTATTGGCCTATCTCTGTCTTGCGCCTGAATGAATTCATCTATTAATATTCTTGTTAGATGATGCAGAGTCTGGGTCTCAGATATGGAAAGAAGAGAAGATTAGACTCTTGATAAAAAGATAAAGATAAAATATCCACCAGACACAGAAGTAGAGGCAGATAATAAAAGAGAAAAAGTCCTTGTTTTTGAACGCGATGCATAAAAGTGCTGATGACGAATGCGAGTGGATAGATGGGAATCTCTGAGCTGGTGGTAAGAAAGCAGAGTCGGGTAGAGGTACACAGCTATTTTTATATATTTTTTTTTTACTTCAGATAATTTAAACGTAAGTAAGTAGGCTGCGTTACACATTCATCAAGTATTTAAGCCTGCGAGGAGAAGAAGAGAAGAAGGAGGACAAGTAAGAAAAGAGGCGAAAGGTGCGAATGGGTCTGCGACATTCCTGCTATAGTGTTGCCGCACCATAGAAGGATAAAAGTCAGGCTCAGGGAGCTACCAAGGCGTGCGGAGCAGGACTATCAATTATGAGTGATCATCTATCATGCATATTGAAGGGCTGGACGGGACAGGTATGGACGTGGAAGCGCTCTGCGCCTGACCACGTCACACATAGCAACAGAGATCAAACGGGCGCCGCGATTCGAAATTGTGCCGATGTTGCTATCTGGGACCGACATGCAGACGCATCGTAAAATCGGGAGAAAATATATAGCGACCAGTTTTAAGAAAAGGAAAAGACGCGCAACTTGGGACAGCACACTTTTGCGCATTTATTTCTCATCGAGTCCAGCAGAAAGAGCCAAGGGCACTACCACCACTCCGAAGCGGCCGACCCAGGGTGGTTAGTGTCGACCAGACCGACGGCGGTATTTTCTGCTAGGTGTGGGATCTAAATTTTCAAAAGAGGAAGGGAAGTATGTCAAATAGAATTTACATGAATATTAGTGCCTTGAGTACTAGCGCGTTTGAAAAGCCTTCATAAGTTCTACACACCAAATACCAAACGGAAAAATCGACCACAGCCAAATTTTCAAAATTTTTTCCGGCCGGATCGACCCGCGGACCCGGGGACTACGGTTTGCGGGGATGAGTACGGTGCAGATAGGCGATTGAAAATCTGCGCTGGGCTGCGGCGCGCGACGCCTACTGTTGGCGTTGCACCAGGCCCCTCGTCGATTTCTATGCCGAGCTGCCCGAAGCGGCCCCAGTTTCATCCCGGGCATGTAGCTACGGTGCCCAAACAAACGGCACCAATGCCACGGCCCCCATAGAATTCGGGGTAACAATTTAGCAGCGGACGCGCAATCCATAGCGCTTAGCTGGCTAGCCACTTGGCGCGCCAATGGCCAAGCCGCCCCCGATGACTGGCGGAGGCACTTTTCTGATAGGCTTTGGGACTTGCATGTCGTGCCGCGTCCTGTATATTTTTATCCAGGTCTGGCGTCGTTATAGCCTGGCCGGCGGTTGAACGGACCGGCGTGAACTGAGGGAAGTGTCGGCGTGGTGAAGAAAGCCGGGCGGCACTTCGAGCTTCGCAAGGAAGTTCCTACAAGATATCTCTGGGGGCGCCTTAAGGGGGTGCCCTATCGAGGTGGCTGGAGGGGGTGCCCTTCGCTGCTGTGGCCGATTTCCCCCGATGGACCATACCATCGGCGGAAGGGCTCCGGGGGAAATCGGCCACAGCAACGAAGTCCACCCCGTTCGGCAGTGCCCTTCAGCGCGGTGGCCGATTTCCCCCGATACGGGCTCTTGAACATCAGAAAGCCATAGGAACCGCCCGCGAGGGCGCTCCGGAAGCGAGCACTCTCCCTGCTCCCTGGCGCCGGTCACCATGCCAGAAACGCCCCAGACAGTGCATTTTCCCGTCGCTTCTCTGGCCGCATCCCTGCGCGCCAGTTCCTGTCGAAGGTGCAGCTGCCGGCCCTGCGGTGCTGGCCCACTATAGCTGCGATAGGTGGCCCGCCTGGCCAGCAGAGGCCTTCGCGGCCAAAATGCTACAAATTGGATTTGCTCTTTGATAGTAGGGTCCATGAGCGAAATGGAGCAGAGCCCATTAGTGAACAGAATCAGTATAGTCGGGCGCGCTTGTCGTGATTTCTTTAATGCCTCGGCGAAGGTGAGGCCTCCGCGATGCAACATTGGAGGCCCTTTGCAGCAGGTGGCCCACCATTCGGCATCCAGATGCCCGGCCAGATAAATTGCGTGGCGACGACAATGCTTGAGCCCGGTCGTTCCGAGTGGTATCCCGGATCGAAAAAAAAAAATTTTAAAAATCTGGCTGTGGCCCATTTTTTCGTTTGGTGCCAAAGTTTTGCGTGAGAAGGTGAAGCAACCGTGCCCTACAGGTAAGTGGGAGACTGAGATTGGTACTTACTTCATAGTCCGCACCTCTTCCGTGCATGATTTGTATAAGTTGATATGTATGCTACAACCGTTGTGCCAGCCTCTGGCAAAGTACGATCGATCGGTTGCAAAATAGATATGTATGACAGGACTAAGAAGTAAATATCATAGGTAGAATTCTAGCGGCAAGAATCCTACCTATCTTCGTCTCCGCTCATCAGTAGGATGACATACTCGTGGTGGGTGCCTACCGCTTTGCGCGAGCACGCTTTTCCTTTTCCCTTTTTTTTGCATGCGGGTAGCCGTTATAGAGGCCAAAATCCCCTCCCGCAGGCAAAAAAAAAAAAAAATATTACTTCTTGCATGTTGACAACTCTATTTTCGGTAATTCAGCACTGCAAATTCAGCCCGTTTTGTTTTCACGTAGAGAAAATTTCTTGAGCAAAAATGCAGTTGCCACTGGATAGTTCAAGTAGAGTACGGTAGTGCTTTTGCAGTGCATAGATTTACGGCATTGAGTACCAACGACGTGCTGCGCGGAGACCAGACGCCCGACTTGTACGCCAACGACAGTTTGCATCCGAATTGGCGCGGCAGCGAGGTTTATGAATTGCAAATATGTCTGGGTCTGGAAAGTTGGAACTTGTGATGCTAACTTCGGACTCTGAAAAAATTTGTATTGTATGGCCAGCAAGTAGAGGAGTCTAGCACTAGCTTGTGCTTCGCCGGGAGGGCCTTTGTCATGCGGAATAGGCATCAGGAAGCAATCAGAAGATCTGTGATGCTAGGGGATACATGCATCACAGACGTCACGGGTCATGTAAAATCTGCATGACAACCTTCCAGACCTAGACATGTTTGCATTTGATAAAGTTTTGGCCAGAAAGCTGTACGATTACATAGCCACTACTTCTACACCCTGCAAGTAGAACTTCTACCCGTAGAACTGTCACTGAGGAGATTGGAGATTTTTTTCAAAAAACAGCTACAGGCTGATGTGTAAGGTTCTAGTTTTGGCAAACGCGACTACTTGTTACACAAAGTGATTTTTTTCCGATCTATTGATGTTTTGAAAAAGGTACAGGTACTAAAGACTGAGAATCAACGAAGAATAATTGTCACAATACAGTACGGATTTAGGTAGTTTTCTGCTGCCGTTTTGTTTTGGAACACGAAGAGGAGCAAGTCGTGTATGATTGTGCATCGTAGTTAGTGCCCGTGCATAATTTTTGGAACTTACATTATACATTGTTTGATGTGTTAGTTGAGGTTTTACATTGTTTGAGCCGTGTTCAACAAAGAGCTTCATGAAGAACCCTTGAGCATAAACATCACCACTTTATGTGAAGGCCCGCCGACTTTTTCCCTTTTGACAGCGCAACAAGTTGTAATCTTCATGCTTTTATTATTGACAGCGCAAGTAGTAGTACTAGTCTTGATTCTTCAGAAGCTAGTATTGAGATTGATTTCTCCCCGGCCCCCGTGCCGTTGTTTTGTTAGAAAGACAAGTATGCGAGACGTAGTATGAAGATGCTTGTTGTCATCCACCAGGGCAGCATTGCATTCTCATGCTTCAATCATCGACCATTCAGAGTTTAAAAAATTGAAGCGGAAGCAGAAGATCATGTTGTCTTCATAATCTTCGGACAAAAACAGCTTCATCTAGGAGAACGCGATCGACGCAGCTCTCTTGTGTTCATCAGCTCGTCTAGGTGTGTTTCTTGTTCCATGATCTTACTCATCAAGTGCAACAGTGTCTGGGTCTGGAAAGGTGGAACTTGTAATGCGCATTTCACAAGAGCAAGACGCATAAATCTCTCATGCAAGAAAGACAGCAGAGGTTGCCAATTTTTCTTGTTAGCCGCAAAATAGGCAATTTGTCATGCGGATTAGGCATCGGCGCCCTGTGCCCGCCGGTCCTCACCCGTAGAGATAGTGATTTTTGATTTTTTCCGGACAAGTGACTCCGTGGAACGCTGGTCATTTTTCAGAAATTCTTTTTTCGTCTCCGCCGCCTGCGCCCGCTACCCGCCGGTCCTCACCCGCGGAGACAGTGATTTTTGATTTTTCCCGGGCAATCTGTAATGTGCCACGCTGGCCATTTTTTCAAAACTAGCACATTTTCTTTTTTCGTCTCCGTCGCCTGCGCCCGTTACCCGCTGATCCTCACCGGTGGGAGCAGTGATTTGTGATTTTTCCTGGGCAATCTGTAGCTGGCCATTTTTTTAAAATTAGCACATTTTCTTTTTTCGCCTCCGTCGCCTGCGCCCGCTACCCACCGGTCCTCACCCGTGGGAGCAGTGATTTTTGATTTTTTCCGGAAAATTTCTACGGTGGACCGCTGGCCAATTTTCTAAAAACACCCCAATTTTTTTTTTCGTCTCCGCGCCTGCGCCATCTAGAGCCCAAGTAAGTAGCGCAAGTCGGTCTTCCTGTTGTGCCTAAGTATCCCCTTCAAAAAAAATGGTCGAGTTTCATTGGAACAGCTGAGCTTTGGCGCAATGACTTCTGTGAATTCTGTGGGCGCGACCTTATCCGCGACTATAGAACAGAATTTAGGTACAGTAGTACTAGTCTTGATTCTTCAGCAGCTAGTATTAGGATTGATTCTTATTTATCTTTTGACAGTGCAAGAAAGATGAGTCGAAGATTTCCCCACAGAAGATTTTCCCTATTGAAGATGAAGACTTCCGCCCCACATCATCACCGGGAAATGTTAATGTGGCACGCTGGTGCCAGGTTTTGGTTTACTATGTACCTTTCGACATTGATCTGCGCGGGTGAATAAAAGAGACTGCCCTCTGGTACTTTCCTGGTGCAGCTACGAAACGTCTTCATAAAGATTAGCACGTTTTTGTTTTTCGTCTCCTCGCCTGCGCCCTGTCCCCGTCGGTCCTCACCCGTGGGAGCAGTCATTTTTGATTTTTCCCGGGCAATCTGTAATGCGCCACGCTGGCCATTTTTGAAAAATTAGCACATTTTCTTTTTTCGTCTCCTCGCCTGCGCCCTGTCCCCGCCGGTCCTCACCCGTGGGAACAGTCATTTTTGATTTTTCCCGGGCAATCTGTAATGCGCCACGCTGGTCATTTTTGGAAAATTGGCGCGTTTTTGTTTTTCGTCTCCTCGCCTGCGCCCTGTCCCCGTCGGTCCCCACCCGTTGGAGCAGTCATTTTTGATTTTCCCCGGGCAATCTGTAATGCGCCACGCTGGCCATTTTTGAAAAAATAGCACGTTTTTGTTTTTCGTCTCCTCGCCTGCGCCCTGTCCCCGCCGGTCCTCACCCGTGGGAGCAGTCATTTTTGATTTTTCCCGGGCAATCTGTAATGCGCCACGCTGGCCATTTTTGAAAATTGATTAGCGCATTTTCTTTTTTCGTCTCCTCGCCTGCGCCCTGTTCCCGCCGGTCCTCACCCGTGGGAGCAGTCATTTTTGATTTTTCCCGGGCAATCTGTAATGCGCCACGCTGGTCATTTTTGAAAAATTAGCATGTTTTTTGTTTTTCGTCTCCTCGCCTGCGCCCTGTCCCCGCCGGTCCTCACCCGTGGGAACAGCCATTTTTGATTTTCCCCGGGCAATCTGTAATGCGCCACGCTGGTCATTTTTGAAAAATTGGCACGTTTTTGCTTTTCGTCTCCTCGCCTGCGCCCTGTCCCCGCCGGTCCTCACCCGTGGGAGCAGTCATTTTTGATTTTCCCCGGGCAATCTGTAATGCGCCACGCTGGCCATTTTTGAAAAATTAGCATGTTTTTCGTCTCCTCGCCTGCGCCCTGTCCCCGCCGGTCCTCACCCGTGGGAACAGTAATTTTTGATTTTTCCCGGGCAATCTGTACTGCGCCACGCTGGCCATTTTTGAAAAATTAGCACATTTTCTTTTTTCGTCTCCGCCGTCTGCGCCCTGTCCCCGCCGGTCCTCACCCGTGGGAGCAGTGACTTTTGATTTTTCCCGGGCAATCTGTAATGCGCCACGATGGCCATTTTTCCAATTAATTTCTTTTTTCGTCTCCGTCGCCTGCACCCTGTGCCCGCCGGTCCTCACCCGCGGGAGCAGTGATTTGGATTTTTCTCGGGCAACCTGTGATGCGTTACGCTGGCCATTTTTTCAAAACTAGCACATTTTCTTTTTTCGTCTCCGCCGTCTGCGCCCTGTCCCCGCCGGTCCTCACCCGTGGAGGCAGTGAATTTTGATTTTTCCCGGTCAATCTGCAATGCGCCCCGCTGGCCATTTTTTCAAAATTAGCACGTTTTCTTTTTTCGTCTCCGCCGTCTTGCGCACACTAGAGCCCAACTAGCGCCAGTCGTTGCTCCTGCCATACCTAAGTATCCCAGAAAAAGTAGCGCAAGTCGGTCTTCCTGCTGTGCCTAAGTATCCTGATCAAAAAAAATGGTCGAGTTTCATTGGAGCAACAAGCTCTGGACGAGCAATGAATTCTATGGGCACGACGACCTCCTCCGCGAGTATAGAAGCAGAATACATGCTGGGGAGGTTGTGAAAAAAATAAAAGTTGTCAGATCTGTCGGTTGATGAAGTGAAAAAGAAAGAAAATCAAAGTAGATCAAGATCGGAAGAAAAAATGTTGATCCTTTAAGAATCACGAAGAAGAAAGATCAGGATGATCTGTCGGTTAAAGTGAGAAATGAGCCTGAATTGTTTCAGAAAAAAGATCAATGAGGCGAACATACAGAAGGGTTGATGTAGTACTAAGTGGAGTCGGTCTATTCAGAATCCACCGTCGGTATGTATTTATGGTCCGAAGCAAAAATAATCTCTTCCGACTTTAATATCGTCTTCTTTCATAAACATCGCGACAGCCTTGTCTCTCGACAGGTACAAAACAAAAACTGCGACTGCTTTTCACAAGCTCAAGCTCTCAAGAATTTTTTGAAAACATTAAACCGCCAAAAACTCCTGTGATAAAAGGAAGCTAACTCTCGAGCATATCCTCAATTTTACCCCATCTTGGAGTATTAACGTTATTCCGATTCGTTGGTGGATTCGTTTGTGGAATTAGAACATTGAAGAAGCAACGTGATAGTAAGCATCTTGTTTACCGTGACGAGCGCACCAGCTTCCTAGTACAACTAAAAATTGCATCATCCGCATATATATCATTGTCTACTCAAACTCGTCCTCCAAAATGATGTCCTCTATTCGTTCCGTGACGAAGAAAAACAAGTTCTTTTCGACTGCAGGTGTGGTCGCGGCCGTTCTACTTGTGTCTGGCTTCGCAGGACCGCAACAGGGAGGCGTTGCTGCACTGCGACCCGCGACGGCCTTTAATCGGATTGTTGGTACTCCCGCCGCTGATCAAACGCGGACGCATTCGCTATGACAGCCTCAGGTTGGAAATCCTCAAAGTGGAAATAATTTGTAATGCAAAAAAGCGACTCCAGTTGAAGCGCCATTTGCAGTCGGCGCATGACAAATTTCCTGGGCCCTTAAAGCATGTCTGTCATGCAGGTGAAGGCAAAGGGGTGCCCTTCTCTCGTGCTAAGCAGCGCTCCAATTCTTCACCCCTAGCAGGACAATAGTCGGTCTCTATTGTGTCCTCCGCAATACAGCCTTTTTTGCCTTGCATTTCGTGCATCGCAAATTATTTCTACTTTGAGGATTTCCATTCTGAGGCTTTCATATTCGCCACCGCCTGCGGCAGGACCGTCGCAGCAAACTATGGGAGATCATACAGCACGGCGTTGCCCTCGGGGGCTCCGTTGTGGACGAAATACGACCTGCTGCATGTGCAACCCCGTCAGTAAAGATGACCTAAGGGCCTTTGTGAAAGGCCAAACGCACAAAGGGTCGGGCAGCAACATTCTGAAGTTGGTCGACGGGGCTTCCTGCGAGGCATTTGGACAGTGCTGTCCCATATGCATTGGAAATAAAGTTGTATATCTGGGTCTAGAACATCAAAGCCACTTTTCATGCTAAATGTGAATCATGCAAAATAAAAATCGGTGTTGCATGATTACCAAAAGCCGTCCACTTTTGACCTAATCGAGAGGCAGTTATTTCTCACGCAGGATATTTTTAGGCATGATAGAACTCTGGTGAAACCTACTTAGTAAGTAAGATATTTTTTAGTGCCTTCAGTACTTCACCTTTCAGAAACTGAAATAAAAGTGAAAGCAAAATAAAGCCCAGTTGTATAGAAAAATAAAACTCAAGCCAGATTTTGGCTCAGCAATTTAATACGTCGTCAATGCGCAGGAAGCACTGCCTTTTTTGTTCTCTTAACACTACCTACTTGTTCAGGAGGTGGAAATTGTTTCACGAAGAGAAAATGCGTACTAGTCACTGGTCTAAAAAAAATAATGGCGTCGCCCCCCTCACTGACAGCGCCGCCGCAGCACGGGCCACCGCATAGCCCCGTCGTGGAGTTAGATAGAAGGCTCCGGATAGAGTAGTAAATAAAAAGCAACAGTAAGACTAGCGGCTGGAGACACAAGCTCGGTGATACGCGAGGCGTGCCCGCCAACCTTGGACCCGCACCCCCTCCCCCCCCCGCGGGATATCGTGGAAAAGAGGCATAGATCCCAACCAGCAGACTAGCCGCGGTGTGCCATGAGGGCCGGCGCGGATGGGGACCGGAAGGGGGGAGTCGTGCACCAGGCACCGAAAAGGCATGCTTGCCCGCCGCGACAGGAATTGGCACGATGTCATGTATGAGCGGAGGTGCCCACTGCACTAGGCAGTGCAAGGGCGTATAGATACAAGTACTCACTTAGATTGCACAGGTAGAACTTTGAAAAAGAGATTTCTCAGGCTTGAGAAATTGCATAGTGCATTGATCCCCTCCGATGGCCCCGGCACACTGCAGGCACGGGTACGGAAACTGCCGCCCGCGATCACAGCGCAGGCGCGTGTCGAAGGCATTTACTTTACTTTACGCGTTTTCCTTTTACCAAAACCAGAGCAGAAGACTAGTAACCGGGCCTACAAAATAGCGACTAGTAGTAAATAACGCACTCCACATCCGCGCCCGCCGTGGTCGTGACCTTCGTGCCGTGATCGAGCGACGCGACAAGGGCCTGCGTTTTTCTTAGGGACGAGGGCGCAGGACATGTCAGTGAGGGGAACCCGTGGGCTTGTCCTCGTCGGTCTTTTTCCGTTCCCCTGGTTATTCCTTTGATTCCACCCAGGCTATCTTTCTTTGTGCACCAGCACAGCCAGCTTGCTCGAGTAGAGCGCCCTTCTTGACGACGTCGGACGTGGACGCGCCTACACGCGCGACAGAAGGACCTCCGCCAACGACGGGGGAAGGGTAACCGAGGATCGACGACGGGGGAGCATTCTGCACAGCGTCGGATCGGGCGACGTACTATCAGCATTCTGTACTACTTCCTGGCGACGGTGGAGGGAATAGAAATCCTCTGCTGCGGGCGGCACGCGACGGGTAACTCTGCCTCGGGTGTCCTCACAACTAACCGTCGCAGTGGCTCACTTCTTCCTACCGCGGTGACGAATAAGTCCCCTCAGGGGCAATCTGGCATCCCTTGGCCACGGCGGCTTCGGCTGCCCACCCTTGGGTAGTCAGAACGTCACAAAACTAAGATCCAGCGGCAGATCACAACTAAATCAACACGTCGACCGATCTACAGAGCCACTGCCAAAAGCAGCGAAGACGACAAAGGACACTCGTGGGTAGACCTGCTGAGGGGGTCGCATACCAGCCGAAAGAGACAACCGGCTGCAACTATCTGGAAAGTTGAAGCGTTACAAACCATCGGCAGGCAGCACCTAGCCCCAGCGAAAATCTTTCCTATGGTTAGCTTACACAGAGAGAGTAGCTTAGTAGTTAGAAGCTGGCTGTAGAGTTTATTCCTCCTCCTCCTCTTAGGCATGATAGAACTCATCTCACAGAATCTGTCATGCTACAACATCCCACATAGTACCAGACCTCATTGGTCATGGAAAAGAACCTCCTGCGTGACAAGTCGGGCATTCTTCCAGACCCAGACACTTTTGCATTTGATATCCCACGGACGGAAACGATTGCAGCCTGTCAAGCGCCTGCTGTTGCTGTTGTGCGGCCAAGCCCTGCGTTATCAAAAGGAAAAATCCCCCCTCCCCATATCGAAACGAAGTTTCTGACGCTGGATCTCTGCACACAAATCAGATTTGTCTTGCAGTAGAGGACTGCAGGCATATGCCGAGCCTCGGTCGAGAGGTTTTGACGTAGGCGCCTAGCATGGCAAACGTGTATGCCCTAAGCCCAACAGCATCACAAACCGCCTGCAAAATGCGGGGGGCTCTCTGGTCTTGCCTTCTTGCAAGACAGACGGGATTTGAGGTCACAAATGCGCATCACAAATTTTCAGACGGATACGCTTTCAATATGGGGTGGGGGCCTTTTTCCTTTTGATATGCGTGCAGAATAGCTGTGGCAAGGAGTCGTGCGCCAACAAAGCCATTTGCGATGCTGCCTGCCATATGAATTGCAAATATGTCTGGGTCTGGGAGATTGGGATTGCGAGATTTGTCATGCTAGTCTGGCACGACTCCGAGCTCTGTATTGTGTGGCCGCGAAGAGGAGCTCCTCTTGGCTGTCATGCAAAAACGCAGTTTCTTATGCGGAGTACTACGCAACCCTGATAGCCACGGAAAAACTTGTCATGCTGGGCGACACCCCGCATTTTTACAGTGTGCTCAATATTCCCTTCCTTGCGTCACAAGTTTCCAGACCCGGACACTTTTGCATTTGATATGCAATTGCTACGACCACCCTGATATGCATTGCAAAAGTATCGTACTCGTATAAATGCATTACAAATTTCCTCAGCGTGAGAAATAAAATTTGTAATGCGGATTTGCCTTGGAAACAAGATTAATATTTATATTGCTTGACTTCCGGGTTCTGTGATCACATACCCCAGACGACAGGTGACGGCGACAGGTGACGCGGAGAGGCGACGGCGACAGGCGAAACGACAGGCGAAAGGAGAGGCCAAACGACAGGCGAAAGGAGAGGCGAAACGAGAGGCGAAGCGACAGGCGCCGACGACAGGCCAAAAGCGGCAATTTCTCACGCGGTTCAGCGCCAGCAGCAGCAACAACAAAAAAGCAAAAACTCATTTATTTCCGAGAAGAAAAAAGCATCTCTGTTATTTTCAAAAATACTCATGCGCAAAAAATAATTAATTTATTCATAATATCCGAAGCATGAAGATAGTTACTTTTTGCGTGTGAATAGAAATAAGAGAGCTGCTTTTTTCTTCTCGGAAATAAGTTATTTTTTGCGTGTGAATAAAATAAAAGAGCTGCTTTTTTCTTCTCGGAAATAAAAAGGGCTCGTGGTTTTTTTGTTGCTGCTGCTGGTGCGGAACCGCGTCCAAGAAATAAAAGCTAGCACTGTTGGCCTGTCGCCGCCGCCTGTCCTTTCGCCTGTCGTTTTGCCTGTCGTTCTGCCTGTCGCCTCACCTGTCGCCCCACCTGTCGCCGTCGCCTGTCGCCTCCACATGTCGCCGCCCCCTGTCGCCTGGGGTGTCTGATTACAGTTACAGAACCCGGGCGCCTCGTCAGATTCGTTTTTTCTTCTCAGAAATAAACCATAAAGCCGCGACCCCCGCTGCAGCAAAGAAGTTCGAATCTATTTCGAGCATGTTTGCCAGGCGCAACGAGTAACTTTTTGCGCAGCTCTTTATTTTTCAAAAATAGAAAAGCCCTCCGGGTTCTGGTAACGCATACCCTCCGACACACAGGGTGACCACGACAGGTGACCGCGACAGGTGGCCGCGAGAGGTGGCCGCGACATTTGTCTGCGGCAGGTGGCCACGACAGGCAAACACCCTCCCCCCAATAGCGCGCCGCGAACTAAGTCACTAGCTACGCGCGCCGCGCCTGGTGTGAGGCGGGGGGCGGACGTTCCTGGCGAAGAATTCCTACGCCGCGTCCTGCGGGTGGGAGCCAAGGCAGGGGCGTAGAAATTCCATACCGCCCCGGAAAAAAAATCCGGTCCCAAGGTTGCTTTTGCGCAACACAGATCGGAGATTTCTTCCCCCGGGCGGTATGGACTTTCTACGCCGCGTCCAGCGGGCTCCAGGGTAGGGGCGTAGAAATTCCATACCGCCCTGGAAAAGAAATCCGGTCCCAAAGTTGCTTTTGCGCAACACAGATCGGGCATTTCTTTTCCCGGGCCACGGTATGGACTTTCTACGCCGCGTCCTGCGGGAGCCAGGGAAGGGGCGTAGAAATTCCATATCGCCCTGGAAAAGAAATCCCGTCCCAGCGTTGCTTTTGCGCAACACAGATCGGAGATTTCTTTCCCCGGGCGGTATGGACTTTCTGCGCCGCGTCCTGCGGGAGCCGGGGCAGGGGCGTAGAAATTCCCTACCGTCCTGGGAAAGGAATCCGGCCCCGAAGTTGCTTGCGCGCAACACAGGTCGGAGATTTCTTTTCCCGGGCGGTATGGACTTTCTACGGCGCGTCCTTCGGGAGCCAGGGATGGGGCGTAGAAATTCTATACCGCCCTGGAAAAGAAATCCCGTCTCAAAGTTGCTTTTGCGCAACGCAGATCGGAGATTTCTTTCCCCGCACGGTATGGACTTTCTACGCCGCGCCCTGCGGGAGCCGGGGCCGGAGCGTAGAAATTCCATACCGTCCTGGGAAAGGAATCCGGCCCCGAAGTTGCTTTCGCGCAACACAGATCGGAGATATCTTTTCCCGGGCGGTATGGACTTTCTACGCCGCGTCCTGCGGGAGCCAGGGAAGGGGCGTAGAAATTCCATACCGCCCTGGAAAAGAAATCCCGTCCCAAAGTTGCTTTTGCGCAACACAGATCGGAGATTTCTTTCCCCGGGCGGTATGGACTTTCTACGCCGCGTCCTGCGGGAGCCGGGGCAGGAGCGTAGAAATTCCATACCGTCCTGGGAAAGGAATCCGGCCCCGAAGTTGCTTTCGCGCAACACAGATCGGAGATTTCTTTTCCCGGGCGGTATGGACTTTCTACGCCGCGTCCTGCGGGAGCCAGGGAAGGGGCGTAGAAATTCCATACCGCCCTGGAAAAGAAATCCCGTCCCAAAGTTGCTTTTGCGCAACACAGATCGGAGATTTCTTTCCCCGGGCGGTATGGACTTTCTACGCCGCGTCCTGCGGGAGCCGGGGCAGGAGCGTAGAAATTCCATACCGTCCTGGGAAAGGAATCCGGCCCCGAAGTTGCTTTCGCGCAACACAGATCGGAGATTTCTTTTCCCGGGCGGTATGGACTTTCTACGCCGCGTCCTGCGGGAGCCAGGGAAGGGGCGTAGAAATTCCATACCGCCCTGGAAAAGAAATCCCGTCCCAAAGTTGCTTTTGCGCAACACAGATCGGAGATTTCTTTCCCCGGGCGGTATGGACTTTCTACGCCGCGTCCTGCGGGAGCCGGGGCAGGAGCGTAGAAATTCCATACCGTCCTGGGAAAGGAATCCGGCCCCGAAGTTGCTTTCGCGCAACACAGATCGGAGATTTTTTTTCCCGGGCGGTATGGACTTTCTACGCCGCGTCCTGCGGGAGCCAGGGAAGGGGCGGAGAAATTCCATACCGCCCGGGAAAAGAAATCCCGTCCCACAGTTGCTTTTGCGCAACACAGATCGGAGATTTCTTTCCCCGAGCGGTATGGACTTTCTACGCCGCGTCCTGCGGGAGCCGGGGCAGGAGCGTAGAAATTCCATACCGTCCTGGGAAAGGAATCCGGCCCCGAAGTTGCTTTCGCGCAACACAGATCGGAGATTTCTTTTCCCGGGCGGTATGGACTTTCTACGCCGCGTCCTGCGGGAGCCAGGGAAGGGGCGGAGAAATTCCATACCGCCCGGGAAAAGAAATCCCGTCCCACAGTTGCTTTTGCGCAACACAGATCGGAGATTTCTTTCCCCGAGCGGTATGGACTTTCTACGCCGCGTCCTGCGGGAGCCGGGGCAGGAGCGTAGAAATTCCATACCGTCCTGGGAAAGGAATCCGGCCCCGAAGTTGCTTTCGCGCAACACAGATCGGAGATTTCTTTTCCCGGGCGGTATGGACTTTCTACGCCGCGTCCTGCGGGAGCCAGGGAAGGGGCGGAGAAATTCCATACCGCCCGGGAAAAGAAATCCCGTCCCACAGTTGCTTTTGCGCAACACAGATCGGAGATTTCTTTCCCCGAGCGGTATGGACTTTCTACGCCGCGTCCTGCGGGAGCCGGGGCAGGAGCGTAGAAATTCCATACCGTCCTGGGAAAGGAATCCGGCCCCGAAGTTGCTTTCGCGCAACACAGATCGGAGATTTCTTTTCCCGGGCGGTATGGACTTTGTTCGCCGCGTCCTGCGGGAGCCACCCAGGGAAGGGGCGTAGAAATTCCATACCGCCGTGGAAAAGAAATCCCGTCCCAAAGTTGTTTTTGCGCAACACAAGTCGGGGACTTCTTTCCCCGTGCGGTATGGAATTTCTACGCTGCGCCCTGCGGGAGCCGGGGCAGAAGCGTAGAAATTCCATACCGTCCTGGGAAAGGAATCCGGCCCCGTAGTTGCTTTCGCGCAACACAGATCGGAGATTTCTTTTCCCGGGCGGTATGGACTTTCTATGCCGCATCCTGCGGGAGCCAGGGAAGGGGCGTAGAAATTCCATAGCGCCCGGGAAAAGAAATCCTTCCCGTCCCAAAGTTGCTTTTGCGCAACACAGAGAGATCGGAGATTTCTTTCCCCGAGCGGTATGGACTTTCTACGCCGCGTCCTGTGGGAGCCTGCCGGGGCAGGAGCGTAGAAATTCCATACCGTCCTGGGAAAGGAATCCGGCCCCCGAGTTGCTTTCGCGCAACACAGATCGGAGATTTCTTTTCCCGGGCGGTATGGACTTTCCACGCCGCGTCCTGCGGGAGCCAGGGAAGGGGCGTAGAAATTCCATACCGCCCCGGAAAAGAAATCCGGTCCCGACGTTGCTTTTGCGCAACAAAGAGCAGAGATTTCTTTCCCCGGGCGGTATGGACTTTCTACGCCGCGTCCTGCGGGAGCCCAGGCGAGGGTGTAGAAATTCCGCGCCGCCCCTGGAAAAGATATTCCCTCGCAAGGCTGCGACTGTGGAATACAGAGCGGACATTTCTTTTTCCGGGCTATCACAACGGTAAATGAATCACATTACAAATGAATCACCATACGGAAAAAAAAAACTTTCCATGTACCGCAGTGCATGGCCCGGCTCGCACGCATAAGGAAGCGCCCAATATATACAACCAAATAACCTGAGACACAGCGACGCTCCCCAGGAAGGTCGCGCCTTTCTCGATAAGGTTTGCGCTATTTGGTTGGTGGCTACGGGGAACGAACGCAATGGCCAGGAGTGGATGCTGGGGGCATCGTGCCTGAATAGCTTGCAAACAACTCGGGGGAAGCATTCGCAACCCAAAATACCAAGCACAAGCCCACTGCTAAAGATAGGAAAAGCGACACCATAAAAATGAAGTGATTACACCTCCATACCTTCAGGCGTAGCGCCCCGAGGGTGTCGGATTTTCTGAAAAAAGATCAACTTTTGCCAAAAATTCATCTCTTTCGAAGCAAAAAAAGAGGCGTAATCTCCTTGCGTTTTGTAGCTATCAATTAGCCCTATGATTCATTTGACTCCTCCCGCTTAGTATCTGCTTGAATCACCCCTGCAAAAAGCCGCGATTTTTGGCATCAAATTGATGCCCGAAGCACGACTTTTTCGCGTCAAATCACCCTAGCAGATAATAAGTGGGTTTGGCTTTTTTTTGGTCTGAAACAGGCTGCACGTCTCAAGTTAGTACACCTCCACTGCTCCACTTCTGCCACTTGGTAACAGTAGAGTAGGGCAAAAGTAAGAATAGTGCGCCAATAGCACCATGCGGGGTAGCATTATGCACCACGGTATGATGCTTTGGGGCTGGTCTTGGGGTATCTTCTATGGCATCTTCTGCGCACTACGTCTCGCAGTCTTCTCCTTACCAAAATGCGACGCCTGGGGCTTTTGGTCGCAGCCTTCTCAAGCATTCGCCCACTGCAATCTACCGACCAGCTGTGTCTGGCGCGGGGAAAAAAGCTGCAGGCGCTACGGCAGTTGGGGACGCTCCGAATTTTTTTTTTTTCGACCCTATGACTCTTTTGAAAGTGATTCACTTTCTCCTTTGATACGGGCGGTATGGAATTTCTACGCCATCGCCTTGGCTCCTGCAGGAGGCGGCGTAGAAATTCCCTACCATCCTGAAGACGAAGTCTCCGATCTGTATTGCACAAAAGCAGTGCTGCAATCGAGTTTCTTTTTCAGCGGCGGCTTCGAATTTCTACGCCATCGCCTTGGCTCCTGCAGGAGGCGGCGTAGAAATTCCATACCGCCATGAGAGGGAAGTCTCCGACCTGTGATGCACAAAGGCAACTTCAACTTTGAGACCGGACTGCTTTTCCCGGGGTGGTTTCGAATTGTCCGCCCCGCTGCCGAAGGAACACCCTGCGCCCGGCTGTAGCGCTTCGCGCACTAAGCCACTATGCGCGCCCCTGATGCGAGGCGAGGCCGAGGGGCGGACACTGTCCGCACTGATGCCGAACACCCTTCCCCCACTACCGCTTTGCGAACTAAGCCACTGCGCGCGCGCCTGATGTGAGGCGAGGGGCGGACTCTGTCCGCCGCGATGCCGAGCAATGTTCTCCCACTCGCGCCACTAGGGATGCGCACAAGGCCCCAGCGTGGGGACCCTGTCCCCACGCGTGGACCTTGTTTGTAATGCAAGACTTGCATTTATACGAATACGATACTTCTGCACAGGATACCTGACGCGCCGGACTATCTGGATGATGAAGCTCCGTATGGGTGTGTCAAGATCGGAATCGTCAAAGTTGAAATAGTTTGTCATGCATAAAGTGCAGCGCAGAAGTTGCCTCTGTTGCAGAGGACGCAAGGGAGGCAGATTGTAGTGCTGGTAAGGGTCGTCGAGAATGGGGCGGGTGATTAGCATCACAGAGGGGAGCCCGTTTGCCCTAAACAGCATGACAAACTGGCTTCCGGTACGGACAAAATTTCTCATGCATCGACTAGAAACTGCGGGCCCAACTGGTATCGATTTCATGCATTACAAGTTATTTCAACTTTGTCGACTTCAATCCTGACACTTCCATACTCCGGAAGTCTGCTTGTGGTGTGCGAAGCCTCAGGAGAAGTTATCAAGAACAAAAATCCCCCCTCCCCATATCAAAACGGAAATCTGTGATGCAGATTTGTGGCCACAAATCAGCTCTGTGATGCTAGAAGGCAAAAGATGCTGACTGTAGTGCTACCTAGCGTGGGAAAGTATTGCATCTCCAGCATGACAAGAGGCAACTGGAAGTGGGAAGCAGCATGACAAATTGCCTGCAATTCAGGCCACAACTGCGTCTCTTGGCCTTCTAGCAATACAAGTCGACTTGCGTACTCAAATACAGCATCACAAATTTCGTTTCCGATATGGGGAGGGGGGATTTTTCTTTTTGATAGAAGTGTTCGAATTTTTGGTCGACGAAGTGCACTACCGCTGGCATGGGCCAGGCAAGCCTCGGTTTGGTATCTTGAGTAAATAAGACTTCATTTACCCGGCGGCGGCCCACATCTTGTTCTGTAGATCATCTGATGTCCAATAAGTAGAAGTCATACATAGAGATGATCTAATATTCTATGCATGCTTTTAAGTATAATTCAGGTGCACCAGCCTGCTCGTGATGAGGAGCGTTTTGTTCTTTCTGATGCCAGCGTAGTTGATGTAAAAACTCTAACTTGTCATACACGACCAGCAGCCTCCAACCCTGAGAAATACTTTTAAGCTGTGGGGCCGTTGTGGTAGCGTGGGGATGTTTTTGCACAGGATATCGTGCTGCCGAGCATAACCCGGACAACCAGTGTCTTCAGTGGGGAGATGTGACTGCTTTCAAAATCCCTGAGCTATCAAATGCAAATATCGACGATCTGGGTCATCTGGAAGGATGCAAGTGCAACGACCGATGATGCAGCTGCATCTGGATGCTACAAAAATCTGTAATATTGCATGAACAGCATCAGCAAAAGAGGTCCAGGAGTTTTTGCCACGGCGAGAGGGCAACATGTCTCATGCAGTATAGGCAACAGCTACATCAGGAAGCCCTGCGCATAAAATCTGTGATGCCAGAGCATGCATGCATCACTCCACAGACATCAGGAGTGATCATGCAAAATGGATGCATGACAAACCTTGCACCATCTTCCTTCCAGACCCAGATCATCGATATTTGCATTTGATATGAGCACGTTTTCAATAACCAGCACTGGGCGCCCTGTACGGCTATCAACTGTAAAAATGTCTGGGTCTGGAAGATTGCTACATTTGTCATGCTTGTCTGACATGACTCAAGAATCTGTGATGCATGGGCACGCAGTTGTCGTCTTACCTGTCATGTTGGAAGGCTAAGGGCTGGGCGTCCCCTCGTAAATTAATTCGACAAACAGTAGCCTCATACCCGGTAAACTCTAGAAGAAATTATTGGACAACGCGATTTCTATCGAAAGACAAGCACAACAGCATCTGGGACGGCCGCGACGACAGCTGTGTGGGTATCTGGATAGAAATAGCCCTGTGCAAAAACTTTTCCTAGCACCGAGGGATTAAAAGAAAAGTAAAAAACGATGAAAAACAACAACTAAGACACAGTCCCACCTACGTCGAAAAAATCACCCTAAAAGGTGGTAGCACCAGTAGTATCAGTAAAGGTGTCCTGAACACGAGAGTGTGCGGGTGAAGACAAAACCCTAGGACAGCATGCAAAAGGCCAACGAAACCGGACGTGGAGACCGTCCGAACAACAGCACCAGGGCGGGCCTGGGCGGAAAATGCATGACAAACACCGGAAGTCGAAACAGATCATGACAAGGAAAGGCCATAATGATACTAAAGGTGGCACCAGGGTGGAAAAATAAATGATGGCCTTGTTCGTCTCCTTGGTCTCGTTCCCACAGCCCCAGGAAAGGCTAAAGTAATTTTTTAAAAAATAATAAAGCTTTACTCTACGCGCGCATAAATTACTTTGTCTAGACCGGTCGATCCACTTCTGCCTGTACCGTCTCTATTCCGTTTTCTCTACCACCCTAAGAAGTGGCGATCATATGCATAGCATGCCTAGAACAAGGGCCCACTATGACGCGTCGTCAGGGCGCAAGCTAAGTTTTCATTCCCAGTCGTCTTACCTGTCATGCAAAAACGCAGTTTGCCATGCGGAACACGCAACACACAGGGGCCCAAAAATTTGCCATGCTTGGCTTCGTATTGCAGTGGAACTCTCATTCACTCTTAGCATCACAAGTTTCCAGACCCAGACATATTTGCAATGCATAACGGAGCACACTGTGCAAGAAGGCTATGAAAGCCTCAGAATGGAAATCCTCAAAGTGGAAATAATTTGTGATGCATGAAATGCAAGGCAAAAAAGACTGTATTGCAGAGGACACAATGGAGGCCGACTATTGTCCTGCTAGGGGTGAAGAATTGGGCTGCTGATCAGCACGACAGAAGGGCACCCCTTTGCCTAACTAGCATGACAGACACGTTTTGAGTGCCCGGGAAATTTGTCATGCGCCGACTACAAATGGCGCTTCAACTGGAGTTGTTTTTTTGCATTACAAATGACTTCCACTTTGAGGATTTCCAACCTGAGGCTTTCATAAAGGCTGCTGGTGCAGTGCAGTGAAATTTCCCTGCTGTTGCTGCGCCTGGAGGGTCGGCACGTGCGGTATCCACAGTAAAAAATTCCCCGTACACGTTGTACAAATGCGGTCTCCGCATCACAAAAGTTGGTTTCGATTCTAGTTTTTAATAGCATGACAAGTTTTAATATTACGCTTCAAATTGGTACTAGAATTTGTGATGCATCTTGTACATGTACGGGAAATAAATTTGTATTGCATATGCGGCCAGAAGACCTGCATCAAAGCTTGGCAGTCTGAGGAGTACGACGGGGAGGTGGATGGCACAACTTGTACGTGTATCAAATGCAAATATGTCTTGAGCTGGAAGGTTGGAACTTGTAATGCTGTCTGCGGATTCTAAAAATATCTGCGTTGCATGAGCAGCAAGAGGACTCAGTTCTTGGCACGCGGAGAGGGCCGCGTTTCTCATGCGTAATTAGCATCAAGAGGCTCTCAAAAAATATGTGTTGCTAGCACCAGCATCACAGACCTCACGGGTCATGCAAAATGTGCATGACAAACCTTCCACTCTTCCAGACCCGCCAGACATATTTGCAATCCATAACGTGCGGAGGGAAGCGCGGCCTGTACGTATACGTGCGGAAGGAGGATGGAAGCACCGAGTGCGTGCCAGCAAAAGTTCTGGGACGTCGCCACACCATGACCTCGCCGTCGGCGTCTGGTCACGAGGGAGGGGTGGCTCCACCGCAGCAGGTGACCATGCGAGGAGAAGATGAAGAACATGGGGGGCGCAGCGGCAGCGGCAGCGGCAGCGGACCTGCCTCGTCCTCTACTTCCAGGAGAGTTGGCGGTCGATCCCCGAGTCGCGGTAGGCGCGGAAGTCGATCCCCGAATCGCGGTAGTCGCGGAAGTCGATCCCCGAATCGCGAGGCACGCGCCGCTTCCGCCGGTCCCGCCGCTCCCTTCCTTCATGTAGAGGACCCCTTGTATGTTAATTATCATATCCCTAACCCTGTGCGCAATGCCACACGCAGGATGGATGATGATGATGATGATGAGCGCTCACTTCCCGTAGAAAAATAAACTAGAAGTTTTACAGCAACCCCAGCTTCTCTGGGTCCGCGTCGTCTTCGTTGTGGTCCTTGTATAGAAGTGGGGGCAACAACTAACTACAACAACAAACAACAAGCAACAACAGCACTTTCAGCAGTAACAACGCATAATTCGGTAATATTTTTAACCGAAGCTGCAGCATGCAGTCGTCTTCTACCTTCTCTTCGACTGGCCGCTTCGGATCCTCGAGGAACCCGGTTGACGGCGGAGTATAATTCGACTCGTGCTTTATTTTGACTACGGTGACTGTTGGTTCTAACTCCTTGCTCGACAATTATATTAAATTCCAGCATTACAAATTATGCTACACACGACGTAGGAACTACCGCCCAGCTTCATCGCCGCGCCCCGACCCTGTCGTCCGGAGATTGAAGCGGCCGCCAGGCGGTGCCATAGATTATGCATTGCAAAAATGTCTGGGTCTGGAAAGTTGGAACTTGTGATGCTAACTCTGGACTCTAAAAAAATCTGTGTTGCATGACCAGCAAGAGGAGCCACATTTGTGCTACGCGAGAAGGGCATTTGTCATGCGGAAATGGCATCAGGAAGCTTTCCAAAAATCTGTGATGCTGGGTCATGCATTACAAGCACCATGGGTCATGCCAGACAAGCATGACANTTTTTTTTTTCACGATGAGAACGGAAAGGAGAAAAGATGGATTTCTCATGCGAGAAAAGAACTCGACTTCGAACCTGAACAATTGTGAGAAATAAAGATGAATTTCTCATGCGAGAAGATGGCATGCAGCTTCTGACATTTATATCCTGTCTAGTACAACGTTAACGCTATTGCCATAATAGAGGACCACTTTATTTTTAGCTCTACAAAGTGTAGCGACTGACCTTCGGGCGGCTATCAAAACTGCATGCAAGAACGATCAAAGCGCTATCTTTTTTCTTATACGTGTATGATTTTACAACTAGTACTGACATAGGAACTTCACACTATCAAGAACACGAGTCTACGATACTTACAAACTCCAACGCACTTCGGGCGACTGCGTTTGGAAAGTGTGAAATCTCGCCGGAACAACCGAATCGGCACGCTTTGGCAAGTAGACAAATTTCGAAAAATCGACTTTCGAATTTCGCGCGTGTCTATTTTATCCAGAAGAGATGTTGACATTAATCATGCCTCGCGTTATTTTTAGAAGAGATTGCGAGAAAATGAAGGACAGGACCCCTCCTGTAATTCGCGTAGTCCACCTCCAGATGGGGAATTTTCGCGCATTGAGATCGAAGATCCTAGATGCAACTGCCTCCGGATCATCGGATGACAAGGAAAAAAATGCCGACGCTTCATCCTACTTGACAGACAGTTGGTTATTTCGGCCAGAATCCGACGTCGAGGATTTCCAGCTCTTGCAAGATCTCCGCATGAGAAAAGAACTCGACTTCGAACCTGAACAATTGTGAGAAATAAAGATGAATTTCTCATGCGAGAAAAGAACTCGACTTCGAACCTGAACAATTGTGAGAAATAAAGATGAATTAATATTTACATTGCTTGACTTCCGGGCTCTGGTAACGCATACCCCCGGCGACAGGTGACCTTGACAGGCGACCTCGACAGGTGGCCTCGACAGGTGACCTCGACAGGTGACCTTGACAGGTGACCGCGACGGGTGAACGCCCTGCCTTCCCCCACTAGCGCTTCGCGCACTAAGCCACTATGCGCGCGCCTGGTGTGAGGCGAGGGGCGGACGCTGTCCGCCCGGATGCCGAACACCCTTCCCCCACTAGCGCCACTAGGGACGGGCACAAGGCCCCAGCGTGGGGACCCTGTCCCCACGCGTGGGTCTTGTTTCTCATGCGAGAAAAGAACTCGACTTCGAACCTGAACAATTGTGATCGCACATGATTATCCTGTGCAAAAGTATCGTATTCGTAGTAATCCCATTCAGGCATTACAAATTTTCTTCCTAAGGTAGATCCGCATTACAAATTTTATTTCTCATGCTGAGGAAATTTGTGATGCATTTATACGAGTACGATACTTTTGCAATTCATATGATCTACTACTTTCGGTCGATGTCATGAAGTGAAGTGTGAAGAAGAAAGAAAATAAAGATCAAGATCAGAAACAGAAAACCACGACCCCTGCCGCGGAAGGGCAGGCGAAATGCAAACGCGAAAATGAAAATCAGAATGAAGAGGAAAGAAAAAGATCCTGATCTCTGGGTCTCCGCGCTTAAAAATGAACTAAGATCTCGGATAGGGCCGCCGGATGCATATGCAAAATAGTAAAGGATCAATCTTCATCGTTGGTGTTGGAACTCAATCGGTCCATCGGGGATCCATCGGTATGTAGTCGGTACTAGAGAGCACGCAGTTTCTCTCTGCGCCGTCAAGTGGAAGAGGTTTGCTCTAAATATCTTCGTCTTTCACAAAGATAAAGAATCTTTCACGCCAGCCCGAGGTCGTGGTCTCTTGACCGATACAAGTCAAAGTCTGCTTCCACTTGTTTTTACTCTTTCATCATCATACTACTAGTATTACATCTACAAGCCGCTCTCAAAAATTTCTAACCTCATACTTACCGCCAAAAACTGTGATAAAAGCAAGCTAACGCGACTTCATTCGCGTTCATTCTATTGCAAGAACGTGACTAATATTGTTACAGCAACTTTCTCTACTATTATTAAGATTGCTCTCAGTCAACTACCGATATAGAAGCCTCACAATGAATCATTGCGTGACTACCGATAACCAAGCGCTTCATCATTGTCAATGATGAAGCGCTTGGTTATCGCGACGCTCTTTGGGCGGCAAGACTTCGTCGTCGTCGCCTTGAAGGCCACGCCGTCGTCCTCGTCCGGGCATCGGAGCACTGGCACTCTACGTCAACCGGACCACGCTGAGTTTGTCAAGACGGTTTTTGGTGCGGAAACCGCTTTGCGCCGGCCCGTAGACGATTTGTTGGGCGAACGGCTGCAAGAGGTTCGGAAAGAGTTTGAACGCAAGCTAGCGGCCGGCGAGGAGGAGCCGAAGGAAATCGGCTTCCTTGATGGTGAGGCCATTGCGCAGTTCGAAATGGATGCGTCCTTTTTGTTGCGCCACGTGTTCGAGCTGTTTTTCGAGAAAGAAGAGAATCTCTGCCACGACACACGTTTTGCGCCAGAGTGTCCGAACTTGTGCCCTCAAGGTGACGCCGATCCCACATCCGCTCAGGAGAACGAGGGGCGGAAGGCAGAGCGGATCAAAAAGCTCAACAAGCTCCTCAGCGACATGCAGGCGAAGAAGAAGATCAATCTGCCGGCCGGTGTTGAGCCGGCATCCGAGCTGGAGCGCGACTGGCAAAAAGTTTCTCAGGCTTTCGCGGACGTAGTTTCACCGACAGGCCATTACAGTTTCCGCTTTAATTTCTTCGGTTTTAGTGCGATACAAGCCTATTTTTCGCGCACGGCTCCGGAAGGTAGAGCCTTTGAAACTACTCGTGGCACAGAACGCTATTTCGCCCCTACTCGTGGCACAGAACGCTATTTCACCGTCGGCTTCGCTGCCGAGGGTCCCGGCATCTTACCCTTTCAGAGGTTCTACAACCAATTCGAGTGCGTTTTCAAGTTTGACAGCGAGGCGCTTGCAAGGGGGATGACCGTGGAAAAGTTGCAGATCGTCAGCGACCCTTTGTGGAATACTCCTGCTCGTGGGCCCGGCCCTTTTGGCAGCATTGAGTATCCTCTTGATGCCTAAGCATTTTGAAAAGTCTACAAAAAGCCCGTGAGGGTGAGGACATCACACAGCATCTAGCATCTACCTACTAACGAGGCTCTCGCTCCTTGCTATGAAAGTGATATAGTATGTAAAGCTGTTTTTAAGTCGCGGAAGCATTGAGCGTTCATCTACTACAGCCTCTGGAACTTTCCGGCAAGGAGTTGTTGGTCATCTTGACTCCGTTCGTAAATTCATATGTTAATGCAAGCGGCGTCTTGTGTGATTTCTCTACTTCAACAAGTTTTTGGTAGGCACAAGAACAAGTTTTGGTAAGCAACAAGAACAAGTTTTGGTAACACCAGTAGCACAAGAACAAGTTTTGGTAAGCAACAAGTACGCGCAGCGCCTCATCGCTTTCCATTAGACTCACGCCTCTTTTGCTGGGGCTGGTGAGGGTGGAAGCTCAGTGCCGAATTGCGACCCCACTCCACGCCAATTGTTGTACAATTGAAGCCCAAAGGATTTTTGCAGAAGCTTGGTTCGGGTGGGGTGGCGGAAAAAGAAAAGCGTATGAATGAGTATTTTTCTTCACCAACGATCTTCATTTCTCGATGAAATGAGAATGGACATCTGGTGGTAGACTAGATCTAAAGGCGCGCTATATGCAGTAGGCATAGCACCAGCGCTCCGACTGTATAATGATATCTCTCCATTATGGTAAGCAACAAGTACGCACATGCGATCGCTTTCCATTAGTTGACTCACACGTCTTTTTTGACTGTAGTGGAACCCACTACATGCTGGCGCAACTGCTCTTCTCTTTTTATATTAATGCCGCATGTAGTTTTCCACGATGTACGTATAGCACTGTTCTACTTCGTGTATGATACATAGAAAATCAAAATTCAAGGCGTAGCCTTACAGCGCGGATCGTGCTGGCGCAGGCTAGGCCGTGAACTGATGGCTTGCGTTTGGAAAGTGTGAAATCTCGATAGAATTATCGAATCGGAACAATTTGGCAAGAGAAATTTCGAAAAATCCATTTCCAGAAATTTCGAAAAATCTCATGCGTTGCTCAGTTCGTCCCTGCAGCTTCGAAAGACTGTTGTACGTGTATGATTCAAAAAGGCATCAAACATCTTTCTACATCACCCCAAGACGAAAAAGATATAATCGCCTGTCTCTCCTCGCAGGTATAGCCCGCATGGTTGTTTCGAATAGGTGTTCGCCAGAATTATACGATATCTGCATCTGCTTCTGCAGCTCATTTGCAAACCACAGTGGAGTACCAGAAGCCGACATGAATCGACTCGGGCGCACGACGACGACGACCCCTCAAAATTGGGCTCGATATGGATTGCAAATATGTCTGGGTCTGGAAGAATACAAACTTGTGATGCGCATTTCAAAACGCAGAAAAATCTCTCATGCATAGGTAGCAAAAACTGCCCACTTTCTGTTACCAAAATGGGGGATTTGTCATGCGGATTTTCCATTGCGGAAGCTTCTCGAAACCTGTGATGCTAGAGCTTCCATGCCAGGAGACCCTCTGTGGCATGCAAAAACAGCATGACTCTTCCAGACCCAGACATTTTTACATTTGATACTCGACAAGATTCTGAACCAAAACTCGTTCCGCCAGATTACGGACCGCGAAAAAATGTATCAAATGCAAATATGTCTGGGTCTGGGAGATTGCGCGACTTGTAATGCTAGTCTGGCATGACTCTGAACTCTGTATTGCGTGGCCGCGAAGAAGTACGTAGAGCTTCTCTTGGCTGTCATTCAAAAACGCAGTTTCTCATGCGGATTACGCAACTGAGAAGCACTGATCGAAAAATTTGTCATGCTTGGCAGCGCAATACAGTGTGCTCACTATTCCCTTCCTTGCATCACAGGTTTCCAGACGGACCCAGATGACATATTTGCAATGCATAAAATGGTGACTAGGCTGAAAAATGCTGAAGAACGGATGCTAGAGTGCGAGGAGGTCGTGGAAGCACAGCTGCAAGATGTTGAACGCGCGTGCTCAACGTCGGCCCCGGAGGGGGGACCCTCGTCGGGTAGTGGGGACCACGAACAACAGGGCAAAACAAGAGCAATAGCAGCAGCATCAAGCGAGAAGAGGACCACCACGAGGAACCAGAAAGTGTTCGACGCGGGGGTGGACCTGTATGAGAGTGCACAACTCCCACCTCTCCCCCTCATTTGTACGGCCGGAGCAGCAAGCAAGACAAGCGGCGGCAAGAGTGCAGGTTTTGCATGACACATTCGCCGAGGATTGTAGTCCTGTTCGGGAGGTTGCCAGAATCTGTCATGGTTGCCAGAACAAACTTTGGCAAGAAAAATTTCGAAAAATCCATTTCCAGAAGGGATAACGTGATATTACCTCGGGTTCTTTTCAGACGAGATTTCGTGCGAAAAAATGAAGACCCGCTTCTGAATTCCACCTCCAGTCGAGGTATTTTTTTCGCGCATTGAGATCGAAGATCTTCCTAGAGGAACTTCTACAGCCCGAGGACCAGGATCACAAGGAAAAAAATGCCGACGCTCCTCCATCCTACTTGAGAACAGCCACTGGTTTATATTTCGGCCAGGGAAGGTCGACGTGGAGGAGCTCCAGCTCCTGCAAGATGACCTCCGCATGAAAAAGTGAATGTTGTTCATACATAAGTACCTTTCGCTTGCCGGTGGATTTTCGTTTCGTTTGCTGTTTTATGATTCAACCGGGATCTACTTCTGGATCTCTTGTCTTACTGGTGTGGCCAGCTTCACTTTATGAAATATACAGCATGAAGATGCTGCTGGCGTGGAGGGCTACCGAATGCTTTGATCCAAACTCGATCCTGATTCACGATCGTCTTCAAGAAAGCTGCTCCAGTACAATTTGTCGAGCCTGCTAAATCATGAATTTATTTCCATGCTTGAAGAAGAACACGCTGTCTATTTGAAGATGAAAAATAACGGTACAAAAATCATCTGAAGACAAAACGAAAAAAATAAAGTTCTGTCGAAAATGAGGACCTATCCATTTCGATATTCGAGTCTTTATTCAGGATGCAAGATGAGCAGAAGCTCTCTCCGCTTGAAGAGGAGGGACGAACAAAGAGACAGGAGGTATCCGTATCCTATCGCAGGAAAAAACTGTTTCACTGTAAACTTGTAATGCAGAAACTGTATCTCAGAAGTGTTTGTCTTGCTACACATGCAAGACAGGCGATTTTTAGCTGTGTTTTCCCTTGGGATCCTCGCATGGCAAGTTTTCCCCTGGGATCCTGCAGACCAAACCTGTGATGCAAAACTTGCAAAATCCTTACAGTGAAACACTTTTTTCGTACGATATATCCATCCTGATGTGTAGTCCATTGTACTACTACTTAGTACTACAACCAGGAACATCAGGGCCGTTCTATAAAGTTCTTGTGATACTAGAAGTCACTACGTGCAGCAACCTCATTGTGTTTCATAAAGAAGTAGAAATTCTAAGTTCTTGTCCCTGGGAACAAAATAGAAGCGAAAATACAAATACCGGGTTGTAACTGTAAGATATTCATCTATTCTTTTCTAATGAACAAGAGTAAGAGCACGACCAGGACGAGATGTTGGTGCACCATGTGGTAAGTTCAGTGTTGAATTCAGACCACGACTCTTAATTCCCGGAATTTTTATGAAGAAATAGAAAATGTCATCGCTGGTGCAATCTGAGGGAGATTCTTCTAGCGCCGTTGCGGGTCGTCCTAGAACCGGAGCTTTAGTCCCAGTTGTCGTCGACCACGACCAGGTCGACGTCGGGCTGGTGCCCTCTCCCTCGAGAAAAAAAATCCCGGTGACCATTCTGACGGGGTTTCTCGGCAGTGGAAAGACCACTTTGATAAAGAACATCCTGCAAAACTGGGACCACGGCTACAAAATCGCGGTGGTCCAGAACGAATTTGCGGCGACAACAAGTGCAGGTGCACCTTCCTCGTCTACCACAACTGCCGGAGAAGTTGCCGTAGGAGAAGATGATGTAGTCCTCGGCGGGGCGCGACGGCCTTCGATGAATGCAGGACATAGTACAGGTGCAGGTGGGGGCAGTAGTTCGAGTAGTACAGCCGGTCCGGAGCATAATTACCCGCAATACGGTATCGCGCTGAAAAAAACTATCACTATCACAAAAGCGCCGTTTTTCGACCCAAAAATGCGACTTTTTTTACAAAAAAGCAGCATTATTTTTTCATTTTTTTTCTCGCCGGCAAGGTAAGACCTGAGTAGTGTTTTGATTCATTTGGAATGATGAATGTCAGAAGGTAACTGGTGGCCACTTGTGATGATTTACCTAGCTAACAGGAAAGATCTGGCAAGACGCTTGCAGGTTGAGACGCTTGCAGGTTGTGAGCACCGACAACCGAGTACCACCATCACAATCCCGGACATTTTTGAGGACGGCGAGAGCTACCTCCCCATTCGTTGCGGCCCAGTCAGCCAGCGCCATGAGGGCGCGGAAGCGTGTCTCCACCATGCTCGTTAACGACGAGTCTGGAATTGGTGGTTTTGGTGGATAAAGAGCGACTTTTCTATGGCTCGTTTTTCAGACCTGCTCCCAGATGGATCTGGGGGCTCGAAGGCCAGGTCTGACATCCGGAGCCCCCGGGGGCTAGGCCAAAGGCCACAACCTCCGGCAGAAATTGGTGATGGCGCAAGCACTAATTTTTTTGGTGCTCACACTTTGAAATCACATTGATTTTTCTTCTCCGGGGAGGTCAAAAATGGCGCTTTTTTGTGTGTGATAGTGTTTTTCAGCCACGGCGCTACGGCGATTTTGGGTCCCTTTTTGACCCGGGCCGTAGCATCGTCATTTGCATTTTTAAAAAGAGCTGATTTTCGGTGTTTTCGCAGCATTAGCTCGCGCTTAAAAACACTATCACACTACACTTTTGAGCGATTTGCTATAGAAAAAGTGCAAAAAGGTGTGAAGTTGGTATTTTTTGAGTGCCGGAAAAAAGTGTGATAGTGTTTTTCAAACACGGCGGCACGGCCCACATAGGACCACCGCCAGAAAAAACACTATCACAGCCAAAATGATCGACTTTCCGGGTTTTTGAATTTCTTGAAAAAATTTGCGCGCGCAGTGTTGAAAACCAAAAAAATCCGGGGAGGACTGGCTGTCGGCAGCCAGATCCAAAAAGTGGTGTGATAGTGTTTTTCAAACACGAGTAGTACAGCCGGTCCGGAGCATAATTACCCGCAATACGGCGCCCCCGCTGCATCGTCCTCGTCCGCCAGCACGACGGCAAAAAAAAAGACCTCCGGAGCAGGTGGGCCTGCTAGTACTGCGGGTGGTTCGACTTCCAGTTCGGCTGTGCAGCTCGGCAACACTAGTAGTACAACCCAAATAAAGTCGACCTCGACCGCCACGACCCTGGGGATTGAGGGTCCCACGCTGATTGACGGGCAGTCGGGCGAACCCTTCACCGACCTGTACGAATTGCCCAACGGGTATCTTCCAGGAAAAAACTAACACCCATCGTTCCCATCCATGTTTTGCATGACATCAAACACTGCTTCTGATGTATGTTTTGCATCACAAATATATTGGATTATGCAGGGATAGGTGTTTGTTGTTTTTTCCTGGATAGTGGGTGCATTTGCTGCTCCGCAAAGGACGACTTTGTGAACGCTATCGATGGGTTAGTAAAACGGCAGCGGGAAATGGAACTACAGGGAGAAGAAGAAGGTTCATCTTCGCCGGTCGCGAGGCAAAAAATCTTCGATTACATCTTGGTTGAGGCGAACGGCGTTGCGGATCCGGAGGACCTGCTGCAAACTTTTTGGGTGGATGAGGGTCTGGACTCCGAAATTTACCTCGACGCCGTAGTAACGGTGATAGATGTATGAGAGTGCACAAGAACTCCCCCTCGTACTTCTCATTTCTCATGGAAAACATCACCAACTCCAGACTGGTGTCCCTCCCGTTTCTATTATGCATGACAAGCAGCACTACACGCCAGTGTAAGTTTGTCACGCAGTAGAACCGGCACTCGTGCTGATGCTTGTCGTGCCGTGTATGCTATACAAATGAAAGGGAGGGGGAGTCAGTTGTGCACTGTCATATGATGTGACGAACATCGAGAGCCAGCTCCGCGACTACAAGGAAGCGGTGAAGCAACTCTACTGCGCCGACGTCGTATGAACTGCAAAAGTACCGTACTCGTACGAATCGCATTTATGCATTACAAATTTCTTCTTCAAACTAAAACAGCATGACAAATTTCTTTTGTCATGCTGACCTAATTTGTATTGCAATACTACGAATGCGATGGTGCATTTGCGGCGCATACGTTGTTCTGTGCAACAAGGTCGACCTGCTCCTACGTCAGCAAGATCTTCATGTGGGAGATGTTGAACAAGCTTCTTGTACAAAGCCCAACAAGAACTTCTACTCTGAGGCAGCTACAACTTCTCACACCTCATCTTCGCAGCAGCTGGAGCTCATTCCCGAGGAGCTTCGACGCTACAATCCAGACGCGGAGTTTCACCGGACCGTGAAGTGCGAGATTGGGCTCGACAAGATTCTGAACCAAAACTCGTTCCGCCAAATAACGGACCGGGAAAAAATGGTAACTAGGCTGCAAAATGCGGAAGAACGGATGCTGGAGTGCGAGGAAGTCGTGGAAGCACAACTGCAAGATGTTGAACGCGTGTGTTTAACGTCGGCCCCGAAGGGGGGACCCTCGCCTGGTCGTGGGGACCACGATGAACAGGGCAAAACAACAGCAATAACAGCAATATCAAGCGAGAAGAGGACCAAGGGAAACCAGAAAGTGTTCGACGCGGGGGTGGTATCAACTGCAAACGTGTCTGGTCTGGAAGAATGCATGTTTGTCATGCTTGTCTGGCATGACTCTTAAATCTGTCATGCGCGTTTCCCAAGAGCCGCATTTTTCTGCCATGCAGAAACGCGGTTTGTCATGCAGAATGGGCAACACCTAGAAGGTCAGAAACTTGTCATGCTGAGCCAGCACTTGTTGCCTCCTCATGATACGCCACCAAGCATCACAAGTTTATTCCCGACCCAGACACATTTGCATTTCATAGGTGGACCTGCGGCCGCACCTTGCCAACCAGATCAAGCCGATGCTGATCAGCATTCCTATGAATTGCAAAAGTATCGTACTAGTAGAAATCGCATTACAAATTTCCTTAGCATGAGAAATAAAATTTGTAATGCGGATTTTTTACCTTAAAAAACAGACTTGTAATGCATGACTGCAATTAGTACGAGTGCGATACTTTTGCGATTCATAATTCCGCAGGGCCGCCAAATCTCCTCGGCGGAGGCCTTCGAACGGCTAGTAGGAAAGTATGGAACTGCTCTCAGACGTTACAATTTCAACTGTCACACGAATTTGTCATGCGAAATAATACTATCAACACTGCCACGATCAAGCTACTTTGCATGACAAATTCTCGACGCGGACGCGCTAAATAGAGCTAGAATGATCCGCATCAAATCTGTAATGCAAGACGCGCAAGGTCGTGTTCCCTAGCATCATCTGTGCTACCCTTGTGCATCACAAATTCACGTATTAACAGTTGCGAATGCAACATTCGAGAATTTGATAAAAAGTGGCTCTGGGAGGACGGCCTGCAGCTGCTGCGGGGAAAGGGAATTTTCCAAACAAGGGCCACAACTAGTGCGGATTATGCAAGAAAAAAACTGTGTAAGTGTAAATCTGTGATGCAGAAAATGCAAAACAGTCACACTTGTCATGCCAGACAGCCATGAAGTCCGATTTTCATGCGTGTTTTCCCTTACAGACCATGCATGACAGGTTTTCTCTGTCATGTAGAGCAAATTTGTGATGCTGTCAGCCAAAGAAAGTTACACTTACACACTTTTTTTCCTGGATACGGATGGAATGATGAATAATATTAATATTGCGACCACGTACGCCTTTCAACTGGTTGGCGAGCTTTACGAGGTCGTGGAGGTCGGGCACCTGTCAAATAATCGAGCAACTGCTGGTGCTGCCGACGTCGTCGGAGAAGGAAATAGAAAAAGTACAGATGCAGCGGGTGTTAAAGCGGCAAGCTTCTCGAAAAAACAGAGAGTCGAGAGGACTCAGGTTGGGCAGGAGGAGGACCTGGTGGTGGAATTTCAAGAAAAGACAGCGCGTCCTGCGCTCGTATCAAGTGCAAAAATGTCTGGGTCTGGATTTGTAATGCAGTTCTTCAAGGACAACAAGATCTGTAATGCATGGATACCATTGGCCAGTTTTTTTGTCGTGCTGGGTGGCAGTTTGTAATGCTAAACACGAATGAATCGGCAAGGAGCCGAGGGAAATTCCTCATGCTGTCATGCCGTACAAGCAGCAAGTTTGCAATGCAAGTATCAGCAACACAAGTTTCCAGACCCAGACACTTTTGCATTTGATAGCTCGCGGCGGGGAACAACAACGACAAAATTGTTGAGTCCAAGTTTCTGTTTCTGGCTTTTCGCTCGGCGGAAAAAAATCCCGATTTTTTGGAAAACAAACTGAAAACGGAACTACTGGCAATCACTACTAGTTGTATCACGACCACGCATTGAAAGAGATAGTACCTCCATTACTAGCTGCACTTGCGCAAAATAAATCATGAGAACGATGTTTATTTTTCCAAGCGACGTCGCACACGTCATCATCTGCAAAGAATTTCAGGCCGGAATAAACTGTTGCTGCCTCGACCAAAGCAGGAAACTTTTTCTGTTACCATGACGTGTTGGAAAGATCATGATCAAAATCACAGAAAGTCGAGGAAAAAGCTCGGTGTCGTGGAGTCGAAGGCGTTAATCGAAAAGATAAAGATGCAGTACCACGTAGCAGCATTTTATGTTTGATGGGAGATGGACATCGATGACAACAACAGCGATCTTGAAGATCACGGTATTATCATGGACAACTACCCATCATCCTCCATCACAAGCCTCTCAAGAGCTACGTATACTACCGGCAACTCCATGCTTCGTCTGTATTGTTTTTCTATGAATAGAAGATGACAACACCTCCAGCGATCAAGATCATGGTGCTCTCGTGGACAAGCCATTTGAGAGCTACGCTGTTTGTTAGCCTGTCGTTGTAAGTCCAGCATCAGTCGATGTTTTGTGAAGATGACTTTGATCATTGATAGAAGTTCTTGTCCCACCAGTTTGTTGTAGCACCTTTTGCGGCACCTAAGTACGATGTTGAATGAGTTGGAAAACAAAGATTGTTGCTGCTTTACTTCGGGAGTATCAGGTCGGAATAAATAAAGAACGGTTACTCTATCTTGTGAACCGTATTGCGTGCTGACTCTCTATTTTTTCAACAGCACAAATCCTGCAAGGGGGCGACACCGACAGAGAATATTCAATTGTGATCATGGGCGTGTTATCTTCACCTAATGCTAGTACATCTCCCGCCAGGGAAGGTGGACCTGGACGATGGCAGTACTATAATTTGGACGATAAAGATGAAGATCTGGACGACAAGAACTTTGATACCACCTTTGTGGTTCCTCCAGTAGGTGACTCTACTACTTCTTGCGGTTGTTCGCCAAGAACAGAAGCAGCCCTGACCTGGCGGTCGCTTTCTGACGCCCGGATATGGGTGGACTCTCAAACGTTACGTTCTCAACTATTACATGAATTTGTCGTGCAAAACTCCCTTAAGCCGCCAGATCATCAATGACTGCTTCGCATGACAAACTTCCGCAGGGCCGCTAAAAAACAGCGTTGAAATTATCTGTGCGGCCACGTCTGTGATGCGACAGCAGCAAGCTTGGCTCTTTGACTGTTGTCGTTCCTGCATTGCAAATTCATGTGACAGTTGAGAGTGTACCTTTTGAGAAGGCCATCCCGGATTCTGCAAACGTGGGTGACGCCGGAGGACTATGCCGATCTGGTCTGGTACGGGAGTGTCAGGATCGAAATCGACAAATAAATCGCAAAACTTGTAATGCATAAAATGTAGGGCCCATAAGGCCTGTGTTGGAAAGGAGGCAAATGAGACCGATTGCAAGCCTGTTTAGCCCTAAACATGTACTGCCAGAGTAGCATGACAGGCGCAGTCTTCTTTGCCTAAACAGCATGACACGCTGGGTTTTGGTGCTCCCAAAATTTGTCATGCGTCACTTGGAAACTGAGGCTCCGACTGGTATCGATTCTCATTTTATGCATTACATACAAATTATTTCGATTTTGTTGATTTCGATCCTGACGCTTCCATATCTGGCTCGAAGACAAGGTGGAACAGGTTGCGAAAACGATCGAGATTTTTCGAGAAAGTAGTCCACCTCGTGCGTATGACAATGGCAATTCTAAAAATTCTTCTGCGAAGATTGTCCTTGAACAAGACGTGCTGGCTGAGCACAAAGCAGGTGAGGTTGGCGCAGTAGAACAGAAGAAAAACAAAAGGGTCCGAGGACAGCACTGCCTTGAAAGAATTTCCAAGCAGCTCTGGAACAACCGCGAGGTCGTGGACGAGGCAAGTGCAACTCCAACTCCAACTCCTGTAGTTCTTACGCAAGACGACCTACTGGGCGAAGATGAGAGGACGGGGACCGCGACCACGCGGCCGGTGAGGGGGATAGCATCAAGGCCAGACCAGCACGACCTCCAGGACATCAACTCATGGGCCCGCAGCGGGCCAGCTGTGCAGCAGGAGCTACGGGATGTTGATCCTGAAGCTGTAGTCCGGGACGAGGACCACGGGGGAGAGCTGGTGGACCGCGACGATGTTGAGCTGCCGTGGGCTGCAAGAACAGCAGCACGGCAGGGATTTTATTCCAGATATCCATATGCTAGCAGTAAAAATGCAGCAGCTGAAGGTCATGTAAGAAATGTCCAACCTTGTAGCTCTAGCTGCTGTCCCGGTGAGACGAGCTCTTGCGAGAGAACGGACAAGAGAACCACATCATCTCCGCCGAGATCAAGTTGTCTTCAAAACTCCTTTATAAGTGGCACAACCTCAAAAAATAATTATTTGCCGTCCCAAGCCGTTGCCGATGCGATAAATGTCGTCGACCACCTGGAAGATCATGCTAGTGGAGGACTACGAGAGGACCACAAACAAGTCGTCGGGGATGGAAGTCGTAGTCGGAAGGATCTTCATGTTGACCTTCTCCGCCTGCCACTCCTCGCCCCCGCCGATTCCCATCCCAACGCCGCTTTCTGCGTTTTTTCCGATCCTTGCCTCCTGCACCTTCCGACCTGGGAATTCCGGAATTTGGCGGCCGTCTTCGGTGGAGGATCCCGTACTGCAGCTTCAGAACATGCAGGTCTTCCTCGTACCTTGTCGGAAGGACTTATAGATGTTGCTCCTTGTCCTGCATCACAGCAGCATCGGAGGAGAAAGCTAGCCCGCAAGCATTTGCGGTCGCTGATCCAAAACTTGGTCCAGTATGTCGTCAGCGGCACTTCTGCCGCGTCGATCAGCTGCAATGGAGAAATTCCAGCGGGAGAAATTGGCGAAGATACAGCCAGACCTTGCAGGAGCATAATCCAGAGGAGCCACGAAGTCGAAGACGCCACGGCTGCTGCAGGCCATTATCATCAAAACGTGTTCCGAAACGGGTTTTTGATCAAGCCCAGGAACGGGCTATCCTGTGCAAAAGTATCGTACTCGTATAATTATTGCAGTCATGCATTACAAATTTTTTTCTTGAGGTAAATCCGCATGGCAAATTGAATTTCTCATACTGGGGAACTTTGTAATGCATTAATACGAGCAGTACGATACTTTTGCAATGCATACGGGCACGACTCCTTTGGCGTGACGGCGTTTCCGATGGCAGACCTCGTCGCGGAGCTACAACTCCCGAGGGAAAAAACTACAACAGCAAAGGATCATGCGCGACGCAGGGAGGACGGACAGGGACAGCGGGAGTCGTGCCGCAGTTCTTCGAATTTTCCCACCAAAAAATGTACTTCTAGAGCCGCCAACATGATGAACATGCCGCGTCCACCTCCGAAAGACACTACAGATGGGTTAACATGTCGTTCGGTAGTTGCACCACGCCGGCCTGAGCAGCAGGATGCAGCCCACCAGCAGCACGAGGACCAGGCTGGCGGTCAGCACTTCTTGTTCCGGCCGCGTACAATAAAAGTTCCTGCCTCGCTAACGGACCGGGTGTTCACGGCAATCCAGACCGCTTTCTGCATTCGAGGCGGGACGACGGGGACCACGAACAAAAACAGCAGAATCCGTGACAGCTGGTGTCGGGAGAACTGGCAGCTGAGTCAGGTGCCGGATGGAGTGGTCCTACAGCCCTTGTTTGTCACCAGACTATTGTCTAGTACTGATAATGGTAATGGTGAAGAAGATCAAGTTCAAGAAGGAGATTATGCAGGAAGCGGGACCACGCCTCACGGGCTTCACGCTGCGTCCACCTCAGCACAGCTGAGCTGCTCCACCGCTGCACCACGGGGTATGGATTGCACAGGTACCGTGCTACAACTTCTAGGGGATGAAAAGATCGCATTTAGTGCTACTTCTACTTCCCCAATCGAGATAAAAGTGCACGTGGTGGGGTATCAAAAGGAAAAAGTCTCCCTCCCCATATCGAAACGAAAATTTTTGATGCTGATTTGTGACCACAAATCAGCCTGCGTACAAGGCAAACGGGACCCACATGGCGCATTGTACAGCGAGTGTGTCACCATGCGTTTTCGCCTATGTCAGACCTGTTTCTCATGCTCAGCTGCTACCCAGATGCGTACCCAAATGGGCTTAGATAGAATATGCCGAAAAGCTCTTGCTGCAATACAGTGTACACAAATCCAGCAACACGAAAGGCAAAAAAAAAAAATCCAGCAACACAAATTGTCTTTTGAATACGGGGTGGCGGCTTTTTTCACTTTGATATGGGGAAGGAAGTGGTTGGCGCGACCGTGAAGCAGTACCCGCCGGACATACTTTGGATCGACGGCACGGGGAAGTATGGGAGTGTCAGGATCGAAATCGACAAAATCGAAAAACTTGCAATGCATGAAATGTACGGCGCGCAAGGTCTGTGTTGGGAAGAAGGCAAATGAGACCGATTGCAAGCCTGTTTAGGGCGGGAAGAAGACGCGTTGCCAGAGCAGCATGACAGGAGCAGTCTTCTTTGCCCAAACAGCATGACAGACTGGATTTTGCAGCTCCCGAAATTTGTCATGCGCCACTCGAAAACTGAGGCTCCAACTGGTATCGATTTTATGCATCACAAATTTTTCGATTTTGTTGATTTCGATCCTGACGCATCCATAGGAAAGTGTGGGTCTTTAACCGATGGAAGCTGGACGACTCTAAGGCACGCGACCGGATTATGGGAGTGTCAGGATCGAAATCGTCAAAGTTACAATAGTTTGCCATGCATAAAATGCAGGGCACGTAACGCCTGTATTGGGGAACATGCAAATGAGACCCATTGCAAGTCTGTTTAGGGGAAGCCGATGCGCTGCCAGAGCAGCATGACAGGAGCAGTCTTCTTCGCCCAAACACCATGACAGACTGGATCTGGGTGCTCCCGAAATTTGGCATGCGTCACTTGGAGACTGAGGCTCCAACTGACATCGATTTTGTGCATTGCAAGTTATTTCAACTTTGTCGATTTCGATCCTGACACTCCCATACGGATTTTTCTCCAGTTCCTTGCAGACCAGCTACGGCGGTACTGGAGTGGAACCTTCGTGTATCGCAAAAAAAAATTTTACAGTTACACATTGTCTTGCAGGCCAAGCAAGACAGACAAGTTCTGTCATGCCGGATATGCATAGGAGCCTCGTTTCGTATGTGTTTTCCCGTAGGATTTCTGCATTGCAAGTTTTCACTCTCATGCAGAGAAATTTGTGTTGCCGAAATCACTACAAGTGTGTAACTGTGACACTTTTTTCGTGGGATATCGCGGCAAAAAGTTTGGCTTTGGTGGAGGGGATAAACAAGATTCGGAGGAGCAGCTCTCAGTATGATCCAGAGTAAATTCATCATTTCCGCCGTACTGCACGAACTACACGAGGCCATTATAATACAAGCACGGTTTCTGCACGGCAAAACTTGCCTTCAGTCCTGAAGATATTCTATCAGCATGACAACTGGGACTGTCGGGTAAGTTGCAGCTGGTGACACTTGTCATTCATTTTGTCCGTGTCGTGCGGGAAGAAATTTGTATTGCATAGTAGTACTTCTAGAGAAGAAGGAAAGAGAAGTCGGGCCAGCGAAGAGAACAGTAGTCCACCGGGGCAACAAGAAATTCTTGTCCGTGATAAAAATCATCGTTTCGCTCTTCATAGGCAAAATGCAAAAGTATCGCACTCGTAGTAAAAGCAATAGTACGTAGGCATGCATTACGTTTCCGACGACCAATCAGCATTACAAATTACATTTCTAAAAACGGTCTGAGCCAATTTGTAATGGAATCCATACTCGTGCGATACTTCTGCAATGCATACCTCCTGAATGCCGCCTGGATTGGCTGGTTTCTAGCGATTGCCGCCCAAGATTGGGGGAGATCACGTACCAGGGCGCCGCTTTCGCGACGAATCAGAAACTATATCACGGTACACATCAACTCCACCTCCCCCGGCTACTTTTGCAGTTCATAATGAGACAATACGACCGTCCGCGCCTGGACATGTCACAACTCATGCACAAGAACAAGCTACATTCGCTAGTACTCTGACCCCTGTCTCTACTACTATCAATCTAAGAAACCCTGTTGCTGCTTATGCCATAGTACAAATGAGGAGGAGGGAGAGCAGTTTGTTGTGCCCTCTCATAAACTATCCAAAAGCATGGCCGCCAAACTGTGGGAATTCTTGTGACAAGCTGCAACTTTGTTTATAATACAACAGTTCGCAGATTTGATGATTCTTGCCGAGAGCGACGTGCGCGCCGTGTGAAGACCGGGGCAGGCGCCTACAGAAAAATCGAGTGTTGGTGCGTCTACAGCTAGATTTACTGCAGTAGCAGGAGCAGCAGCTGCTTTCGATGATGGAGTTCTATTTCCAGCACAACTTCTAGTTGTAGTGTGAAAATCATACAAAAAATTCGAACAAAATCTCAGGTCGAGCTCGAGCCTCACGGCTCTCTTGCCGAAATTGTACACAACGTACGGGATCATGTTGTTCATCTTGTTTCTACAATCGGTCGGTAACGATGAAAAAGTGATCCGAAACGAAAATTTTTGCAGCTTGAAAGTGATCATGATCAAAATCGAAATCGTTCGTGTAGGGAGTTGCATCGATTTGCCACGCAAAACTACCCTAAGCCGCCAGACGCACGATGGCGATCAAGCTGTCTCGCATGACAAATCTCCGAAGCTGCGCTAAACAGCATCTAAAGCTTTTCCAAATATGGGACGCGAAAGCAGCAAGCTTGCTCCTTTGAGTGTTGCTGTTCTTGCATGTTACATGCAAGTTCATGTAACAGCTGATAGTGTAACTGATTTGAGAACGCCATACGCGGATGGTCCTCGCGAGTGGGAGGTTTGCATTACGAAATCGAAGGGGAACATATAGGCGCCGACGGGGGTTCCGCGGGGCCACTCAACACAGTTGAAGGAAGTGAACACGTTGACGCGCCGTCGTCCAACTACTATGCGGACTTCGCTGCAGGTCTGGCGGACGTGTTCTAAATTCCTGCGGGCTGTGTCGTGTGCTAAATTCAATTGGCACACACGGCCAGGCGCCGGACCTGGATAAAACCAAGGGTAGAACAAAAAAGCAGGAGCCAATCGTAAGCGTAAGCCGGGTCACGATTTATATATTATAAATATCGTTGCCGTCGTTCCTGCTGGGGTATTCGACTCTTTTACGAGTTTGACTGCTATCTCTCTGTACTACACGACCTGGAAATAAATGTCCTACTTCCGGATCATGGATCGAGGAATTATATCATAATTAGTGTTGGACTTTGAACACACCTGCCACACTGAGTGGCCAAAGCTTCTACCTTCGAGAGGTCTCTAACACGTTCAAACACTTCAATCTCTCAGCAGACAGGGCGAAAGCCTCTGGCTGCGTTGCATCCTGTGAAGATTCATCATGCAAGGTTCACCATAGTCATCACTCCATCACCACAGGCTCTGAGGCTCCAGATCTCTAGTCATTCTGGGACCTACTTCCCACTCTGTATGGGTGCGATTTTATCAGGGACGGAGGTCCCTGGTAAAGTTTTTATCTAGGTCGGAGCTCCTTGATAAAGTCTTGATCCAGGATTTGGCTAGATTCTGGACCATTCTGAGATCAGCCAAATCGGTGCCGTAGGAGCCTGCGTAGGGATTTGATCTAGGACCCGGGTCCCTGGTAAAGATTTTACCAGGGTCGCCGGTCCTTGATAAAATCGATCCGAACCAAGAGAGCCTGATCTACTCAAATTCTTCATCATTTGTATTTGGAGAGCAGGCATTTCGGGATCTCTGAGAAGCTTCAGTCTTGCGTGGAGGTAGGGTTTAGATCACATGACCAACACCCCTCCGCAATCGATGCAGTCTGTAGCCCCTAAGAGTCCTACTCTACCTTGTTCCTAAATAGATATAAAGTTGCATAAATTCCCCTCCTCGGGTCAGAATCCAAAGTCTACAGCGTACAACACTAAAGCTACTCCACTATCATCGTAGAAACTAGTATAGAAAGAAGCATCAAAATCATCCCCATCATCCGACTGGGCGCCAGGATGAGAAGAGTCACAGGAGATGACTGGATTGTCTACGTGATGCAAAAGCAGCTTGCGCTGTGGCGCTGAGCATTCCAGCTTCGTAAGTCCATCCGCCTTCATCAAATGCGTCGGCCGGGCAGAAGACTATACGACTGGCAGCATCTCGCGCACGCAAATAGCGAGAAGCGTAATGCCGTGACTTCGGTTTTGTGTCTGTGCTTTTGGCTGTAGCGATTGCGGATTGGTTGTCCACCCACAAGATGGCATCATCCAGGGACGGAGATAAGCCGTGCTGCGTTTCTACCATTCTGGTAAGGAGAGGAGCGAAGAAGTCAGCGAAGTCGTTCTGCTCACTGAGCACAATAGTGTCAGAAGCTGCGACGTACTCGCTTTCCGCCGTCGAATACGCACGCACAGTCTGCCGATTGCTGCGCCAGCAGATCGGGAAACCGCGGTAGTATATAATCGAGCCGGTGGTAGAACGCATCGTCTTCAAGCAATTCGCGAAACCAGCATCAGAGAACAGGTTCAGACGTGGCACGTCCCTGCCCTCCGGTACCAACTTCCGATAAATCTCATTGAGCGCCTCTTCTTCCTCTGGACTGTACGATAGTCCCACTTCCTTCGTTGTCAGGAGGAACTTTATCACTTTCCTACAGGCGTAGGCGATCCTTTTCGTGGCTGGTTTGCTCACGTAGCGAGCTAGAGTGGAAACCGGCACACAAATGTCAGGACGCGCAGTGGTCGCGATCCATTGCAACGCACCAACTACGGATCTGAGAGGATAATCCTTTAGCTCTTCAAGATCTTCTTCCGTCAGAGCTGACTCGGCAAAATTCGGAGAACGTACCGGCTTGCCAAGCGTGACAGCGAGCAAACTTCTTAGCAATTTTCTCAATATACTCCTCCATGGTCACACGCACTGACTTGCGCTCCCTAGAGTAGTACGCAATCGCCCCAAGGAAGTCGAACTTTTGCCACTCGATACCATTGGAATCGGTAAAGAGCTCGACAGCTATCTCACGCCCGGGGACGCGCGACAGAGTCTTTTGCAATTCGGCACGAAGTTCAGCAAGATCAGGTCCTGCGATCAAGTTGTCGTCGACATAGACAGCAAGCTTGAGAAACTTTCCTGGGTGCGATAAACTTGGCTTTCTCCACAAACCAGGCGCAGAAGGACAGGGCTCCCAACCTAACTCGGTCAAGATGCTCTCATACTTCTTGAACCAGGCCCGCGGTGCGTCCTTTAGCCCATAAAGCGCTTTGTGTAGCTTCACGACTGCCGTCTTGTGCTTTGCTGCCTCAGGCAGCCGGCCCGAGGCAATTTCCGCTAGTGAAATTTCGTTAAAATGGCGCTAATTCTGGGAATCGTGGGCCGGTTGGTTGGGTGTGGCACCCTTTGGGTGCGCGCCATATTCGGGGCGGAGGGCGCGGCATAGTGTGGCGCTCCCGCTTTCCGTTTTCCCGGGTGTCGTAAGCTTCCGGGCCGCCTCCCCTGGTTGTGTGTTCTCCCCCGTCCTCTTGGGGGTGGGGGCCGCTTATCGCTGGGCCCTTTCGCGCGCGCGGCGCCTTGGCTTTTGGTGGTGGCCTGCCCTCGGGTGCTCTTTTCCCCTACCTCGGGGAATGTCTCGGGTCGGGCCCTTGCCCGGGTCTTCGGTTTTTCTTTGTCCGGCATCTTTCCGAGGGGCGGGGGTCTTTTGGTGTGGTTTGGCTCATAGGGGTTGCTCCTTTGGCCATGGTTCAAATCCGCCGGGGCCCGGCGCCTTTGCATTTATGGGGGGCGGCGCGCAGCGGGCCCGGCTCTGGAAATCAGGCAGGCGCGAGGCCGGGGCGTTTTGGTCTTTCAAACACCACCCCGGTCCCGGGCGGTTAATGAAGAGGGTAATCCCGGGGGTAATTTCGGGGGTTAATCTGACCGCAACGAAATCGGGAAGGTTTCGTTGGTTTTGAAATTAGACCAAAAATTAAACTACAGATTAGACTATAAATTAGCCCACAAATTACCCCAAAAACCCAAGGAGTTAACCTTCCCCCGAGAGGCAGTCACTCCGCCAGACCATTGGGCTCTCAGTCGGCGCCGTTTGTCCTTAGATGCCCTGCTTTTTCTCGGCAGGCCGGCCGCCCGCAGTTCCCGCCTCTCGTGGCCTTTGCGTCTTTGAATGGATTCCCCCCGGCCGGCGCCTTTTTCAATTTGCCCCGAAGATTGCAGGGGTGGCGCTCTGGAAACCCACAGACAACAGGTCCGCCGGGGTCGTGTTCCGGCCTCCGTTGTGATTTGGCGGAGGCCCTCCACGCGCAGGCTTCGCAGGCTCCTTGGCCTTTCTTCTCTGCCGGGGTACCCTTTGGCGCCTTTCCCGGCGCGCGCCTCCCCTTCCGGGGGGCGCAGGGGGGTGCCCGGAGGGCGGCGCCCACGATGACTATGCGCCCCCGGAAATATGGCGGCAACCCCGGCGCGCTTTCTAGTCGGGCCCCTTTGGCGTCTGCTCTCCTTCGCTTTGGGGATTAGCCAAAAATCAGCCCGGAATTAACGAAATAGCTTGCCACGGGCCGGCTGCCTGAGCTGCCCAGATGGGTGGCAAGCGGCAATAGACGTCGCGATCTAGCAAGGCATTAAGGAACGCGCTATCGAGATCATGCGGGATGACGTGATCACCATCTGCGGCTGCAGATACCAGTAGCAGGCGATTAGCTGCATGCGAGACAACTGGCGCGAAGGTGTCAATGTCACCCGATCGATCAAGATTGCCAAGTACACAGGCTCGAGCTTTATGCGTCCCGTCGCGCTTAACGGTCAGTATGATAGCGATTGGAGGCACTTGCTTCGCGGTAGCTAGCTCCTCGTCAGAGGCTGGCTCCCACGTCTCATATGCTAGCAGACGAGCTTCCTCCTTGTCAGTCACCTTCTGCCACTTAGGTGCAAGCTCAGGGCCAGGCAATTTGACAGCCTTCTCAGCGGAAAGATAAGCTTCCCAGGAGTCAGCATTCGTCAACATCGCTATGGCCTCGGCGATCTCCTCACCATCGTCAAGCATGCCAATAGCGCTCCAGTTCGCTGCGGCAAACGCCTCTGCGTTCTTCTTCAACTTTTCGAGCTGTGCTTTTGTGCGCCGAGAGCGTTTCTTCTTATCCTTGGCCCCTTTTGGACGTCCGCGGCCCGGTTTGGAGGTGCGGTTGCCAGCCACAACCCTCGCCGGTGCGTGACGCACCCTAACAGGACTAGAAGACGCTTCTCGAGCTTGTTCCCCTCCTCCATTGTTGCTCGCTGCGAGGTTCCCCTCCTCAGCTTGCGACAGTATAGGAGCTTCCGGGGACTCTACTGGACCTTCTTCCTCTCTGTCCAGTGTCTCCACTTGGAGTTCTAAGCCGGCGGTCGATTCCTCCGCGTGCCCCGCCCCATGAACCTCCAGGCGATGAGCCGAACGAGATTGCGAGTCTAGCCGTCCAAGCGCGGGTGGAACCGGTTGCGATGCGCCGCCTTGGAGATCTTCCAGGTAGTCCATCTGGACGAAGACTCCCTTCGAACTGGGTAGGAGCCGAGCGATGTTCTTGGCGAGTATATCCTCCCGGGACTTGACATCGCGAGTAGAATACTCGGCCCACCGATGCCCGTCTCTTGTCCGATCGTCTTGAACGAAGGTGCCCACGAGCCAGCCCGAAGACTTAGGACAAAGCCCGAGAAACACACCTCGACGAAAGGGCGGACTGAGCTTGGGACCTCCTTGTCCATCTCTGTCCGTCTTGATTTGTTCACGAAAGTAAACAAGACAACCAAAACGCCTGAGCAGGCCAATGCCTTGCTTCGCACTGTTCCTTCCTGTCCTCTTCTCAAGGATCTCTATCGGAGTCTCTCCGTCATGCTCTGGCATCTTTGCATATTTATGCGGCAGCCGGTCCCAACAATCACCGCTGTAGACTATGGCATAGGACCACAGACGGCGATCGACGTGAACCAACAGTGTGCGGCAGGAGCCGAACAGCGTCCGCATAAAACGTTCGCAAGTTCCGTTTTGCTCTGGATTGTGAGGAACAGTCGGAGCGTCACAGATCTGCAGCGATTGCATGACCTTGGTCATGTGCTCACACACTGCCCAGAACTGGCTCATTGTCCCGCCTCAGGAATCACGCGACCTTGTCACCCAAGGACAGTGACCAGTCTGCGCGAATGCCTTTGGTAATGTCTCCCAACTCCTCCACGCAGTCGCTCTCGTACAGAAGAGGCCTGGCAAAACACTTCTTGATGGCATCACAGATACCAACAAGGACACAGGTGTGCTTCATGATAGACATGGGCTTCACACCGACACCGAAGTCAAACGCTAATAATTTTAGTGGTTGAGGTTTATAATTCTCAACGTTTCTTACTTTCGCATGTGGATTCCTCTGTCCTTTAGTTCTATCGCATTCGGGACCACTGACGTTGAGCCCGTCCACATGGAAATGTCCAAGACGTCTGTGTAGCTCTAACTTAGTCAAGTAACAACTACTAGTAGATACCTCGGCGACAGACGTACAGACAAAGCCGTCCGCAGCATCTGCCTCCTGCAGGTCGAACAAGTTGCAACCAAGGATGGGAAGGCACATTCTGGGACGATTCTTTATGTCCAACACGCGGCCGGTACCAGTGTGAGCAATGGTTCCGCCGGTGCTGTGAAAGGTAAGCAAGCTCCCATCCTACTTGTGATGTGTTACCTTCACCGAGCCAAGGCGAAATCCTATCAGTGTCCTTTGGTAGATCTTTGAAATAAACACCATGTCGCAGGTTTAATTGGTTGGGTTGCAGTTCTCCTATAAATCCATCCCGTGCGCCAGCTGTTCCGTTGATGGTACAGCGCCGGCCCGTGATGTTCTTAAAATCATCAGCGTGCTTTGATAAGTATCTATTTGCACAGCTGTCAACTAGGTTTGCCTGCTTTGCACCTAGGTAGCTGGCTGCACAACAATCAACAACAGACAACATAGCGACAGCAGAGTTAACCGAATCTACGAAACTCTTGTAATACACTTCATCCTCCTCAAAATTCAAACAACATCTTCCCCGTTCCGGATCTTGGTCATCGTCTCCTCAGCTCGTTCCGGGCTTGCCGGATCCCGATCCAGCGCTAGCGTCATGCCAGACCCAGGCACCACCCCAGTCCTGGTAGACCGTGGGTTCACCGAAACCGGTGCACGCGTTGCCCCCTCCTTTGCCTTTGCCTTTGGGTTTCCCACCCGTAGACGCAGCAGCGGTAGGACACTCCCACGCGTAGTGACCACAGTCATAGCATTTGTAGCACTGGGTATTCTTCTTGTACTCCTTGAACTTCTTGTCCTTCTTGCCCTTCCCCTTCTTGCGGGTAGAAGGATCACCGCCCTGGCTTGCGTGGACTTCGGCGGTAATTTTCTTTTTCAGTTTAGTCTTGAAACGCTTGAGAGTTTTTCCAGACATGAAAGCTTTACCGTCCTCATCGTTACCACTAGCCTGGGGGCGTTTCTTGGAAGCGGCAGTCTTGTCTTCGTCGTACTCAACCGCCGGGAACGCCTTGCCGAAGCTGGAGTTCTCCACCTTGTGCTCACCGTCCAGGCGGACGGCCCGGGGCGTGGATTCCGGCTATATTCCGGCTATGCATTGGCTAAATTTCTGCGCAGCCCGCGCGGCTTCCTTCTTCCTTGGGCCTGGGCCGCCCAAGCGCGCGGCGGCACCCTCCTCCCCATGTGTTGGGCAGCCGGGCGGCGGGTGCTTGTCGCGGCTGCATGTGCGGCCCGCGGCGCTAGTTTTTCGGCAGCCGCCCTAGCCGGGGCGCCGTCCTTGGCCGTTTTAAAATTTAAAAATTCGCAGCGTTTTCTTTCGGAATTTTCCGAAATTTTGCAGAGGCCGGCCCGCCTGCCCGAAGGAAATTTCTTCCAGAATTCATCCTGTCGCCGCCTGGGCGAGAGGAAAAATTTTAAAAGAAACCTTCGGCCGGATTCCGGCTAAAATCCGGCTAAATTGAGGATAAATTCCAAAAGAAATTCAGCTAAGTACTCAGCTAAGTACTCAGCTAAGTGCCCGGCTAAATTCCGGCTAAGTATCCGGCTAAATGTTGGGATAAATGCCGGAACAGGGAAAACGGGAAGGATTTGGGCCCGGGGGCCGTCCGGGCCCTCCGGCCCCCTCCCGAAGGACCCAATTTAGCAGAGCACTTAGAAGAGTATTTAGAAGAGTACTTAGCAGAGTTTTTTTTGGGGTCTCGACCCGAAATGCGGTCGCGAGTTAGCGAGTCCGGATGCAATTTAGCAGAGCACTTGCCCGCAGGCCCAGAAGGAATGTCCGGCGTTTTCCAGAAGGGCCTGCTTTGGTGGGTTGTCGGCGTGGCCGTCTTCGCAATACCGGGGTCGCGGAGTCGGGTCCGTCGCGCGCGGGCCGGGGGCGCTCCGAAGCCGCGCCGCGGCCGGAGTGCGGGCCCCGGGGAGCCCGGCCCGCCCGCTTCCGTCGTCTACGGAAGAACGGGCCGGAGCCCCAAATCGGAAGGGAGTGCGCCGCCTGGCCGCGCCACGTCCGGAAGTGCGGCCGCGGCCATTCGGCCTGCGCGCTTCCGGCTTTTCAATTTAGCCAGAAAATAGCGGCGGTTTAGCGCGTTGCCCCGCCCCGGGTCGTCCGCCTGACGACCGTCCTTGATCATGGCCTGCAGACGGGTCGCCAACTTGTCACCCATCTGCTGCGTCGTCAGCTGGGCACCGTCCTCGACCATGCGCGCGATCGTGTCCTTGAAACCCCTGGAAAACATCTTGGGCAGGTAGTCTAAGACGTTCTGGACCTGTCGATCTTCAGGAGCACGAGCTAGGTCGGGCGAAAACACCGCAGGGGACTGGTCCATGACGCGCTTGACCTTGGCGAGGAAGGAAGGCGGGTCCTGAGGTTGGTCGCGGTCATCGAACTTCATCGATTCGAGACACGCAGCGCGGATTTTCTGCTGGGTCCTGTTCTGCTGGTTGTAATGACCTTCATCACGCAGCTCCAAATACAACTCTCCGGCATTCAGAATGTTGCAACTCGGGCGAGCGTGCAGCCAGGTCTTACAAGAACCAGTCAAGGACTTCAGCATCGCGGCTTTCAGGTTGCGCCATTTCTGAGCAACCGCCTCAGCCTGTTGACCGACTCCTCCGGGGAGACCGGGCTGACCGAGATTGGCGACGACGTTGTCGAAGTACACTCCTAGTCCGAGGCGCTCGACCTCCTCACGGACAGAGCGATCCCATTCGATCCAGCCAGTCGCATCCGGCAGCTTCGCGGCGATCTCTGCGGATACCGCAGTCATCTTGTTTTCTTAATGAATCTACTGCCACTAGTGTAAGTAGCACAGATTGGCGTCTAAGTCGCAGCGCAGTGTTGGACTTTGAACACACCTGCCACACTGAGTGACCAAAGCTTCTACCTTCGAGAGGTCTCTAACACGTTCAAGCACTTCAATCTCTCAGCAGACAGGGCGAAAGCATCTGGCTGCGTTGCATCCTGTGAAGATTCATCATGCAAGGTTCACCATAGTCATCATTCCATCATCACAGGCTCTGAGGCTCCAGATCTCTAGTCATTCTGGGACCTACTTCCCACTCTGTATGGGTGCGATTTTATCAGGGCCGGAGGTCCCTGGTAGAGTTTTTATCTAGGCCGGAGCTCCTTGATAAAGTCTTGATCCAGGATTTGGCTAGATTCTGGACCATTCTGAGATCAGCCAAATCGGTGCCGTAGGTAGGAGCCTGCGTAGGGATTTGATCTAGGGCCCGGGTCCCTGGTAAAGATTTTACCAGGGTCGCCGGTCCTTGATAAAATCCGAACCACGAGAGCCTGATCTACTCAAATTCTTCATCATTTGCATTTGGAGAGCAGGCATTTCGGGATCTCTGAGAAGCTTCAGTCTTGCGCGGAGGTAGGGTTTAGATCACATGGCCAACAATTAGAGCACTACTATTATCGAAGATCGAGGAACTATAGCTGCAAAGAAAGAAATGCAAATCCTTTTCATCTACAATGCCCGTTCGTGTAACCAGATAGTTTTTTCGAACAAGATTCGGACGCAACGGGAACGGTAGTGGAGAAGGAGATATCTACTAGAACAACAAGACTGAAACATGTGAGAGGCTGACACCGCCCAGGACGACCAGGTCATCCAGGACGGTAAGTAGGCTTTGATCGTGACTTTCGGTCTTGATACTCAAAACAATATTTTAAAATTTGCCTCCGCCTCGGTATACAAGAATGTAGAAATTGGGGCGGTATGGTGCTATATTACAGATCGCCCAACACAGTCGTACAGCACAGCTACCGAATCGCTCACATCAAAAATCGCACTACCACCACTAGCACGTCAAAAAACGCGAAAGACCGATGCTACGGGCGCGACCATTCAGATGCGTTTACAAATATTTTTCACAGAAGGGAGAAGCTGAAGGGATATTTTATTTCGAATCGTCGGGACGCGTGATTTGTCGGGCAACTAAAACTATATGTACCCAATTCCGGAAAAAAAATGAGCGAGGAATTGTAACAAAGAAATGCAGCAAGCCCCTTCGTCTACAATGCCCGTGCCAGTTCGTGTATGATTCATTCTATTATCCGCAAGGGCAAGCGTCGCAATAAAGGGCTAGAATTCATCTTGTGGCGGTTGCGAACAATATGCGATGACTTCAAAATTTTTCGGTACTACAGCAATTCATCACTAGCTTGCATTACTCATGGGCATAACAAGTACAACTAGCCTTCTTACTCTGAAGATTTCTCCATCGTGGAGTTTTAAGTTGTTCAACAGCATAGCACCAGTGCGTCTACAACTTCTCGCAGGAGTACTAGACCGCTGGTTGAAATTGAAAACTGAAGGTGGAAAGTAAAGTATACAAAAGTAGCCATTGAAAGGAAACAAGCAATAAAGTAGTGCGGCCCGACTAAATCTTCTCGAAGATAGAAGTGGACCAGCATGATCGGATGATGCTTTAGTATTCAGGTAGAAGTAGAAACAACTAAAACAACATCAACAGCAGCAACAACAACAACAACAACAGCAACCTCCTTTCCGGGTAGTATTACTTGTACTGTAATTACGCGGGATGTTGATGATGATGAGCAAACGCAAAGAAACGGCTGATAGCGCCTTCTTGTCGTCTTCTGAGAACTTCTGCACTGGCAACAAGAAGTAGAGGTACTATCTTTATCCATCATGTTCGAGTTGATGAAGAAGTCGTAAAGAAAAAAAGCCTATTCCTATTGGACGAGGACAACTGTCTCATGTGTTCTTGTTTTTGTGGTTCGTATTTGTCACAGCGTCGGCCTCGTCGCTGGTTTCTTTTCCAGCGCCGGCTCGAGCGGCTGGGTTTCTGCGAAGTAGATACTAGCTCTCGGTGCTGACGATGCTGAAAAAGAAACGATCCGAAACGAAAATAATTTTTTGATGTGTACTCTGTGATGTAAGTAGGAGTCGGTAAGAACGTAGTGGAAAATTAAAGTTCATCATGCGCAGATGATATTACAGCTTAGCTGCGGACGCAGGAACAAACAGGATCAAAATCGCAAATGCTGTGCTGAAGCGATCATCACAGTAGACTTGGACTTACTATATCTATACACGAGGTCATCACAGTAGACTTGGACTTACTATATCTATACACGAGGTCGGTTTGTTGAAAAATAAAGATTCCGCTTCATCAGGAGGAGTCGGATTTCCGTTTTTCTCTAGTAGGTGGCAAGAATGAAAAAAATCGGTTACATGAACAACTTCAAGTTTATGTTTGTCGCCGCTGCTGCCTCATAGTCATCCTGCTGATCGTGATCAAAATTAGATAAATGGCGAAGACATGATCAACATCTGACCGGTGCTTTGCAACTTTTGATGTTGTGCGAAAGAACCCAAAGCCAATCATGATCTTTTATCTTGTCGCGACTCGTTCACAGCTATCTATTATTACCAACTCGCGCCTCCTGCTCTCACGATTTTTCCTAAATTACAACTACTAGTATAATTTTCTCGCACAACACCTACTTTCGGAAGAAACAAAGCACTTACTTACAACGCTGTCACGTAGAAGCAACTAAGTTCGCTGAGGACCTCATCTTGGACATTCTTCTTCTTCTTTGTTCAGCACGCCTCACGCGCTTCTATTCGTATTCGTAAAACCTTGAGGTCTTCTGCCGCTGCTCTTACAAATAAACCCTATATCATTTGTACTTTTCTACTAATTGCAAACGCTACACCTTTTAGCTCATCCCCCCTACTGCTTCTACTGAAGGCGAAGACTTGACCATCATGATGCGTACGGCGTTTCTGCTCATCGGGTGTTTGTCCTGTAGTTTTCAGTTTCCTGAGGGAATGATTTCTGTCGCAGGATTCGTAATGCGCTCAGGCTTGTTGGGAGCGACGGCACGGTTGCCACAAGGAGGACCAAAAGAACGTGCACAGAGCAAGGCCGAGCCGCTGGATCTAGAGATGGGTCTAGAAGTTCCGGTCGGCCTCGAGCAAGAACCACGCAACTGCCGACGGCCGCGAGCAAGAACCCCGTCTCGCTCGCCTTCGCCTGCGCTTCAACATGCTGGCGCGCCGTCGTCCAACCCCTATGCGGGCTTCGCCGCAGATCTGGCGGACGCGAGTTCTCCTGGGGGCTGTGCTATGTGGACCCTGGGGGCTGTGGTCAAGTGCGGCGACATAGTTAATTCCACCATAGGCAAGTACGGACTGCCGCGAGCAGTCAGATCGAGAACCCCGCTTCGCTCGCCTTCGCTTGGAGGTTTGCGCCACACATCTGAAGACGCCAACGGGGATTCCGCGGGGCCACCCGACACAATTGTGACAATTGAAGGCAGTGAACACGTTGACGCGCCGCCCTCGTCCAACTACGATGCGGACGTCGCCGCAGATCTGGCGGAGGCGAGTACCCCTAGAGGCCGTGTCGCGGGTACCCTGACGAAGTGCGACGAGGACATGGGCACTGCCATACGCAACTGCCGACGGCAAGCAAGAGCCCCGGCGTCTCGCTCGCCTTCGCGTGAAGGTTTGCGCCACACATCTGGAGACGCCGGCGGGGATAGGGATTCCGCGAGGCCACTCGACACGATTGTGACAATAGAAGGAAGTGAGCAAGAAGATGTTGACACGCGGCCGTCGTCCAACGACTATGCGGACTTCGCCGCAGGTCTGGCGGAAGCCAGTTCCCCTGGGCGGGGCTGTGTCGTGTGCTAAATTGGTACGCACGGCCAGGCGCCGGACCTGGATAAAAGCAGAAGCCAGTCGTAAGCGAAGGCCCCCCCCCGGGTCACGATTTATTATAAATATCGCTGCCGTCCTCGTTCCTGCTGGAGTGTTGGACTTTTTACGAGTTTGACACTGCTATCTCACTGTACTACACGACCCGGAAAAGGTACTGCTCACGAATGGATCGAGGAATTATATTCTTATTATCGAAAAGCGAGGGACTATAGCAAAAGCAAAGAAAACAAGTAACGCAATAAACCCTTTTGATCTCCAATGCCCGTACCCGTTCGTGTAACAAGATAGTTTTTTCGAACAAGGTTCAGATGCAATGGGAACGGTAGTGGAGAAGGAGATATCTACCAGAACAAGACTGAAACATGTGAGAGGCTGACACCGCCCAGGACGACCAGGTCATCCAAAGCGGTAGGCTTTGATCGTGACTTTCGGCCTTGATACTCAAAACAATATTTTAGAATTTGCTTCCTGTTCTAAAAATTTCTCCATCGTGGAGTTTTAAGTTGTTCAACAGGAGCATAGCATCAGTGCGTCTACAACTTCTCGCAGGAGTATTGACCGCTGGTTCTGATTGAATGAAAACTGAAGGTGGAAAGTAAAGTATACAAACGTAGCCGTGGAGAGAAAAGCTAAAGCAAAGTATAAGTAGTGCGGTCCCACTATTAAATCTTCCCGAAGATAGAGTTGGGCCATCGCCATTGGATGATGTATAAGTAGGAACAACCAAACAACTACACGGGAAGTTGATGTTGAGCAAAGAAACGGCTGGTGGCCCCTTGTTGTCTTCTGGGAACTCCTGCACTGGCAACAAGAAGGGGTACTATCTTTATCTATCGATCATTTGAAGAATTCGGAAAGAAAAAGGCCTACTGGACGAGGACAACTGCCTCGTGTGTTCTTGGGCGGGGTTTCCAAAGCGGTGGCTGGAGGACGGGAGAGCAAGGACATCATCAATGCGGTGCTGCTAATGGGATACCTGCATTTGAAGGATCAGCTGCCGTCGAAGATGGAGGAGTTGTGAGAAGCTAAAGCGGGGGAACTGGAGGGAAAGAGGAAAAGGGATTGTAGAGGACGAAAAGAAGGATATCTATTTAGGCACTACAAGGTTATAAGCTTATTTACTTATAGATCTGGCGTCTGACCTGCGGGCGGCTGGAGAATGCAAGAAAGACTTTCTGGAAAAACTAAAGAACGAAGAGACCAAGCACATGCAAACCGAAAACAAAGAGGGATAGATATAAAAAGCACTACGTGTATGATTTTTGATTTATTTAAAGGTAAAAGACTACAAGAAAACACTAAGGGATAGAGCGTAGAAACGACATCGAGGATTTTTTCGGATCACGTCGTACCTAGGGCGACTGTGTTTCAAAAAATGTAAATCTCGATCGGTCGGCACTCGCTGGAGGTAATGTTCACATCAAAAACGCAAATCTGTAATGCAAATTTCGAAGAACCCACAGCACAAAATCGGAACATAACTTTTTTACAAATCGTAGATGAAAATGCAACTCAAAGAAGTCGGCTCGTAGCAAAGGGAAAACAGGATGTCGGTCTCTCGGGAAATCGATCGTGCAAAAAGTGATGTCGTGCAATGCTACAAATGTCGTTTTTATAGAGTTTAAAGCGCGTTTTCAAATATTAGCTCTTCAAAAATTGTCACACAACTGTCTCCCAGGGTCATGTCGTGCGCTTAAAGAATTCACGGTAGGCACGGTTAGACTTTACCACTCGAGTCCGTTTGTTAACAGCTCTCGAGTACATGACCCAAAAAACTGCATGACAGATTTGAAAAAAGACGGTGATGATGATTTAGAGATTTGGAAAAAGAAGAAAAACAAAAACAAAAACAACACCACGCGATGGGTATTCGAGTTTGAAAATAGGTTTGCTTTGTTTTGATTTTTGTGTTCTACCCTTTGTACGTGACCAGTAGACAGAGCAAAGGTAAGACTCTCGAGAAATATTTGTTTTTGTGGTTTGTATTTGTTACAGTGTCCTCGACCCCGTCGCTGGTTTTCGTTCCAACGGCGGCTCGATTATAAAGAACTTCAGGAAGAAGTGCAGTCATGAATTCAACAAAAATGCTGAGATAATAGTTAAGAAAACAAACGACACGCATTGGATAAGGGCCAGGAACGTAAACAGCTGCTGACACGATTTCAGTAGCATTACAAACAAGAAGAGAAGTAAGAGTGTGTGCTTTATCATAGGCTGGTTTGGACTTGATAAAAAAGTTTTCGGAGCGGTACGACGTGGTCTCACATCACGATAAAGGTTTCATCTGTAGCGAAGAACGAAGTAGCACTGGAGTGAGAGAACTTATTTACAGCAGATTTGTGGTGTATCTGATGAAGTAGAAAAAACAACTTCATCGGCGCAAGAACAAGAAGCTACTATTTTTACACGAGAAAGCCAAGAAACGGTTTTGGTGGAAGAAGAGTCGCACAGTGTTGCGGGTCCTCGTTGGCGTAAACTACAACTACAACGTAAATGCTATGCAAAAGTAGTGCAGTTGTAGCTCTAGCTGTAGGTGTACTTGAGATCATCTGACTTTGTAATTGCTCAAAGTCATTGGATATGGATTGCAAAAATGTCTGGGTCTGGAAGGTTGGAACTTGTAATGCTAGCTTTCCATACGTACAGAATCTGTATTGCATAAACAACAAAAGGCGCAGCCTCTTTTCTACAGGCAAAAACGCAACTTCTCATGCGGATTGCCTATGAGAAAGCGTTCTGGAAAGTTGTCATGCTTGGTTGCATTCGGAACTGTTTCCATCATCCACATTTTAGCATCACAAGTTTCCAGACCCAGACATTTTTACATCTGATATTGAATTGCGCCACCACCCCGTCCGGTAGTTCTTGGGAAATAACTTGGATTTGCACTTCTATCTTCAAACATGTCGATACGTGCCTCTTATCCTGTGCAAAAGTTTCGTACTCGTATAAATGCATTACAAATTTCCTCAGCATGAGAAAGAAAATTTGTAATGCAGATTTGCCTTGGAAACAAGATTTGTAATGCTAAACTGGCATTTGTACGATACTTTTGCACAGGATACCTCTGGGCCGCCGTCCTCCGCGGTCGTAAAAGCCCGGGAAATATCAACTGCAGAAGTGTCTGGGTCTGGAAAGACGGAACTTGTTATGCGCATCTCGCAACACAAACAAAAATCTCTCATGCATAGACAGCAAGAGTTGCCCATTTTTTTCACCGGAATAATAGGCGATTCGTCATGCGGGTTAGGCAATGCCGCAGCTTCTCAAAACCTGTGATGCTAGACCTTGCTTGCCAGACCTTCCGGGTCATGGAAAAACAGCATGAGAAAAATCTGCATCCTTCCAGACCCAGACACATTTGCATTTGATAGGAAATCGAGTCTGAGGACGAGATATTATCCTGTGCAAAAGTAGCGCACTCGTACTAATTGGAGGCATGCATGACAAATTTCCTTTCCAAGGTAAAACAGCATGACAAAATCAATTTTTCGAAGACTACCACTTGTAATGCAATTTATACTAGTACGAATATGATGCTAATGCTTTTGCAATTCATAGATACAACGAATCTACAACTGGATGGACGACATCGAGCTTTCGCGCCCGAGGAAAAACATCGCCCGAGACTTCGCCGACGGGCTTCTTGTTGCGGAAGTTGTTTCACAGTATTTCCCGCGACTAGTCGAGCTTCACAACTACAGCAGCGCCCATTCCCACGCCCTATCAAAGGTAAAAATGTCTGGGTCTGGAAGATTCCGGGATTTGTGATGCATATTTTGTATGATCCATGACGCATGCAATGCATGATCTAGCATCACAGATTTTTAGAGGGCTTCCTGATGCCTATTGCGCATAAGAAATGCCCTCTCCGTGCAACACAAACTGGATCCCTGTTGCTGGTCACGCAATGCAGATTTTTTTGGAATCCAAAGACAGCGTGACAAGTTGCAATTTTCCAGACCCAGACATTTTTGCAATCCATACGCCCAGAAGTCTTACAACTGGAATACCCTGAACAAGAAAGTTTTGCTATTACAATGAAAAATGCCCCCTCCCCATCAAAACGGAAATCTGTGATGCAATTTTGTGGTCACAAGTCAGCTTTGTGATGCTAGAAGGCAAAAGATCCGGACTGTAGTGCTGTCTAGCGTGGGAAAGCCTTGCAGCTCCAGGATGACAGGAGGCAACTGGAAGTGGGAAACAGCATGACAGATTGCCTGCAATTTAGGCCGCAACTTCGTCTCTTGGCCTTCTAGCAATACAAGCCCCCGATTTGTGTACTCAAATACAGCATCACAAATTCGCGCATCTTCCGTTTCCGATATGGGGTGGGGGGATTTTTCCTTTCGATATTTGCGAAAGCTCGGCTTTCAGTTACACCCCGGAGACATCGACGATGTGATCAAAGCCGTGCCCGGGGCGATAGAAAAGGTTTCTATATTTTTGTGTTTTTATTCTAAAATGAAGAATTTGATGTCCCTGGCAACATTTCGGACGATCGTGCCAGAAGATTTTCTTCTGCTGCCAGGATGATCGTGTAGCTCATGCTTGCTGTTGTACCGTTCAGAATGAGATCTTGATCCTATAATTCATGGTGCTGATCGACTACATGAACATGAGTGGAGGGGTACTAGAAAATGAAAACGTAAACATCATCACAAAATAAAAATGCAGGTGCTCGTCCTCTTGCAACACTACATATCAAATGCAAAAATGTCTGGGTCTGGAAACTTGTGATGCAAGTCAGGGAAAAATGCGCATAAGTATAGTAATGCACTGCAAAGCATGACAAGTTTTTCCTTGGTTCAGAGTTGCGTACTCCGCATGAGAAACTGCGTTTCTGCATGACAGGCAATAGAAGCCCTTTGCGGTCGCGCAATACAGAGCTCAGAGTCATGCCGGACTAGCATGACAAATCCCGGAATTTTCCAGACCCAGACATTTTTGCATTTGATACTACATGGCACGGTACAAAAGAAGAGCTGAGGAGGGGAAGGACCAAAGTGTCATCGAGGCGGAAGAAAATCGTGCGCCGTCGAGCTCTATCCTACGCAGAAGTATCGTACTCGTAGTGATTGCAGCCATGCATGACAAATTTATTTCTCAAGTTAGACCCGCATATACAAATTTCATTTCTCATGCTTCGGAAACTTGTCATGCAATAGAAATAGTTTCTACTAGTACAACGATACTTTTGCACAGGATAAGCTCAAGTAGCCGGCCAGTGTCCGCGAGAAGGAGCAGCAGCACGACGACGCCAGCAGCTGCTATGGGAGTGTCAGGATTGAAATCGTCAAGGTTAAAATTATAGTTTGTCATGCATAAAATGCAGCCCACGAAGTGCCTGTCTTGCAAAAGTAGGCAAGGGGTGCAGATTGTAAGCCTGTTGAGGGGTAGAAACTGAGCTGCTACAAACATTAGCATGACAAAAGGCGTCTTCCTTACCCAAACAGCATGACAAAATGGATTTCGGTTCTACCCAAATTTGTTATGCGCCACTTGGAAACTGGGTCAGTCACAACTTTCATCCATTTTATGCATCACAAGTTATTTCAACTTTGTCGATTTCAATCCTGACACATCCATAGCAGCTGTAGGAGTGCCCAGCACGACCACGAGTGGAGGGGTCATGAAGTCCGATGTCGCAGCTCCAGGTGGATCCGCAGCTGCGATATGGCAGCGTCAGGATTGAAATCGTCAAAATTGAAATTAGTTTGTCATGCATAAAATGCAATGCAGAAAGTGCTTGCCTTGTAGAGTAGGCAAGGGAGGCAGATTGTAAGCCTGTTCCGAGGCGGTAGAAATAGAGCTGCTATTAAAGTAGCATGACTACATCAAAAGGCGCCTTCCTTATCCAAACAGCATGACTACAAACTGGATTTCAGCTCTACTCAAATTTCTCATGCGCCGCTTAGAAATTGGGCTTACAACTGGTATCGATTTTATGCATTACAAGTTATTTCAACTTTGTCGATTTCAACTCTGACACATCCATATGCGATGGGGCGAAATAAGGGGTCGATGAATAAGCTCCATCCGCAGGAGCAGCAGCAAATGGTGAATCAGCAGAACGAAGAATCTATCCTGTGCAAAAGTATCGTACTCGTATAAATGCAAATCTTGCATTACAAATTTTTTTCTTAAGGTAAATCCGCATGACAAATTTTATTTCTCATGCTGAGGAAATTTGTAATGCATTTATACGAGTGCGATACTTTTGCAGTTCATAGAATCCGCCCTGACAATACAGGAACTGCGGGAGACCATACTCCTCATGAGCGAGAAAATCAAAAAGCTGGAGCAACTGGCTCGGATAAAGGACGCCAAGATCGACAATTTGCAGCAGAAATTGTCGCAGACTGCGGGGGGAGGCGGGGTGGGTGGGTCGTCGCTTCTTGCCAGATGAGATCTTACAACTTTTACATCAAAAACGGTAAGAACAGGAGGGCCTGTAGATGAAAAATTCGACTCTTCATATTTATCCCGACCTAGTAGAACTGCTAGTTGTACCGCGTCACTCTCATTTCCACATGATGTCTTTTTTTTTCAAGATAGAAGCAAAGGCAAAGCTCCTTCTGCACCTGCAGGATGACCTACAACTTCCATATTATTGACCACCTTTGTTATTGAACAGTAGCAGAGCAGAAACAAAGACGAAACCATTTCAGCAGAGCAGAAAGACTAAGGCCAGCACTCTGACTGTGCGAGGCAGAATTATTAATAGAGCCTCGTACAACCCCCTCTACGTGCCGCACGGTGGAGGTCGACGCCGCACAGAAATTATGATTTATTATACAAGCAGAAACAGAACAGACGCCGACGTGGACGTCGTCGTACAAATAGGTTTTTTTGAATACAAGCGCTGTGGTAGTAATTAAAATTATCTGGTGGTAACCCAAAGAAGCCAAAACCTAATCCTAAAGTACACTTGACCTCCACAACTGGGATCATTGTTGGCGGGGCCACGCCGCCTCAATTGGTACTACTAAGTGAAAAAACACACTGTAGTACTTTTTACGCAAAGTACATCATGTCGATGTGCAGCTACGACGTCGCACTAGGAGATCAAATTGGTAGTGGCTGGACCTGGAGCCGCACTTGAAATAAAAATGTGTACTCACTGCTGTAAGGAGTCGGTTGAAAATTAAAGGTCATGCGCAGGCGCAGTTCAGGCGCAGGAACAACCAGGATCAAAATTAATCACAAATGCTGTCAGTGTTGAAACGATCATCACACTATACACGACCCGCGTCGGTTTGAAAAATTGCGTTTGTGCTGTCACCCGCCGTCTTGTCGGGTTGATGAGTTTTTACGGTACAATCGAAGAGCGTGAAAATGAAAATAAATCCAACCCCGAGAGGTCCGATCCGTCCAATCAAAAAGATCAATGGAGGACTGTGCAAAGTCGGAAAGATCAATGGCACTGGAAAGATCATGGCACTGGAAAAGTGGAAAGATCAATGGACCACGAGGACGCTCAGATAGATCAGTCAGAAGCTTTGTCGTGACACGACCCTTTCCAGCCAAGCACAGGTACTATTTTGAAAACATCTAGTAGTCATCTACTACAGACGAATTTACACATAACTTTACGCTCCTCTTCACTAGCACAAAACGTATCGCCATCGGCCTGCTCCTGTAGTAGTACAACTCACCGTAATAAAAGCTGTTTGTAGTACGACGTAAGTTTTCAGAAAATCATACTTGCACCTTTATTTTTGCTCGTTCCATTTGAAAGGAAAAAGCATCAAATATCGTAAGAAAAAGTGTTGACGTTACGGTTTTCAGTTTTCTGGAAAAAGAAATTTTTGTGGGTACTGAGCACCACCATTTTAATTTTTTTTTTTCTCGCCGCCGCGCAGCCTCCCTATTTGCCCTTGCGGGGCTCTGAAGTGGTAAAACTCTGGGCGAAGAAGCTAGTGCACAAGATGCGAAAACTATGGGGCCCGGCCACAAGATTGCGCCCCTTCAAACTCTGAGATGGCTGCCCAATCCCTGTTCGGGCTCAAGGGCCATGATGGCTCTAGGCCGGCGGGCCAGGTCCGCGGCACTGCTGACAAGACCCGCCCGCCAAAGCGTCGCAACGATCGGCGCCGGGGATGGGCCTGCTTGGATGGCGGAATATGGATCATACCGTGCTGTCTGGATATGATGTTGACGGTTTTTCCGAGTATGGGAAAAATCCGAGGAAAAAATCCACAATTTGACGCCATTTCGAGGCGAAAAATTGCAAATCCCGAAAGAACCGTCAACACCTTATCTAGACAGCATGGTATGATCCATTTCCCTTCACTCGAACAGGTGCAAGCACGGGAGCACACTTTTTGGGCAGACAAATCGAGCATAGCGTGCTGTCTAAAAGGGGTGTTGACGGTTTTTGGGGTCATTTTCATACAGAGCAGCAGGCTTTCGGCAGGGTGAATCGATCATACCGTCGTGCCTAGCGAAGGTGTTGACGGTTTTTCGGGTGCCGGCAAATTTTGGGCATTTTGGTACCCAAAATTTGCCCATTTCCCTCATCCTCGAAAGTGCCACCTTTTCTTCAATCATGGAGAAAATTTGACAAGAGGTCCCAAAAGGTCCGTGATAGAAACTTGCAAAGCCGCACAGAGCTGAACTGGCGGAAACGCCATCCAGATGCCAGCTCGTAGGCCCACATGTCCGAGGTTTAGCCACGGCTCGCGGTTTGGGCGTTCTGGCCCGGATCTGAGAGCCGGCGGCGAGGAGAAGGCACGGCAGGAGGTGGTCCCGGTCGGCGAAGTCCTACGCCGTTATACTTTGTGCACTAGCTAGGTCAAACCAAGTGAACGACTTCGCAGTCCCGCGAGGGCTAATAAGGGGAACGGGCCGCCTTACAAATCAAAAACATGCCTCCGATACACGCCCAAAAAAAATTTTTTACAACAAACTGAAAACCGTAACGTCAACACTTTTCACCTTTATTTTTGCTCGTTCCATTTGAAAGGAAAAAGCATCAAAATGTTGCGCAGCTCCATGGTCCTCTTCTCCACCTCCCGCGGAGGTGCAGTGTTTATTTCTCTACTTTGCGCTGTTTTAATATTCGCCGGGCAACATTACAACAAATCCGTCCACGCTGTCACGTTGCGTCCGTCCTCTGCCCCCTCGTCGTCGGGTTCAGAAGATCCTGACCTTCCGCTCGAGTACGAGTTCGTCGAAGACGATGATCAGCTCCAGGCGCTCCGGCGCCAATTCCCCGGCTACGTGTTCGTGGAACAGGATGTGGACGAGGGCATCTATATATTGTCAGAAATGGCCATCTTTTGGTAATCACGCAACACAGATTTTTGCATGATCCAGACTAAGCATGACAAGTTGCATTCCTCCAGACCCAGACACTTTTACATTTCATAGAGGTCCTACAACACCAAGCACAGCCGCGTCAGCTGTGTATCAAAAGGAAAAATCCCCCCACCCCATATCGAAATGGAAATCTGTGATGCGGGATTTGTGTACACAAATCGGCTTTGTATTGCAGGAAGGCATCGCGGCCAGATCCCCTGGCTATGTAGGGGCGTATCGGTCTAGTTGTTCGGCATGGCAAACGGCTCCCCTTTAGGCCCAACAGCATGACAAATCGCCTCCATAATGGGGGCGAAGCTTTTGCCCTTGTCTTCTTGCAAGACAGATGTGATTTTTTGTGACCTCAAATCAGCAACACAAATTTGCGGAACATGCCTTTTCGATATGGGGAGGGGGGATTTTTCCTCACCATACTGCGTAGTAGTATTTTTGCGAACTCCATTACCTTCTCTGTGGCTGTCATCGCACTGCTCTACGGAAGTGTCAGGATCTTCGAAATCGACAAAGTTCGAGTTGAAATTTTAATCTGTGACGCATAAGATGCCACGCAGAGAAGTAAGTAGAAGTGCGACCCTATGTATTGCAGACAGTACATGTACGAGGGGGGCAACCGCTTCGAGTCCCGCTGAGGGGCAGGAGTTGGACAGCTGACTAGCATGACAGAATGGAGCTCCTTTGCCTTAAACAGCATGACAGATTTGCTTCCGGGGCGGGGAAAGTTTATATGTCTTGCGCCGACCACCACTATGTATAAAGTGAAAACGAGAAAAATTGGTGCTGTCGATTTTACGCATGACAAATCAACTTTGTCGATTTCGGTCCTGGCGCTTCTATAATATGCTCCTGCTCTCAGATTGTTCCACGACGACTAATCCCACGGCTACCCTTGCGTGGGCCCTGACCCACAAAATAACTTCTAGTCCGCGGGCTGGATCACCACTTGTCGCCGACGGGCCAAATGCTGGTCGCCGCGCCGCCCGGATACCGGGCACCTTATGCAATACAAATTTCCCGTACATGTACAACATGCATCACAAATTTCAAAAATTTGGAGCGATCACAAAGTTCAAAAATTTGGGTCGATACAACTTTTGCCTCTCCTCGTCATAGCCTACTCCTGACCACGATCGGGCTGGAAATGGGGCCAGCAAGCGAGCAGGCCCCCACAGAGACGACCTTTGCCGACCGCTGGACCGTGTATACAATCGCGCCGCGACCGGAGAAGAAGGAAGGAGTGTCTTCAACCACGAGGCCCGGAGTCGTGAATGCGCCCAGCAGAAACGATCTCGCACCGCCACTACAGTCCAGCGGACAGGAGGATCCCGCTATCGGTGTAGCAACCGCAGCGAGAGTGGCGCAAGCGGTGGGCCGCGACGATGCTGGACCGGCGGCATCGGCTGCGGAGGTTTTCGCGACCCCCTCCTCATCGTCACAAATGCCAACGTTGCCTTCGCACCACGGACCGATGGGGTAGAGAGCGTCGTGATGGAACCGAGAAAGACGAAAATCATGACTTTTTTGAGAATAAGGGCTTGAAAATCAAAATATTACGTTTTGCGACTGAACCTTCCGGTATTGGTATCGGTTACGTTGAGCACATTTTTGAACCAGAACCATAATTGCTCATCTGGCAGTGCTACTGCTGCTTGTCTTCCTTCATGCTCAAAAGCAACTTTCATAATTCTGCGAAAATTGCAGCCCTGCGTCTTGTGCTACCAGTTTTGGTCACCACCTCTTTTGCGGTTTGCAAACAAATGCGAAATAGAGAATAAAGATCGACATCGAATGAATGGAAGTAGTTTTTGTTTGGAATAGTTTCAACCAAATATTTCGATTACCAACTCCTGTTTGCCCACACGAGAAGAGAAATTCTATCCGACGAAAATGACATGAACGAAGGAGAATTCATGCCTGGTAAGAGAAAATCCAAAACGAATAGTGCCAACTATCACGATTGCATCGAAGAAAAGGACACAAAATGGAACGCGTATCCCCGTAAAGCCCCCAACTGATTTGGAAGCATGCTGCTTTTTTGTTTTTCGTTTTCTGTTGCGGGAAACGCATGACAAATTCGCAGATCGCTTTTTGTTGCGCATGACAAGTTCGAAGCTTGCCGTCTGTTGCGGGGGATGCATAGCCACAGGCGCAAGTCTGAATCTCATACATAAACAAGAGGAATCTTTACGGGGATACGCCTGGAGGCAACGCATCTTCTGCAAGTCCGCAAATTCGGCACTGAAGAGCATGATTTGGTTGCCACGGTCCATCCCGCGGATGCGCTCCATTTTCGAGTTCACCGGGAAGTGGCACGTGCGCCGGCACGTTTCGCTGTGTGTGTTTCAGTTTCTTGCTTTGGATCGTTGGGTCTCACATCAGTTGCACTCGCACAGAGCGACGACAGGAATTTAGTTCCCTGCGGCGCCAACCAGATAAACGGGCGGAGCAAGAAGGGGCAAAATAAATATTAGGACTTGGGGGCTCAGTCAATGTGCAACCATGGGCCGAGTGTTCAGGTACATGTTGCAAAAACATTTATCAATTTTGCAAGTCTGCTACTGTTGCTACTAGTCACGACATAAGACTGACAGTCTGCGAAGCTGTGCAACGACAACGCGTCGAGTGCGGAACTGCTGCTGCTGCTGTCTTCGACCCATGGTTGCGAGACGATACCTTTTTAGTTTCCTCGACCTTGTTGAGCTTCCGGCTGATCTGGTCGCAGTACTGGTTGATCGCGGAGGTGATTCTCTATCAAATGAAAAAAGAAAAACCACTGCAGCCATTAATCACTCACAACACAGCTTGGCTTCGGTTCCTATTGTTCTCAATTTACTATTGCCATAAAGTGGGAAACAAAACCTAAGAGGAACCGAAACAAAATTGAGCTGCGGATGATGACGGACAGGGGTTATTTCTCATTGGCATATGATTTTCAGATGGCTCAATCCCAAGGCCTCGACTTCGGGGACTGCGTCGTCCGGTTTGCCGCCATTCAGGCGGACACGCTCCCCGATGTTGTGGACCTGCTTGTCGTTGTAGGCATCCGGCTTGAAATTCAACTTCTTCAGCAGCTGCACCTTGAAGGCGTCGACCGTCATGACGATCAGCTGTGGGTTTTGTGCACCGGAGCCGCCGTTGTCGAAGTAGACCATCAGATGAAAAATTCACATCGCCATCAGTTTCAATTTGAATTTGTCATGCGCGACAACTGCTGCAAAAGCTCCCGTCAACAATTCGCAATAGAAGCTGAGGACCCGGCTACGTGTTCGTGGAACAGGATGTGGACGAGGGCATCCTTATAGACAAAACCGAACCTACAAAGGAGTCTACCCTAGCGCAGGAGAAGCTGGAACAACTCCGTGACGACATTGCCAAAGCATCGCGACCGATTCCATTGACGCTAGAACAACTCCGTCAACGCATTCCCGAAGAATCGGAGACGCTGAGAAAACTTATCCTGAGGAAAAAAGTCCCCGACACGACCCCAGAGCTTATTTCGTGCGGATTTGCATCTACAGGAGTTACCAATGTGTAAATCTCCATTTCGCGTCTACTTCACGAGCAGAGGCGTGTCTACAGTTGTGGTCTTTCCGCAGTGGAAATCAGTTTCGATGCTGTAAAAGAAATTACAACTTATTTATTAGGAGATGGCTTTCTGATCCGCGGCTGCGGCTCTCCTTTAGGTCCTCGATAAAGAATTTGCACGACAACACTTTTCGAGAACGTTGCTCGACTCCGTCCAAACAACTTCTGGATTTGTGTTGCAGAGTTTCCGCTTGGACTATGGGCACTAGTTGGGGACGTTTTCCCGCAGGATAGCTCTACGTGAGAAGTTATGAAAAGGACACCATGCGGATGTGGTCTGTTGGTGACGAGCAGCTATTATTTGTTTTTGTGCTCAAGAACAGTAGATATTATCGTCGAACCTAGAGGAGGTGGAGCGCCAGGTGCTGACTTGTCATGTCAGACTCAGAAGGGTTCTCTTCTTTTTGATAAATATGTATGACTCTCTTGCCGACTCCGACAAGAATTGTTTTATATATTTTCCGCGTTAACTGCAATTGTGTCTGGATCTGGAAGGATCCAAGCTTATGCTTCTAAGTTTGAATCGTACAAAAAGAAAAACCTGGAATGCATGAAGTTGAAGCGCAGAAGTTGATACCCGCTTCGTTTTAATTTGTTGCGCGCATTTGAATTTATTGCGCGTGGACACTGCACAAGCTTAATCGAAACTGCTGAGAGGCCCAGGCCGATGCGCGCCGCAGTATTGAGTACTGGCGACGTCAGAAGTACTTTAAATGCTCTCAGAAAACTTTAAGGAGCAGTAGCCCGAACTTCTGGGGCTGCAAAATTATACCTTTGCAGCTGCAAAGGTATAATATAACTTTGCAGGGGCCACAAGAGTTACTGCGCAGGATCACGCTTAGAAGCCGCACAAATCGCCACATCCTACTTGAGTGCTTCGCCTCCATAAAACTATGCTCACGCACTGGAGAGGGTTTTAGAGACTGAACGGAAACCGATTGGACAGGAAGAATCGTGCGCCGTGCGCTCCTGCCGCCCACAAGGTACCTAATTTATTCTCAATCTATGTAACGAATTCCAGACATCACATTCTAGGCGTCACAAGTAGGACTAGGTCGCGCAGCATCAGCGCGGACCTCGTGAGGGCCGGAATGGGTTAACCACCTCTGTGGCCCCATTTTTGTACACAGAATTCCGACAACCGTCGGAATTTGCCCGTGACCGATGCCCAAGCGGACGGTCAGCGAGAGCAGGTGGGGAGGGGCCTAACCTCCCGCGACTGCCACGCGCGCGCGCGTTAAGGTCACGTACCGATATGGCGAAGCTGATGACGCTGGTCGCTAATGCAGGTGCGTCCTGGGCGACTGGAGCGCGGGTCGTACGACCCGAATTTGGACGAAAGTCCACCGAGGTGGACCATCCCGTGTGCCGACCCATACCGGTAGGCACCGTCTGTGCCACTGGTTCAGCCGGAACCCCTGCTGGTTGATGCACCTCTGTGCGCACTCTGGCAGGCTAGTAAGGATCTAGGATGTGAGGCTGTGAACGGGGTGCGCTTTGCATGCTTTGATCTGCTTATGCCAAGGAGCAACTCCGTCCATTACACACTTAGAAGAACCGCGTGCATTTATGAGGATGATTAATTTGACACCACACCGGCCGAGCATAGTTGCAGCCACCTCTGTGGCGCGTTGACTAGCTAGGAACTGCGCGGCCTAGGTGCATACGACAGCGGGGTCCGATCTATGTCCTCGGTGGTGCGGCGCAATGCGACGAGACAGGACAGCCGGAGGGCCACCCTGTAGACGCGACAAAGCCGGCGGGATACGCGTGGCGGATGAGGAGCCACAGGGCGGCGATTTCGGATGGGGGTTTGGGCCACGCGATCTCGGACTTGTTGCAGCCTCTGTTGCACCCGGCGCGGCGACCTCTCGTCGCAGCGCTGGAGCACGGTTCGACCCACGTCTGTGGGCGGACAAGTGCGACGCCCGCAGCCACCTCTGTGGCGCGGACGTCGCGGCGCGGTCCCTGCTGCGCGCCTCGCTGCTGTATCTAGTAGTACACAAGACGCTGCGAAGCAGCGCAGACACGCCTTTACTGATACAGAGCCGGAGTTCAGCACTACTGTGAAGGGTGTGACCTTTTGACGAGAACATACAAAGTAAAGCTGGCAGCCGTCGAGGGGCGCCAGCGTTCTGGGGATTTGGGAAGAAGTTTGTGTTCGCGCCAAGATATAGCGAATTCTACCCAAATTACGTCATGGATCAGGTACCACCAGGGCGGACTTGGATAAACTTTGGAAGGAGATTCAAAACCAGCAAAAATTCGTCGAAGAACTGCTCAAGGAGCAGAAGGTGGCGGAACAGCTGAGGCGGCAAAAAGAATACAATTCGAACGTGTTGAGGCAGCGGCAAGAAGATTTCGCAGTGCAAAAGCATCGTATATTAGATTCGAGATTCGTACTAGACCACTACAACATTGGTCACGCAGTATATTTTTTTAGACAAAAAATTGGAATTTGTCATGCTGAGGACGTTGTGCTATTTTTATTTCGCAAAAAAACAGCAGATGATCTTCATCAACATGATATGCTGTATCTGTCATGCTACACTTACTGCGATTTTTGGTGCGACGACTCTTACTTGTGCGGTACTTTTGTACAGGATGAAAAGCGGGATATCAACTGTAAAAATGTCTGGGTCTGGAAGAATCCAACTTGTCATGCTGATTTTGGATTCTAAAAAAAATCTGTATTGCATGAGCAGCAAAGAGAGTCCAAGTTTTGCTACACGGAAAGAGCATTTGCTACACGGGGGTGCGCAAGAAACCACAACAGAGAAAAAGATCAAGCTCGGGTCGCGCGCGATGCTCGTCCCATTCGTTTTTTCCGACGGTTCACTTCCTTCATCAGGGCCTTGCTCAACCCTGGACCAGAACGAGTAGGACTAAGGACCCAAGAGGTAGGCACTGTAGCGGAAAGCTGGAGCAAAACTATTTTCTTGGAAAAAGAACCCAATAGGAGCCGACCTGCGTGGATGGTTACAAAACAGGTAGCTTGGCCCCAAATGGCAATGATCATTGGGAGCAGCAGAGCGCAGCAGGACCCCGGGACTGCAACAGCTCACCCCTGTTTTAGCTTAGAAATACGCAGTGCGCCGAGTATGCCACTACCTCGACCCCTCAAGAAAAGAAGTAGCCCCCCCAACTACACACTCGCCGTCCGCGATCAGGATGCGATGCGTACTAACCAACATTGTGCGAACCGAGATCCCGCGGGGCACAGGGTCTGGGCGGCTCGAAGCAGAACGCGCAGCACAAGCGGGAGACAATACATCCAAAGGTGGGGATGGTCTCAGGTCGTTCAGGTCCGCCAAGGGTTGCGTCTCGCTATCAGGGTTTCGCCAACTCCGTGGGGGCGTTGCGGGTATCTCCCTAAAACACCAAAACCGGCACAAATTGGGCCGGCAGTCCGGGTAATTGCTCACCGAACGGCTTGTATGGCGAATAAGGTGCTCGACGAAGGAAGAAGTAAGCATGTAAGGAGCACCTCCGGTTGGTAGAGCAATCGGCTACCGAGGCACGTCAGGGGGCGTCGCTACTTCAATTCAATTCAATGCAAAATGTGCATGACAAACCTGGCAATCTGTTCCAGACCCAGACATATTTGCATTTGATACGGGACGCGAAGGAACAACAACGGAAAAAAGACCTGGAAGTTCTGGAGAGCGAGTTCGCCAAATTGACGAAAGAGTTGGAGCAGCTGCAGCATTACGCACTGGCACCGCAAAAGCATCGTATAAGTCCGATACTCGTAGACCACTATAACACTGGTCGCGCAGTACAATTCTTTGGACAAAAAATGGAATTTGTCATGCTGACGCTGTGCTATTTTTATTTCGCAATAAAACCCGCAGATCATGATCTTCATCGTCATATGCTGTATCTACTGTCATGCTACAATTACTGCGATTGTTATGACGAGTCTTACTTGTGCGGTACTTTTGCACAGGATGAAAAGCGGGAAGCGAAGGAGGAATGGCAATTGCTTGACGAGGAACAGGATCCCGCCATGCGGCAACTTTTCCAGCAGTCCGCGTCTTCTTCTTCTTCTCGGACTCGCGGCAATTCATCAAAAGCACGGCGGAACATGAGAAGTACTAAATAGAACTCAGTCTGTAAGGACAACTACGATGCGTCTCTTTTGCCAACAACTTCTGGCACTTTCATCAAAAAGGAGATCATGTCTAGCAGTATTGGCACTGACCGTGTAGTGGAAAATTATCGAGGATGAACAAAATCTAAGTCACCCTTTCGCACGAAAGAACCGCAGTCGTGGTAGTGATTCCTGCAACAGTACTGCACTTTTTTTTTTACTGGGTAGAAATTACTTCTTTTCTACTTCTCGTGTTTTATCTTCTTTTCTTTACCCGGTGAGAGCCTAGTAGTACGCAAGTGAAGATCATGGACATTATCATTATACATAAGTGATCGACAGTATTTTTGGAAATCGCATCAAAATCAAAGAGCAGTACGAGGGCGCGCCAAGCACGCACGTACGAAAGAAGCGGCATTTCGATTTTCATTGAAGAAAAAGAAATAATCACTGTCAGTTGAAAAACGAGAACGGTTGTAATTCTAATTTTGGCGTAGCTTCTGCAGCGCCAACATTTCAAATTTATCGAATGATAAACTAAAACAGACACAGATTCCCAGTATGAATTGAAAACTCTACTTTCGGAATTTCAGGATGAGCATAGAGTAAAAGTAATGGCGGGAGCGTAAAGATTCACTGCGGTTAAAGAATTCAATATACAAAAAAAGCACGTACGTGCCTTATCTATCAGTCGAAGTAGTTTTGAAGGAAGAACCAAGTAGTTTTGAAAGAAGAAGTAGTTTTGAAGGAAGGAAGTACTTTGACAGCAATTATCTCCAAGAACAGCTGCAGTTGCACTTTATTATTAAGATTCCTACAACTCAAAATGCGCGAGCGCGCTAAGAAAGATAGAATCCGTCGTTGTTCAAAAACAGAAAACGCAATACAAATTACTACTAGTTACAGAAAGTGCTTACCTCCGAAAGTGCTTACCCCTCTACTACGCCTCGGTGTAGCAGAAGCAAGTTGCGACTTCAGATTTTTGTATTTGAACGCAACAAAACCTAAGATCATCCCAAAAACTACGCTTTAGACCACACAAAGAAGCAAGCAAGTTAGACGATCGGAACCCGAACACAAAAACTAAAAAATCTACTACTACGACGGTCGAGCTGATGAAGCGTTGTTTCGCGCCAAAAACGAAATGCGTAACTTTGTCTTGCTACAGGTGACAGGAGGAATAAGCAGCAGTCATTACAAGACTACAAGGATTGCATCTCTAACGAATGAAAGTGGCTCGCATGCATGTTCTCCGTCGTATGAGTATCGTTATGTGCGTATCTTGTCTTCGTTTGTTTTTGTGAGTACAAAGTGTCTCCGGAATCCAATTCCACTACCAAGATGAACAATTAGCTTTTTTGAAAGTCGACAAAGTTGGAATGATTTCTCATGCAGAAATTCCAAGGCATGAAGTGCCTCTCTTTCAGGGATGGAAAGTGAGGCCGACTGTCGGCCCGTTTGGGATCTGCGATAGAGCTGCTAAAGTAGCATGACAAAAGACGCCTCCTTTCCCTAAACAGCGCGACAAACTGGATGTAGGCGATGCGGAAATTTGTCATGCACCGCTTGGAAATTGGGCTTCCAACTGGTATCGATTTTATGCATCGCAGATTATTTCAACTTTGACGATTTCGGTCCTGACACTTCCATATGAAAAACGAGAACGGTAGACATAGAAGATTTATGGAAAAGAACAGAAATGTGAGGGCGCACGGAGAAGGGCAACAAGTGCTAGTTTTTATTTCCATCAAAAAAATAAAATTATCATGCTTTCGTTTGCAACGCCAACAGTATTATTTATTCAAATTTATTTTTTATAATTTGACTCATGCTTATTTTGATGAAGTTGAAAACGCGCACTCAAATAGGACCTAAGAGTTAGAGTGAGGCTACTAAGGCGAGCATTATTACTATTCGCCCTCGAAAAAGAAGAAGAACCGTTGGCACTGTAGTATGTGTATGGGAGTCGTGCGAGGAAGTTGTAGGTAGTAGTACAACTTCTATGCCTGCTACAGAATAGAAGTTGAAGGATTTATTTCCCTGATATAATCGGGGCGTCCACGACCGAGATGAGCAGTTTAGTTTTTTGGCAGGAGCAACACCATATTAGTCATGGAATCAGTAGCACCATGGTCGTGGCAGTACTTGTTCTCAAGAGGCGGAAGTGTTCGCAGCAGGAGTATTCTTATTCATCTTCGACCGGTGTCATTTATTTGGTGCGTGCAACTACTGCCCTCCACGTACAAGAAGGCGCACTAGTTTCATTGTTGGGGGCTAATACCACGACGTCGGCGCCTAGGTCTACAGTGTGTTGCTACTGGAAATAAAGCAGAGTTTATTCCTCCTCCTCCTCCTACTGGAAATAAAGCACGCTGTAGTAGATCATGTCGTTGTCGATGTGCTACGAGTACGACGTCGCACTAGAAGATCAAATCGGTAGTGGCTGGAGCCGTCTTTGCAATAAAAATGTGTACTGTGCTGTAAGGGATCCTGGGAATCGGTTGAAAATCAAAGGTTATGCGCAGGCGTAGTTCAGGCGCAGGATTTATACCAAGATCAAAATCACAAGTGTTGTGTTGAAAAGATCATGATCACAGTAGACCTCTTCTTTACACGACATCACCATCAGCAGTACGAGGGCGCACCAAGCACGCACGTACAGCTGAAAAACGAGCATGGTAGAGGACATTGAAGATTTATGGAAAAGAACAGCAATGTGAAGGCGTTGTACGGGGAAGCAGAAGGGCAACAAGTGCTAGTTTTTTTCATCATGAAGAAGGCCGTCTTGTTGCATTTGTATTACAGCACTATCCCAGCTCTGTGGTGATAATTATCTGGTAAGAACCCAAAGAATTACAATAAATTCGATGCTCTACTCCGTCGTAGCAGATGTTGTGTGGAAAAGGATCTTGCGCTGGCACAGGTCGTCGCATAAGCCGACCTTGAAGCTGATAATGGTGATTATAGAAGACGTTGGGTCTTTATCAGCAACAGCATGGTGATGAAATAATTCGAGAGGAGGAGTGTGGTGGATATTCTTGTTCATCGCAAACAAATCCAGGTATGGTAATATTCACAAAAATAGACCATCACACTGTACTCACGCAAAGTATAGCTCATGTCGAGGTGCTACTAAACTAAAACGCGTTCTTGTATGTTTAGAACGCGAAGATCATGTGGCTGGGGTCGATGCGCCGTGACGCACGAGAATATAATCTTCAAATCGGTAGTCGCTCTCGCTGGTGGAGGTGCACTTCCTGCAATACAAATGTGTAGTACTCTGTGCTGTAAGGAAAAGGGCAACTCGGTTGAGAATCAAAGTTCATGCACAGGCACTGTGCAGGTTCAGAATGAAACAGGATCAAAATCCGAAATGCTTCGTTGAAAAGATCATCTTCACAAACCTGCTCTATACACCCACGTCGGTTCTTTGAAAAATTCAGATTGTGGTGTCACCCGTCGCTCCTGTCTTGTCAGAAAAGATCAATGGACCACAACAAGGACGCTCAGATCATAGATCAATCTATCAGAAGCTCGTGACGCGACCTCCAATTACAGGCACTTGTAAAACATCTAGTCTACTATAGACGAACTCACGCATACCTTTACGCTCCTCCAAAGTAGCACAAAACCTCTCGTCCCAACAACTAGCACAAAACTTATCAGTATCGGCCTGCTCCTGTAAGTAGTAGCACAATCAACTACTCACCGCATCAAAAGCTGTCTGCAAGACGTTGTAAGAAGTTTTCTGCATATATTTTACGCCTTTTTGGCTCGTCGTTGTCGTCCTCCCACCGATAGCAAAAAGCAAAATGTTGCGCTCCATGGTCTTCCCCACCTCGCGCGGAGGTGCAGTGTTTATTTCTCTTTGCGCTGTTCTTTTCGCCGGGCAGCATTACAACTCCGTCCAGGCTGTCACGTTGCGTGCGTCATCTGCCTCGCCATCTGCAGATCCTGACCTCGCCTACATGCCCCCTGAGATGATGGAACAATACAGGCAATACCAATACCAAGAAAACCAAAAGATATCAACGGCAAATGTGCGTGGTTCTGGAATAAGAAGAATGCAGAAGACATTTGTGACGCGCCAGTTTTTCCGTCGTGACACAGGCCTATTAGTATCACAGGTTTATAATAACATGAGTCGATGTGACTAGAGTCCAAATGTCTAATCCGCATGAAAAATTGCGCCCTCTTGCGGTGACATTAAGTAGGCGCGTTTAAATTTTGACGCTGGCCATGCATGACAGATTTTGACATGATGGAAAATTCGTATACACAAAAATAGCATCTTCATTCCAGACCGAGGCTACATATTTGCGACGCATAACCGTGGCAGCCCGTAACACATTCTGACCTTGATAAGTATCATGCGTAAACAAAACGTCCCCACGTCGGCTGCACAGTGAAGATGGAAATTCCGATGCACAAAGCAACAAGCCTTGGCTCATGAGTACAGTTTTAAGCTGATGGGACGAGGACCATTTGCATCGTGTGTAGCTGCTAGTGATCAAGCCGCATCACAAAAGATGATCGATCACCCTGGTCTGATTCTAGCATGACAAACTTGACGTATCAGACAGCATGGGAAAAAAAAATGCTCCTCATGGGGCAGGGGCTGCGCAGTGAGACATTTTAGGCATGCAGATTTGTCGAAGACAACAAAGCTGCAGTGGGGACGTTTTTACGCAGGATAAGGAGACCTATTTGGTCCACCACCACCCCGATCCGGCGCTCCGGGCGCTCCGGCGCCAATTCCCCGGCAACAAGATCGTGAAAAAGGAAGTGGACGAGGGCACCCTTATAAGTGCAACCCCAATCGAACCTACAGAGGAGTCTGCCCTAGTGAAGAAGGAGCTGGAACAACTCCGTGACGACATCGCCAAAGCATCGCGATCATTGCCAAAGCCGGAAGAGCTACGTGATACAAGCAAAGTGGACAAGGAGCTAGAAGAACTCCGTCAACGCCTTCCCAAAGAATCGGCGGAGCTGGAAAAACTAAGTGCTGCGTATCAACTGCAAACATTTCGGGTCTGGGACGAGAATGCGAGATTTCGATTTGTCATGCTAGTCTGGCATGACTCTGAGCTCTGTGTTGCATTCCCGCGAAGAGCTCCTCCTCCCTGTCATGCAAAAACGCACTTTGTCATGCGGAATAAGAATATTACGCAACTCAGAACCATGAAAAAAACTTCAACTTGTCATGCTTGGCAGCGCATCATAGTGAAAGAATTCACTACTCCCTTTCTTGCATTACAAGTTAGTTTAATATTCCAGACCCAGACATATTTACAATGCATACTGAGGCGAAACAATCACAAAAGATTCACGCACGTACTGAAATGATGCCATATGAATCCGTTCGGGCGGATTGGAAGAAGGCACAAGAACAGCAAGAACTCGTGAAAAAACTCGAGACGCAGGAGGCCGAATTGGCGAAAAAATTGAGGCAGCTGCAAGATTACAATTCGAACGTGTTGAGGCAGCGGCAAGATTACGCAGTGCAAAAGCATCGTATAAATTCGAGACAGAGACTCGTACTAGACCACTACAAGAACATTGGTCACGCAGTATAGTTTTTTAGACAAAAAATGAAATTTGTTATGCTGTTGCTGTGCTATTTTTTCGCAATATTAAAAAAACAGCAGATGATGATCATGATGATGATCTTCATGTACTGATGTGTCTGTCATGCTGCAAATACTGCGATTGTTGCGACGAGCCTTACTTGTATACGGTACTTTTGCACAGGATGAAAAGAGGGAAGCGGCGGAACAAGACCGGAAATATAACCTGAAAGAACTGGAGAGCCAGCAGGCCAAATTGACGATACAGTTGAAGCAGCTGCGACATTACGCACTGGCACCGCAAAAGCATCGTATAAGTCCGATACTTCTCGTAGAAGACCACTACAACATAATTGGTCGCGCAGTACAATTTTTTGGACAAAAAATGGAATTTGTCATGCTGACGCTGTGCCATTTTTATATCGCAATAAAACTACAGCAGATGATCTTCATCGTCATATGCTGTATCTACTGTCATGCTACAAAAATTACTGTGATCATTGATTGTTGCGACGAGTGTTACTTGTGCGGTGCTTTTGCACAGGATGAAAAGAGGGAAGCGGCGGACGAAGGGGAATTGCCTGAGAAGGATCTCGCCCTGCGGCAGGAGGAGGAATGGCAATTGCTTGACGAGGAACAGTATGAATTGCAAATATGTCTGGGTCTCCTGGAAGATTGCAACTTGTCATGCTTTTAAATCTGAACCATGCAAGGTTCCGTGTTGCATGAGTGCCATCAAATGCTGTCCGCTTTCGAGTCTGGAGGGAGGGACTTTCTCATGCAGGATAGGCATGTTGACAGTGACCTCACAGAGTCTGATGTCATGCTGTGTCCCGCATTTTTCCAGACCTCATGGGCGGTCATGGAAAACCTCCTGCATGACAAGTCTACACTCCTCCAGACCCAGACATTTTTACATTTGATAAACAGGATTCCGCCATGCGGGAACTTTTCCAGCAGGCTCGCGGCAAGTCATCTTCAAAAGCACGGCGGGAGGGCAAGAAGAGAAGTACTAAATAGAAGAACTCAGTAGTCGGTGCTGCCAACTACGATGCGTCTCTTTCGCCAAAAACTTGTTCTGGCACTTTCATCAAAAAGGAGATCATGTCTAGCAGTATTTTTGGCACTGACCGCGTAGTGGAAAATTATCGAGGATGAACAAAATCTAAGTCACCCTTTCGCATAAAACCGCAGTCGTGGTAGTGATTCCTGCAACAGTACTGCACTTTTTTTTTTACTGGGTAGAAATTACTTCTTTTCTACTTCTCGCATTTTATGTTCTTTTCTTTACCCGGTGAGAGCCTAGTAGTACGCAAGTGAAGATCATGGACATTATCATTATANATTACTTCTTTTCTACTTCTCGCATTTTATGTTCTTTTCTTTACCCGGTGAGAGCCTAGTAGTACGCAAGTGAAGATCATGGACATTATCATTATATTTATAAGTTTTGATCGACAGTATTTATATTTTTGGAAATCGCATCAAAATCAGACAGCAGTACGAGGGCGCACTAAGCACGCACGTACGTTTTGCGAGAACTACGCCAACATTACAGCCGTGCGTTTTGAATTCAGTTTTTTTTTGGCATTATTTTCAAAAGAGACCCTGACGCTGTGAGACCCAAACCAGCGAAACACGACGGCAGCGTGGTTTTTTTGTGTTTCGAATGACGGGAAAAAAATAAGCATACCGTCGTGATTTCGATTTGTGTGTTTTTTTGGGGGATCCGCCCGTTCCCCGGGGATCCGCCCGCTGCCCGGGGATCCGCCTTCGCCCAGGGGATCCGCCCGCTCCCCGGGGGTCCGCCTTCGCCCAGGGGATCCGCCCGCTTCCCGGGGATCCGCCTTCCCCCAGGGGATCCGCCCGCTCCCCGGGGATCCGCCCGCTCCCCCCGGGGACCCGCCCGTTCCCCGGGGATCCGCCTTCGCCCAGGGGATCCGCCGGCCCGCTACTCGGGGATCCGCCTTCGCCCAGGAGCCCGCCCATTCCCCGGGGATCCGGGTTCGCGCAGGGGATCCGCCCGCTCCCCGGGGAGTCGCCTTCGCGCAGGGAATCCCTCCGCCCATTCCCCGGGGATCCGCCCGCTCCCCGGGGATCCGCCTTCCCCCAGGGGATCCGCCCGCTCCCCGAGGATCCGCCTTCGCCCAGGGGATCCGCCCGTTACTCGGGGATCCGCCCGGCTCCCCGGGGATCCGCCCGTTCCCCGGGGATCCGCCCGCGCCCCGAGGATCCGCCCGCTTCCCGGGGATCCGCCTTCGCCCGGGGGATCCGCCTTCGCCAAGGGGATCCGCCCGTTACTCGGGGATCCGCCCGTTCCCCGGGGGTCCGCCCGCTTCCCGGGGATCCGCCCGCGCCCCGAGGATCCGCCCGCTTCCCGGGGATCCGCCTTCGCCCGGGGGATCCACCCTCGCCCCCGGGGGGTCCGCCCTCGCTTCGGGGGGTCCGCCCTTTCCCCGGGGAAATCCTCCCGGCTGGGGTAGTGCGTACCACGGGAGAACGGGCTCCGGAGGAATCCTCTCCGGAATCCCCTCCCGAAATCGACGCTGTGCCGCCGGGGAAAGACCGCGAAGGACGGCGCCAATCCGGTCAGAGGATTCCGGAGAGGATTTCGGAATCCTCTCCGGAATCCTCTGTGGAATCCTCCTCCGAAATCGAGGTCGTGCCGTCGGGGAAAGGGCGCCAAAGACGGCTCAACTTGGGCCAGAGGATTCCGGAGAGGATTTGGGAATCCTCTCCGGAATCCTCTGCGGAATCCTCCCCCGAAATCGAGGCCGTGCCGTCGGGGAAAGGGCGCCCAAGACGGCTCAACTTGGGCCAGAGGATTCCGGAGAGGAAAGGGCGCGAAACACGGCTCAACTTGGGCCAGAGGATTCCGGAGAGGATTTTGGAATCCTCTCCGGAATCCTCTGTGGAATCCTCCCCCGAAATCGAGGCCGTGCCGTCGGGGAAAGGGCGCCAAAGACGGCTCAACTTGGGCCAGAGGATTCCGGAGAGGAAAGGGCGCGAAACACGGCTCAACTTGGGCCAGAGGATTCCGGAGAGGATTTTGGAATCCTCTCCGGAATCCTCTGTGGAATCCTCCCCCGAAATCGAGGCCGTGCCGTCGGGAAAAGGGCGCGTCGCGAAAGACGGCTCAACTTGGGCCAGAGGATTCCGGAGAGGATTTTGGAATCCTCTCCGGAATCCTCTGTGGAATCCTCCCCCGAAATCGAGGCCGTGCCGTCGGGGAAAGGGCGCCAAAGACGGCTCAACTTGGGCCAGAGGATTCCGGAGAGGAAAGGGCGCGAAACACGGCTCAACTTGGGCCAGAGGATTCCGGAGAGGATTTTGGAATCCTCTCCGGAATCCTCTGTGGAATCCTCCCCCGAAATCGAGGCCGTGCCGTCGGGGAAAGGGCGCCAAAGACGGCTCAACTTGGGCCAGAGGATTCCGGAGAGGAAAGGGCGCGAAACACGGCTCAACTTGGGCCAGAGGATTCCGGAGAGGATTTTGGAATCCTCTCCGGAATCCTCTGTGGAATCCTCCCCCGAAATCGAGGTCGTGCCGTCGGGAAAAGGGCGCGTCGCAAAAGACGGCTCAACTTGGGCCAGAGGATTCCGGAGAGGATTTGGGAATCCTCTCCGGAATCCTCTGCGGAATCCTCCCCCGAAATCGAGGCCGTGCCGTCGGGGAAAGGGCGCCAAAGACGGCTCAACTTGGGCCAGAGGATTCCGGAGAGGAAAGGGCGCGAAACACGGCTCAACTTGGGCCAGAGGATTCCGGAGAGGATTTTGGAATCCTCTCCGGAATCCTCTGTGGAATCCTCCCCCGAAATCGAGGTCGTGCCGTCGGGAAAAGGGCGCGTCGCAAAAGACGGCTCAACTTGGGCCAGAGGATTCCGGAGAGGATTTGGGAATCCTCTCCGGAATCCTCTGCGGAATCCTCCCCCGAAATCGAGGCCGTGCCGTCGGGGAAAGGGCGCCAAAGACGGCTCAACTTGGGCCAGAGGATTCCGGAGAGGAAAGGGCGCGAAACACGGCTCAACTTGGGCCAGAGGATTCCGGAGAGGATTTTGGAATCCTCTCCGGAATCCTCTGTGGAATCCTCCCCCGAAATCGAGGTCGTGCCGTCGGGAAAAGGGCGCGTCGCAAAAGACGGCTCAACTTGGGCCAGAGGATTCCGGAGAGGATTTGGGAATCCTCTCCGGAATCCTCTGCGGAATCCTCCCCCGAAATCGAGGCCGTGCCGTCGGGGAAAGGGCGCCAAAGACGGCTCAACTTGGGCCAGAGGATTCCGGAGAGGAAAGGGCGCGAAACACGGCTCAACTTGGGCCAGAGGATTCCGGAGAGGATTTTGGAATCCTCTCCGGAATCCTCTGTGGAATCCTCCCCCGAAATCGAGGTCGTGCCGTCGGGAAAAGGGCGCGTCGCAAAAGACGGCTCAACTTGGGCCAGAGGATTCCGGAGAGGATTTGGGAATCCTCTCCGGAATCCTCTGCGGAATCCTCCCCCGAAATCGAGGCCGTGCCGTCGGGGAAAGGGCGCCAAAGACGGCTCAACTTGGGCCAGAGGATTCCGGAGAGGAAAGGGCGCGAAACACGGCTCAACTTGGGCCAGAGGATTCCGGAGAGGATTTTGGAATCCTCTCCGGAATCCTCTGTGGAATCCTCCCCCGAAATCGAGGTCGTGCCGTCGGGAAAAGGGCGCGTCGCAAAAGACGGCTCAACTTGGGCCAGAGGATTCCGGAGAGGATTTGGGAATCCTCTCCGGAATCCTCTGCGGAATCCTCCCCCGAAATCGAGGCCGTGCCGTCGGGGAAAGGGCGCCAAAGACGGCTCAACTTGGGCCAGAGGATTCCGGAGAGGAAAGGGCGCGAAACACGGCTCAACTTGGGCCAGAGGATTCCGGAGAGGATTTTGGAATCCTCTCCGGAATCCTCTGTGGAATCCTCCCCCGAAATCGAGGTCGTGCCGTCGGGAAAAGGGCGCGTCGCAAAAGACGGCTCAACTTGGGCCAGAGGATTCCGGAGAGGATTTTGGAATCACTCTCCGGAATCCTCGGTGGAATCCTCCCCCGAAATCGAGGGAGTGCCGTCGGGGAAAGGGCGCCAAAGACGGGCCAACTTGGGCCAGGGGATTCCGGAGAGGATTTTGGAATCCTCTCCGGAATCCTCTGTGGAATCCTCCCCCGAAATCGAGGCAGTGCCGTCGGGGAAAGGGCGCGAAACACGGCTCAACTTGGGCCAGAGGATTCCGGAGAGGATTTTGGAATCCTCGCCGGCATCCTCTGTGGAATCCTCATCCGAAATCGAGGGCGTGCCGTCGGGAAAAGGGCGCGAAAGACGGCTCAACTTGGGCCAGAGGATTCCGGAGGGGCTTCCGGAATCCCCTCCGGAATCCTCCGTGGAAAATGTGCGCCGGTTTGCCGGGGCCGCCAGGTTGCTCGCAATCCGCAGCAGACTGTGGCGATTTAAGCACACGAGACGCCAACACAGACGCGGCGCGGTTGTGTACACAAACAGCAGCGGAGTCCATGCGCGCGCCGCCTTTTCGGTTGCATTGCGACACATTTTAGCACGACCTAAGCCGAAGGTTTTCCGGGAAACCTTAAACGACGTTTCCCGAGCGGAGTCCATTGATTTCTGGGTCTCGCAGCGTCATACTCTCTTTCAAAAATTGGGGACAGCCGGGGCATTTTGAATTCAATTTTTTTTTGGCATTATTTTTGAAAGCTGGGGCGTAGGCATTTTGAATTCACGGCCGGAGTTAACAGCTTTCTGGAGGGGTAACAGTTACGAATGTAACAGTTGAGGACGCCATAACCTGCTACAATGATATCGCGACTTGGCCCACCGAAATGAAAAATTCGCTTATTTGTTTGTTTCTTGTTGGTGGTCAAGTTTTTTTGCTTTCTCCACCACAACTAGATCTATTTTATCTTCTTGTGAAAAAAATGTAATTTTAAATTAGTCCCCGATCTATTTATATCTTCTTTTCTTGGTCCGGTGACGAGAGCATAGTATGCAAGTGATGGACGTCATAAGTGATCGACATTATTATAACTTTTGGAAATTATCGCATCAAAATCAAACACGCAGTACGAGGGCGCACCAAGCACGCACGTACAGTCAGCTGAAAAAAGAGAACGGTAGACAACATTGAAGACTTTTTATGGAAAGCAGCAATCATGTGGGGGCGCATGGAGAAGGGCAACAAATGCTGCTTTTTTCCATGATGAAGACCATCATCTTGTTGCATTCGTACATTAATTACAGCACTTCTATCTGAGCTTGTTGCATCTGTATAATTTATCACAGCACCACCCAGCAGCACGACCGGGTGGCTGGACAATGATGAAGGAATCGAAGTCATCACTTCGTGTTGGTGTAGTTCTTGCAGCACCAACATCAAAAAAAAAAATATTTCAAACGTATTAACTCTTTCTGAAGACGCGCGCTCCGATAGAAGGACATTCTCATTCATAAGAGTAAGATAACGTAAGGATAAAAAGAAGTAGTGCTCGCACTACTTATTCCCCCTCGAAAAACAAGCTTCCTGAAGCAGGTGAACCGCTGACCTTGTAGGAGAGTTGTGCGAAGTTGTTGTAGTACTTCAACTTCTACTATGCCTGGCTGCTTATCAAAAGTAAAAATGTCTGGGTCTGGAAACTTGTGATGCTGGGCGGCGTCTCATGATGAGGCTACAAATGCTGGCTCAGCATGACAAGTTTCTGAGCTCCTAGGTGTTGCCTCTTCTGCATGACAAACTGTGCTTCTGCATCACAGAAAAACGGAGCTCTTGGGTAACGTGCATGACAGATTTAAGAGTCATGCCAGACAAGCATGACAAACATGAATTCTTCCAGACCCAGACATTTTTACAGTTGATACTGCTACAGGTACTAGATAATCGGTCGTGGACGCCCCGAGGCGTGTCCACTTCCACGACCGACATAAACAAGAACATTATCTGGAAGGGGGTAGTGGAAGAAAAGACGTCATGAGTGTGAAGTAGAAGACAAAAATGAAAATAAAAAAGCTCCGAAACAGCATGACAGAAATCAAGAACACGAGCGAGGCGACAGAATAAACGTGCGGACAAGAGGACAAGTCCCGCACTTCTACAGATTCGAGGTCTTTCATTTTTTTCACTTCTTAAACTCAAGGACAGGACAGAAAAAGGCAGCAGTCACACCAGCTGGAAAAAACTCCGCGAGTTTGTTTCCAACATCTTCTCGCATTACAAACTTGCTGTTCATCTCCGTCGTAGCAGTTGTTGTGTGGTGGAAAAGGATCTCACGTACTTCTGATGTAGTTTCTTAGAGCGTAAAAGCGAGATGAGCGTGCGTCTCCACCAGCAGTAACGATCTAGTATTAGTACATATGACTTCCTCAAACGTTACAATCTCAAACGTTACAATAGAGTCTGGAATTTGTGTTGCATGATGGGCATGACAGATTCACACAGCGTTCCATCTTTTGCAATACAAATTTCCCCAGATTGTAGTGGGGTTTGGAGCTCCGGAACTTGTCATGCGCAACTACCCTATGAGAGTTGGCTAGATCATGCGCTCTTGCATCACAGATTTCCATATTCTATTGTAACGTTATTTGAGATTGTAACACCTGAGCGGGTTATAGGTCGGATTTTTACTTTTTTACCACCGACGCACGAGGAACGTTTTTGGTTTCTTTTGCGTTTGATTTCCACCGCGCAGGTGGCGCAGTTCGCGTCGCGCAGAAGTTCTTTACCCATGTTGATCCGTTTTGTATTTAGGCGATGAGCCGGATGAAGATCCCTATCCAAAAATATAAGACGCGCTTCCACTTCTCGAACAAGAAGAAGAGCAGAACGCTGTCTATTTAAGGGCGATGAACGAAGTGTCTTCAGCAACGTGGTCCTCCTCGCAGCATGAAAATAAAGAAGAAAAGCTGCATAACCTTAAGCACATACCTGAACATAAAGAAGAAGAGCTGCATAATCTGAACGCGATACCTACTTTTTTTTTCCCTCGCTTTTCGATCTGACGTACGCCTTACTGAACGACCGTGAGAAGTCTTCCCCTATTATGTAGTTGGTTGTACTTGGAGTCGCACCGTGGTCGTACAAGAACTTTTCCCTATCAACATCTAGTTTGCGACATATTTAATATCGTAGTGGACGGCAGGTTTCTCGCTCTAGTACACCAGAAGTCAGTGTAGGCGCCGGCGCCAGAACTCCTGGAAGCGTAGTTCTTGTTTCGCCTATAAGTAAATCATTCGAGCAAAGAACATCGGAAACGTAGAATCTGACCCAGGAGAAGGAAAAAATGCAGGGTTCTTGTTCCAGGCAAAAGGGTCTACTTCTACGCGAGGTTATCAAATGTAAAAATGTCTGGGTCTGGAAGGTGGGTGCAAGACATCTCATGCAGGTTCAACATAACAGATCAGGTCTGGAACGCAGGTTCTAGCATGACAGATTCTGTGAGGTCTGTATCATGCCCATTCTGCATGAGAGACTCACTCCAAAGTTTGTCAGAAATGGCCATCTTTTGGTAATCACGCAACACAGATTTTTGCATGATCCAGACTAAGCATGACAAGTTGCATTCCTCCAGACCCAGACACTTTTACATTTCATAGAGGTCCTACAACACCAAGCACAGCCGCGTCAGCTGTGTATCAAAAGGAAAAATCCCCCCACCCCATATCGAAATGGAAATCTGTGATGCGGGATTTGTGTACACAAATCGGCTTTGTATTGCAGGAAGGCATCGCGGCCAGATCCCCTGGCTATGTAGGGGCGTATCGGTCTAGTTGTTCGGCATGGCAAACGGCTCCCCTTTAGGCCCAACAGCATGACAAATCGCCTCCATAATGGGGGCGAAGCTTTTGCCCTTGTCTTCTTGCAAGACAGATGTGATTTTTTGTGACCTCAAATCAGCAACACAAATTTGCGGAACATGCCTTTTCGATATGGGGAGGGGGGATTTTTCCTCACCATACTGCGTAGTAGTATTTTTGCGAACTCCATTACCTTCTCTGTGGCTGTCATCGCACTGCTCTACGGAAGTGTCAGGATCTTCGAAATCGACAAAGTTCGAGTTGAAATTTTAATCTGTGACGCATAAGATGCCACGCAGAGAAGTAAGTAGAAGTGCGACCCTATGTATTGCAGACAGTACATGTACGAGGGGGGCAACCGCTTCGAGTCCCGCTGAGGGGCAGGAGTTGGACAGCTGACTACCATGACAGAATGGAGCTCCTTTGCCTTAAACAGCATGACAGATTTGCTTCCGGGGCGGGGAAAGTTTATATGTCTTGCGCCGACCACCACTATGTATAAAGTGAAAACGAGAAAAATTGGTGCTGTCGATTTTACGCATGACAAATCAACTTTGTCGATTTCGGTCCTGGCGCTTCTATATGCTCCTGCTCTCAGATTGTTCCACGACGACTAATCCCACGGCTACCCTTGCGTGGGCCCTGACCCACAAAATAACTTCTAGTCCGCGGGCTGGATCACCACTTGTCGCCGACGGGCCAAATGCTGGTCGCCGCGCCGCCCGGATACCGGGCACCTTATGCAATACAAATTTCCCGTACATGTACAACATGCATCACAAATTTCAAAAATTTGGAGCGTACTAAAACCTGTCATGCTAAACTAGGATCGAAGCCAAGTTTTGTCATGCAGAGACCGCATTTGTACGTCGTGTGCGGGAAATTTACTGTGGATACACGTTTGCTGCGTGGCATTCAGATCCAGAAGACCTACCTGGCGTACAGCGTGCCAGGTTCTCGCACGTACCGTGTGCAAAAGTATCGTACTCGTATAAGTGCAAGTCTTGCATCACAAATCTTGTTCCCAAGCCAAAGCAGCATTACAAATTTTATTTCTCATGCTGAGGAAATCGAAATTTGTAATGCACTTATACGAGTACGATACTTTTGCATTTTAAAGCACGGTAGTCACAATAACTTTCCCCCGCAGTACGCACCTGTGACGCGCGAGGACCTCCGCCAGGGCCCACCCCCCCCTGCTGGCGGTGGAGGAGGAGCATTCCTGGGCCAGTTTTCCTTTCTCGGGGGCCTCGCGGGCCGCGACAGCAACAGCGACCATGTAGTGCCGATTCCGTCTTTGCAAGAAGCCCAAACCGCCCCGCCGACCACTCAGTTGTACTACGATGCAAATGCGGGGGGCCCGCCCCCCGGGAGTCGTGTAGAAGCAGTAGAGCCGCGAATATCCACGAAAAAACACCCATCCCCATCCATTTTTCGCATGACAAATACGTGGAATTTATGCATGTTTTGCATGACAAATTGGATGGGGATGGGTGTTTCTTCCTGGATAGCGAACCATATTCCCAGGGTTCGCGGCGGCGGGTGGAGAGTATGAACTGCAAAAGTATCGTACTCGTATAAATGCATGACAAATTCCCTCAGCATGAGAAATGAAATTTGTAATGGGAATTTACCTTGAGAAAAAAATTTGTAATGCATGACTGTAATACGAGTGCGATACTTTTGCACAGGATAGAGAGGAGCCACAGACCATCCTGCCACCGCATCTGCAGCATATCAAGTGCAAATATGTCTGGGCCGGGAAGATTGCCAGCAGGTTTGTGATGCAGATTTTGCAGGACCCATGATGCCTGTGATACATGCCCTAGCATCACAGTTTTTTGGAGGGCTTCCCGATGCACATTCCGCATGAGAAATGCCCTCACCACGTAGCACAAACTGGACTCCTTTTGCACTTGCTGGTCATGCAATACAATTTTTTTCAGAATCCAAAGACAACATCACAAGTTGCAATCTTTCAGACCCAGACATATTTGCAATGCATGCAGCACTTACGTGACCAACAGCAGCAAATGCAGATCGCTCAGGCACCAGCTGGTGGGCGTTATGATCCTTCTTCTCCAACCTACTCGTCGTCGTCCCCCAGCACTACCGCTGCGGGCGCAGCTATGGATGTGTCAAAGTTGAAATCGACAAAGTTGAACAAATAACTTGTAATGCATAAAGTCGATACCAGTTGCAAGCCCAATCTCTAAGCGGCGCATGACAAATTTGAGTAGAGCCGAAATCCGGTCTGTAATGCTAATGCTGCTTGGGTAAGGGAGACGCCTTTTGTCGTGCTACTTTAGCAGCTCTATTTCTACCCCGAAACAGGCTTACAATCTGCCTCCCTCGCCTACTCTGCAATACAGGCACTTTCTGCGTTGCATTTTATGCATGACAAACTTTTTTCAACTTTGACGATTTCAATCCTGACAGCTCCATAGCAGCTCTGAGCCAGTTGTGGAAACGGTGCTGCGGAACGAACATGCAAGCGCTATCCTGTGTAAAAACTTCCCCACACCATAGTTGTCATGCAAATCCGCATGCTTAAAATGTTTCTCATTCGGAGCCCCATGAGAAGCATTTTCTAATGCTGTCTTGAAATTTGTCATGCTCCAATCAGCATGAGATACTAGATCTGTAATGCTGCTGAACTAGTTCAAACAGCACGAGACTACGCGTCCAAATTTGTCATGCGAAACAGCCAAAGCTTGTGGATTTGTCTAGCCGATTCTCCATCTTGACTATGGGGTGGGGACGTTTTTACATAGGATAAGCGCAACACACCCAGGACTTCTCCGCCCGACCAGGGCCACCTGCAACGGAGTTTCACCAACTCCACGTGGACGACCCACGCCTCCGCGGTCCTCGTCCGGGCGGGTCGGTAACCATAGCAGCGGCCCGGGCAGCTGCGGCCCGGGTGGCTGCGGCCCAGGCGGCGGGCAACATGCAGGTTTTCGATCCCTCGGTAGGACCTTTACAAGGAGCAGACCCAAGTAGTAATATGACCCGGGCTCTTATCCAGGAAAAAAAATGTGTAAGTGTAAGTTTGTAGGTTGAACAGCATCACAAATTCGTTTTTGCACTACAGGGAACAAAACCTGTCATGCGCAGCTAGTAAGTGGAAACACGTACTATGATAGTAGTCTATGACGCACTTCCAGCATAACAAGTGTGACTGTTTTGCATTTTCTGCATCACAGATTTACACTTAGACAGTTTTTTTCTTGCATAGCTCTGTCGCCGGAGGAGCATCAGTATTTGCTTCTCACGAACGACGCGTATGCGGACCGGCTATACAGTGCAAAAATATCGTGTTCGTTGTATTGCAATCATGCATTACAAATCTTTTTCTTGAGGTAGATCAGCACTACAAATTTCATTTCTCACGCTGAGGAGATTTGTAATGCATTTTTTTATACGAGTGTGATAGTGATGCTTTTGCATTGCATAACAGCATTACAAAAGCAAGTACTCCGTGTTCTTCGGGGGCGGTATGCTGTGCGGCCTGGCCACGTATCATTTGTAAAAACGTCCCCACCCCAGAGTCAAGATGAGGATTTTGCAGCACAAACCTTCAAGTTTTGGGAGCCACACATGACAAGCTCCAGGCTGTAGTGTATGACAGTTTAATAGCAAGGAAGTCGCATAACAAATCCATCTCCTTATCCTGTTTACAGCATTACAAGTTCCAAAACACCATGGGAAATGCCTCTCATGGGGATGCGCATTACACATGCTCTTGGTCTTGTGCTTGCAGATCTGCATGACAACTCTGGGGTGGGGATGTTTTTACACAGGATACCACGGTCGCGGGCATCATCTGGGCGGCGACCATGGAGCCGGACTTGCGGCCCTTCTGTATCCTAAGTCAAAACGGGACCCACACCCCATAGTCAATCAGTTGGGAAATCTGCTAGACAAATCTACAGCCTTTGGTTGTTGCGCATGACAAATTTGGGCTCGACGCAATGTAGAAGTCCTGTGTAGCTGCTAGAGAAGCAGCATCACAGATCTACGAAATCATGCAGATTCGAGCATCGCAAATCTTAAAAAACCACGATAAAAAACTTCTCATGGGGCTCCGCATGGAAAACATTTTAAGCATTCAGGCTTGCATGACAAGTATGGGGTGAGCACGCTATTACACAGCATATTCTGTCCAGTCTCGCTCAATCCGGAGTACAAGTCGCTCTTTCGCCATCCGCACCGGTGCCTGGTGTTGCCGGAAGCGGTTGCAGACTCGTGGTACACCAGCAGACTGCTGCAGTTATCAAGTGCAGAAGTATCGTACTAGTAGTAATTGCAATACAAATTACTTCAGCATGACAGAGGAAATTTGGCATGCGGGTTTTTTACCATAAAAAAGCAATTTGTAATGCATGACTGCGATTACTACGAGGGAGTACGATACTTTTCCATGTGATAGCAGTCCATCGACACTTATTCCGACGCGTATAGCGACTCCTTTTGGAATATCCTGTGTAAAAACGTCCCCATACCAGAGTCAAGATGGGAAATCTGCTAGACAAATCAACCAGGTTTGGTTGCTTCGCATGACAAATTTGTCCTCGTAGTGCAATCCTGCTTAAGTAGCTTAGCAACATCACAGATCTAGCGCATCATGCTGATTCTAGCATCACAAGTTCCACGACACGACTAGAAAACGCCTGTCATGTTGGGGCTCCGCGTGAGAAACTTTTTCGGCATGCAGATTTGCATGACAACTCCGGTGTGGGGACATTTATCGTCAGGATATAGAAAAACACGCTGCCGGAGAAGGAGAAAATCTACGAACTGATTCGGGACCTTCGCGACAACAACATCAACGAGAATCTGAATCTGGATGTGATCCAAAGCATCTTGGTGAAAGCCGAAGAGGATCAGCAGGCCGTGGGAGTGCAACTCGTAGCATCTCCTTCATCGTCTTCGCCAAGCAACCCCGTCATGGCCACCGCGCCGGCACTACGCTTGTTGTCATTGTCGCCCTCGTGGCCCAGTGCCGGCCTTCGCGTCGTGCCAACATCCTCCGCATCTTCAGGCTCAAGCAGCGCCAGCGCCGGTTCTACTGCAACTAGAGCTACCCTTTCGTCTTCCGTAAAGGGTGGGGTCGCATTGACCCCCCCGAAGCAGCCGATCTTGGCCCGTTCCCTGACCACGCAGGACCCGAATCCACCGATCGCGCTACCGACATTAGCACAACAACAGGAAGTTGTAGAACAGCCTGGACAAGGAACCGTGATGGGCTCCTTGCCCAGCAGCACGGCCGACGGCGACGTCACAGGTGGATCTGCAGTTGTAGCCGCCAGTCCGCTTAGAAGTGCCTTGGCTGCTGGTGCAGTTCATCCGGGCGGCAGGACAGCTGCTATCGGGGATGCCACGCCCCCCTTGCTGCAGACTGCGGGTATGCATTGCAAAAGCATCGTACTAGTATAAATCGCATGACAAATCTCCTCAGCATGAGAAATAGAATTTGTAATGCGGATTCAAGTTGAGGAAGAAATTTGTAATGCAGGACTGCAATTACTACGAGTACGATACTTTTGCACAGGATAGCGGGCAACCCGGCACAAAACACGCTCCCCGTGATGAATTTGCCGCAAATGCTAATCTATCGAATGCAAATAGGGTCGTCTGGAAAGAATGAGATTTGTGATGCTAGCATTCGATCACGCAAAAATCTGTGTTGCAAGAGAGGCAACAGACACTGCTCAGACTGTTGCCACCCGGAGATGGCATTATTTCTCATGCAGTTTAGGCATAAGGAGAAGCAAACCTATGCGAAGGCTGTGATGCTAGAGCATGCGTCAGAGGCATCGGGAGCCATGTACAATTTGCATCACAAAAATGTTCCAGACCCAGACATGTTTGCACTGGATACGATGAACGAACTCGTTCTGGACAAGATCACGCTCGATCTGTGGTATGCGACTCTGAGCTATGCATTGCAAACATGTCTGGGTCTGGATTTGTGATGTGGGACTCAAAGGGCGATAAGATCTGTAATGCACGACGAACGCGATTGGTCAGGTTTTTTGTAAAATGTTAAATGCGAATGAATCCACAAGAGCTTTAGAGAAACTTCTCATGCTGTTATACCGCACAGACATGAAGCTGCAGCCAGTCTGTAACTAATGCAGGTATCAGCAACACAAGTTTCCAGATGACACAGATCGGTATTTGCAATGCACATGAGCGAGCGGCTGTCGGCTCCACCGGAGTACGAGAAGCTACATGACGGCGAGAAAACCCAAATTCCGGACGACCTTGCGCAAGAGGTAGGGACTGCAAAAGTATCGTACTAGTAGAGCTCGCGTGACACATTTCCTCTGCATGAGAAATGAAATCTGTAGTGCGGATGTAACTGAAGAAATAGATTTGTAATGCGGGAATGCGATTCTTAGTACGATTGCGATTCTCTTGCAATGCATAAGAGGTGCTGTATGGCGAGAACGCGGAGGCGGAATACTGGATGCAGGAGCTTCTCACCAAAGCCCTCGTATGCATTGCAAATATCGATCTGGGTCTGGAGACAACTTGTCATGCTAATGTCCGAATGATAGTACGTCGCAAACTGCATTGCGGAGCCGCGCATGACAACTTTCTGGGTGGGGGCTACGTGTAGCGTTAAGCGTACCATCACAAATTGCCTTTTTGCATGACAAACAAGTGGCATTGTAGACTAGCGCAACAAGCATGACAGACTTTTCTGCATTGTCGGCCGAGCATGACAAACGTGCACTCCTCCAGTGATGACCCAGACAAATTTGCACTGGATACCTCGACGAGTCTTTTGACTCGCGGGCGTCCACCACCAGCAGTGCAGCCACAGTGAGCTCCGAGAAAGCTTTTGACATCCTGAAGAAGTCCATGCTGGCCGTATCCTGAGGGAAAATGTCCCCGCCCCAGAGTTGTCATGCAAATCTGCATGCTCAAAATTTTGTCATGCGGACTGGTTGGTACTTTTCTTGGGGCGACTTGCCGTGGTAGCGCTCGCCTTTTGTATGATGAGGTCGCCGAAAGTGCTTCCTCGCCCACCCCCCGGGGAGGGGATCCTTGACCTGTGCCGCTGGGAGCGGGTGTCCACTACATTATGATGATGATGATGATGATGCGGAGCCCCATAAGAAGCATTTTCTAGTCGTGTTTCGGAATCTGTCATGCTCCAACCGCCATGATATGCTAGAGCTGCGATGCTGTTGAACTAGCTAAGTAAACAGGATTACACTACGAGACCAAACTTGTCATGCGCTACAACCAAAGCTGGTAGATTTGTGTAGCAGATTTCACATCTTGACCCTGGGGTGAGGACGTTTCTACTTAGGATAGGCCACTAAACCAGGCAGTGATGTTGACCAACAACCACCCCCGCAGAAACTTCGTTTCCTTCTCTACTGGCTGTTTCACGGAGAGACATCCTGGCCGAGAGGAGGATCGTCTGGTGGATCCAGTAGCGAAGCGGGACAGCAAACTCCTGCTCCGTCGGCTGACGGAGCAGCCGGGGGAACTACAACGAGTGACGAGGAAAAATGCGACTGGTCCAAGTTGCTTGACAACCACTGGGTGAGTACGCAAGCGTGGTACCACGAGGAGCGCATGTTCAACCGGTGCTATGAAAATTTGCTGGACAAGTTGGGCAACCACTTCCGCCTCACGAACGAACTGGAATACGAAACCGAGAAAACCATCCCAGCAAGAAGCGCAAGCACAAGCGGAGCAGGCCAGCTGGCGTCTTCAGAAGGGGCGAAGCACACCGTCCGTGTGCGCAACTCGCAGCACCACATATCACAACAGAAAATCTCCCCTGCCCATATCGAAACGGAAATCTGTGGTGCGGGATTTGTGTACACAAATCGGCTTTGTCATGTAGTAGAGGACTGCAGGCAGATACAAAGCCGGAGCAGGGGCGTTTTGGTGTAGGCACCTAGCAAGGCAGGCATATCCTCCGTAGGCCCTACAGCATTACAAATTGCCTGCAGGACGCGGCGAGGTTTTTGGGTTTGCCTGCTTGCAATACAGAGAAGATTTGTGGTCTCAAATCAGCATCACAATTTTCAGAAGTGCCCCGGTTTGGTATGGGGAGGGAGGATTTTTCCCCACAATACCACATCTCGCCGACCATGATCGCCTGGGCATTGACGGGTGGTGACATCTCCGCGAAATTTCAGCAAATCGACGTGGAGGCCCGGTTGAAATCCGTTTTTCGTGTGTACCAGCAGGCGGAACAAGGCACAGAAAAAACGGGCCAAAAACTGTTCAACTCAGTCTTTCTAGCGTTTCCGAAAGCCGCAGGCGGCGATCCGATGTTTTTTGGCACCTACGACGATGGGAAATGGTACATCAGTTGATGACGCACCACTAAACACTTGTTTTTCCGTGCGTAGTTTCTTGCTCCGCATGACAAACTTGTGCCTCTAAGCGGATTTATGCATGACAGTTTCCATTTTCATATTACACCTAAATCAATACAGCTTCGTCTTCTACACGAAAGTGGAGTCGATTCATTTCGTGAAAGATGAAGAGAAGGACACCCCGCTATCCACAGAGACCCATCCCCATGCCCATTCATTTTTTGCATGACAAACAGTGGACTTTATGCATATTTTGCATGGCAAATTGGATGAGGATGGGCGTTTTTTCCTGGATACCCGGCGATGAAGCACTATGAGGAGTTCACCCACGGTAGCCACGACTATGCCTTGCAAAAATTGACACTGTCGCTGTATCGTGCGCAGTACTATCATGGTGGTAGATCGAGAGATGATGGCACATCTACTTAACTTAGTACAAGAAAAAGAAAAACGCGCAAATGTTGAAAGTCGATCATGCCGTTCGGAAAATACATGCTAGAACCTACCTATTCACACGCCACAGGCATCTTCTTCTATGCTGATATAAGAACTTTCTCGATCTTCTTGTATACATAGACCAATGCGTCGATACAACTTTTGCCTCTCCTCGTCATAGCCTACTCCTGACCACGATCGGGCTGGAAATGGGGCCAGCATCAGCAAGCGAGCAGGCTCCCGCAGAGACGACCTTTGCCGACCGCTGGACCGTGTATACAATCGCGCCGCAACCGGAGAAGAAGCAAGGAGCCGCGCCTTCAAACACGATGCCCGCAGTCGTGGACGCGGCCGGCAGAAACGATCTCGCACCCCCACTACAGTCCAGCGGACAAGAAGAGGATCCCGTGATAGGTGTAGCAACCGCAGCGAGAGTGGCGCAAGCGGTGGGCCGCGACGATGCTGGATCGGCGGCATCGGCTGCGCAGGTTTTCGCGACCCCTTCCTCATCGTCACAAATGCCAACGTTGCCGCACCACGGACCGATGGGGTAGAGAGCGTCGTGTTGGAACCGAGAAAGACGAAAATCATGACTTTTTTGAGAATAAGGGCTTGAAAATATTACGTTTTGCGACTGACCCTTCCGGTATTGGTATATTAGGCACATTTTTGAACCAGAACCATAATTGCTCATCTGGCAGTGCTACTGCTGCTTGTCTTTCTTCATTCTCAAAAGCAACTTTTATTCTGCGAAAATTGCAGCCCTGCTTCTTGTGCTACCAGTTTTGGTCAACACCTCTTTTGCGGTTTGCAAGCAAATGCGAAATAGAGAATAAAGATCGACATCGAATGAATGGAAGTTTTTGTTTGGAATAGTTTCAACCAAATATTTCGATTACCACCACCTGTTTGCCCACACGAGAAGAGAAATTCTATCCGACGAAAATGACATGAACGAAGGAGAATTCATGCCTGGTGAGAGAAAATCCAATACGAAAAATCACAATCACGATTGCATCGAAGGAAAATAAACACATTTTTGATGTGGTGTTTGATGAATTTGAATCCTGAGCAATCGAATAAAATATCAGTCAAACCTTGACGAGAACATATCGCACACGATATTCCGATCCATCTCGATCAGAAAGAGTCGGCTTTTCACACCCATATTGGAATCAATCAACATATGAATCTTCAGAATCTGGATGGAATGGGAAAATTGAAAATTGATAGACTCTGTTCCGATTTCTCTAGTTGATTTCTCTATATCGATATTTCGAATGATAGGATTGATTTTTTTCGAATTTGTGTCATCCATACATCGAATGATTGATGGAGGATTTTTCTATATCGATATTTTCTTTCTTTCTTTCTTTCCATGTCCGGGCATGGCTTCAAATGTTCAAGGCCCTAAAGAATCCTCTTCATCCATTTTCAACCTGCTCTCTTGATCATCAATTTCCTGCTGCGAGAATATATAAGCACCTGAGAATAAACATAAAAATAAAAATAGATCCGAAAAAAAGATTTCGATTGATCTCTGGGTGTGTGTGAAAAGAATTACAATAGCTTTTTCGGGTCTGGTGAAGATCTAACTCTCCTACAAAATTCGATTTCTTTTGTTAGTGTTCTCTTCTTCTGAATTTCAAATGCAAAAGTGTCTTCTGGATTTCAAATGTAAGAGTGTCTTCTGATATTTCGAATGATAGGATTGATTTTTTTCGAATTTGTGTCATCCATATATCGAATGATTGATGGAGATTTCAGAAATGTAATCATCGAATCTGTCTGGGTGTGTCTATCTCACATAGATTTGTCCATTTTCATCATCATTCACATCATCATATCATCCATTTTCAAAAGATTATGATGGTCTCATATCATCCATTTTCAAAAGATTAGGAAAAATATTGGATGGGATAATGCAGAATTTTTTGTAAAGGAGATTTCTTTTCATTTTCCAAAATTCTTTGAAAATTTTCCCGATATCGAAATTCCAATATCATTTCATCCAGGATTATTCATCCAGATATGGAACGTGTGGACCTCATCACCAAAATTGGATCAGAAAAAACAAACCGCACGAACACGCAAGCACGAATTCCGAAAGCAGAAAACTGCACGCTACGATGCTAAGACATCATCTTTTTCTTCCTTTTTCTCTTCATCTTTTTTCAAATTGCTGGCGAAGAGAGCTCCATA